CACTTGTTTCCTTTTGATGTCAATGACCCGGAGCTGCTCTGGGTGGGCAGAAGGGGTCGGGGAGCTGCCCTCCATCCAGTCATTCAGGAATCTAGGTTAATGGGTACTTTCAACACACGACTTCCAAGGTAGCTTCGTTGTCCCCAAAATGTAAGTGGAAAAGAAGAGCATGGACAGCACTGTGGCTTCTTAAGATCCTTAGCTCGAAAGTGACATAGCTTATTTCCCTCACTTCCTGTTGGTTAGCAGTAGCCACTCAGCCCAGTCCAAGACCGCATGGGGACTGGGGGACGCAGTGCATGACCGGCTGACACCTCCAACAGCTCTTTACTGTGCAAGGTGGAAGCATGGATATTGCTGGTCAATTAGCCTGTGTTCTAAGAAAACCTTCAGCTAATTTGCCTGGAGTATGTTAGGAAGAGGACGCCGGACAGAAAGACGTAGGTGGGTGTTCCACACCCATTCGTATTGTGTGCATTCCTTGTGGGGTGCTTACCCAGGGTGCTGTGGTGCACACTTGGTGCATGGGCGGAGCTCCCGGAGGGTCATGTGCATCTTTCTTAGGGTGGGGCCTCCCGGCCTGAGCAGAAGGTAGAGAAGCTGCCTTCTCCTATAGACTGAGGGAGGAAATGTGGTCCCTAGGGTTTGATACAAGCCCCACTGCCCCCAGGGCGGTTACGTGCAGGGAGCTAGGAGTGGAGGGAGAGGATAAAACAGGGCGCTTCTGCATCACCTCCGGTTTTCGCCAACGGCATAAATGCGACTTGGCTGGGACTCCATTCTCTCTCACACACTCAGTCTCTCCTTTACCTTAAAGGAAGACATTTTTCTAATACTCTTGAAGTGTTCTCATGTGAAGTGAACACGTCCTTTAGACTTGTTTGTAGAATGTTACACGTCATTCTAGACATGCAAGTCTACATGTCTAGACATCTGAGATATGTAAGAAATACAAACATAATTGAAATTATTTTAGAAGAATCTGTTACATGGTAATTCCAGATAATCTAAAGAAAAATTTGTTCATACAGTTTAAACGAGATCACTACAGTGAATTGTCTTGCTCAATATCTATTTCGATGTCCTTCTTGTTTCTCTTTCTGTTGGGCAGAAGCTGGATTGGTTGAGAACTACATTTCCCAGAATACCCTCCATCTAAGGTCTGGATATCACAACAATTAGATCCATCCTTGAGAAATATGGGAGACAGAAATGAGATGCAGGGCCTCTTTCTGCTCCTTTTGTCTGTTGCTGTTAAGGAAGATTGGGGCTATTGAATTTTCTGTACAGCAATGACGTTCCTGGGTCCAGACACTAGTTCCGCGAACATGAAGGACCTGATGCAGTGGCAAGCAGAAGTCAAGTGCAGGGTCCCAGAGCCCAGTCACTAGCCTTGAGGGTGTGTAGAAGCAGGAGCAGCAGCAGCAGCACTGGCTTCCTGGACTGTAGCTGCAGTGGTGTATGCTTGAACTTGACCACTCCAGAGGTGGCTTCTTAATTTCCCTGACTTTTTGACTCCTGCGGAGGAAGCAGCTGCCCTGGGCCATTCAGCATTCACGTCCTATAAGGCATTCCTAGGGGCCAGCCTAGAGGGGGCCCTACCAGGCCCCCTAACAATTTGGTGCACATAATTCCCCGATTACATCTCTTCCTGCTTAACGTAGGGAGGAGGGATTTGGTCTCCTGCACCTGGCAGCGGTATGGGAAATACCCTTCTGACCATCCTTTCGTGTCCAATTCTAGCCACCTCCAAAGCTGAGAGGAATCCTACTTCCCTGCCCCCCTTATAGAATCCTCCCTTTTTCCTGAAGTCCTCTTGCTGCTTTAGTGTGGAATCGAACACGTCGTCTGTACACTTTTCTATCCTGGTTTTAGTAACTCTCGGTTCTGGCAATTTCATTCACAGATAGAAACCCATTCACAGCAGTGTAAGAGGGGTGATTTACTGTAAGAATATAAAGGCATCTCACAGAAAACAAGGACAGGACCTGCAGTCAGCAGGTGTCTACCTGGGGTTACCTACTCCATGGGGTAGAAATCAAAGAGCAGAAAACCTTCGAGCGACCAGCCAGCTCCCCTTTCTCTGCCTTCCTCTAAAGCCCTCGCACTTCTTTCTGCACGTCTGCGTCTTCTCCGACTCCTTTTTCGCACACCGATTTCTCTGTTTCTCTTGGCACAGCTCATTCATTTACATGCTATGGTAGAGACTGCAGGTTGCCTACCCAGGACCCTCTATCTCCTCCCCCTCCCCCTCCATTTTAACTGGGCACACATCACTTGAAATAAATACATTATTCTCAGACTCCCTTGCAGTTAAATGTTGTCACATGGCTGCCTTGCAGCCAATGAGATGGCTCCTTAGGAGGAAGAAGGTAGGTCTTTCTCCCCCTTTATCCTTCTGAGTGGAGAGCAGACATTACAGTTGGAGCTTTGGCCACCTGGTTTTGGTCCCGAGTATGAAGAGATTAAAAAGATAGCGAGTCCACGAACTGGAAAGATCCTTGAGGCTGTGGAGCCACCATTCAGGCTGTTGGGTATCGTCCTCCAGGTTTCTTGTGTGTGAGGAGCACGTTCTTACCTTCTCTAGGCTGTTTCCATTGTGACTTTCTCTTCGCACGCAGCTACAGCCCAATCCTAACTGATACATGCGCCCTCCCATTTCATGTGTCAGAGCGAATAACTAGTGTCTCTTTTCTAAGCCCTAGGGGCTGGCTTCTGCAGCCACATGTATTCAAGTGAAAAACAGGTCTACTCACATAAGGGGCTGTTTTTACAGGAGACGCAGGGGTTGCAAAGCTACCTCAAAAGTTGTCAACGATACTCCTTCTCTTCAGTTATAAGCTAATTCCCTTTCCAGCTTTATTCTTAAATATCATCCCTTTTAGAAAGTATAGACTGTGTTTCTACAGTTTCACTCAGTTCTTTGGAGACTTACTCTTAGTCACAAGGGCTACTTCCAGCCCAAGTGGAAATCAGTTGTGTTTTGACCTCTGACAAAGCATGACACTTACTAGTTTTGTCTTCCAGCAAAGAGTCTAGAAGTCAGACTTCACTCTCAGAGTTGGTGGAGTCCAAGCAGTTCAGGTCCCTAGAAATAAACTGATATCTAAACAGTTCTTTAATTCAACACCTTATAAAGGAAAAGGATGTACAACCACAGACCCACATTCTAAATAGACGACTACCTCTTCACATGCAGTCAACTCAGTAATATAGAATTTATTTGTATAACATTACAAACTACATAATCACAAAACTTCTATAACCCATCGGGAGGGTGATTTTGAATTAACTTTTATAAAACAAATACCTGATTGTTCTAGGAACCTCACCATGCAGGAGTGTGCAGGTCATAAAGCAGAAGTGTCTCCCTTCTCTTAGCCTACTGTAGGGTTCTGTAATGGTGTTCTTTCAGTCATTTTCAGTGTCGTATGTGCTATGGGGTGGGCGGGGTATTCTGAACCCATTTGGTACAAACAGTTATTTTCTGCTCGGACTCCAAACTAGGGCTATAGATCAAGGTCCGTTACCAGACATGACTAGTATAACATGGTTACTTTGCTCTCCAGTTTCTGCAGGATGGGGCACTACCCTCCAAGCCCATTCCACCTGAGCTTATGGGCGGACTCCACTTCTCATTCGTTCATTCATTCATTCGTTCACCATTCCCAGTGGCATTTGCTGAATCCGTGCTCTGGACTGGGATGGGAATCACACAGAAGTAGAAGGAAGGCGTGATGGATAGCAGAGCTGCCTAATGTTCAAATTGCCGCTGGATAAATGTTGGTTTGTATTTCATCACCCACTTGACCTCAGGCATAACTGAGCGGCTCATTTTCCCAAAAAGATGTGAACAGAAGTGATGGCGGGGGGGGGGGCGGGGGGGCTCTTCCGAACAGCAATGCTCAGACTCTGAGTGTGGCTCATCACAGCTTTTTACTCTGCCTCCATGACTGTGGGAGCCAGAATAGAGAGGACTGCTGCCTCCGTGAGTGTGGGATGCCCAGTAACCACTGGGAGCAGAGCCACCATGTCCACCGCCATTAGCACAAATGACGACTTTGTGTTTTAAAGCCCATCCCACTGACAGGCTTTTTCTGGAGAAGCTCAAGAACTGCTAGAAAGACAATAGGGAAGCTTGGACCAGAAATGTGCTGTGCATGACCAAGTAAGTGCTAAGGTTCAAAGAGCCATGGCTGGTGGGGCTCAGTTGCTTGGGTGTTGTCCCACAAACTAGGAGGTCACAGGTTTGATTCTCAGTCAGGTCACATGCCTGAATTGTGGGTTTGGTTCCTGGTCAGGGCGTGTATGAAAGGCAATGAATTGATGTCTTTCTCGCCCATCGATATTTCCCTCCCTCTCTTTCTAAAAAAAAAATGTTCAAAGAAAATAAAACATGATGATCTCTCCCCCGTTTTCTCCCCTACCCCTCTGTTCCATTTTGGTCCCCACACTTGAACACTTTGAGTCTAGTGGCATGAACTGAACCTCACACAAGTCTTAACCGGGTCACCTCTGAGTCTACAAGACTGGGATAACATGACATCAGAAATTCTTAAATTTTGTGTGTTCTCCCAAATTTTGACTAATCAAGAACATTTGTAGCAGAGGAAATATTATTTTGCAATCTCATATTTTTGTCAAACAATTTCAAAGTAAGGAATTTCAATAGGTGGCAATAATGTCAATAGAACAGAAAAAATAGTGTATATTAACTGGATGTTTTTGCCTTCATTTTTATAAGCTACACTAGTAAAAATATGTTAGAGAAGCATCTCTTAAACCTGTTCTTCTTAGCTTCTGCCTACCTGTTTTCCTGCATAAGTTTATCTGACAGAAACTGGAGACTTTCCCCACCTCACATAATGACTTACCCTTATTTCCTGTTCCCGTAATAATGTACTTCCTTCTTGGACTTTGAACTAATTTAATTTTTACGCGTGCTAATCTTTAACTAGGGTAGAAGGCTCAGGATAAAAGGTACTGAAGTGCCACACAAAGGGCCACTTTAAGAGCATTTCTCACAGAACCGGGGGTAACCATGACTTGCTGTGAAGGATGGACATCCTGCAATGGATTCAGCCTCCTGGTTCTGCTCCTGCTGGGAGTAATCCTCAATGCAATACCTCTAATTGTCAACAGACTTGATGAAGGCAAGTTTCTTCAAAACCCCATCTCTTGCTTTGAGTGGTGGTTCCCAGGAATTATAGGAGCAGGTCTGATGGTGAGTAACATTTATCTGACTTGATGTGGAGAAAGCCCTTCTTTGCCAAACGTCTAATGACTACCTTGCAGTCTTACTGTGACCTGTTTTGACTTAGGATACAGTGATGGTATATATATTGGTTATCAGTGAGAAATGACAACTTAAATAAAATATGTGGTACAGTAGGGAGCTTGGGCAAAAACAAATTAAATGGATGAAAGTTGGCTGGGTTATTACCCATCACATTTCTTTACACATAGGGCTGCTTCTTCAAGCTTTATGGTTAGTGTTAGGGACTTTTTGAATTCATTCCCTCAAGTCTGCTTCACCCATACCATGCTCAAGGACTCACAGGGAAGACAACAGGAGCAGGGGGTGCCCAGTCAGAATGGGAAGAAACGTTCCATGCAGGGTGGACATCCGGGGTGAGGACAATTGCACGGCATGAATATGACATCGCCTGCACCAAAGGGAGTCGGCCTAAGGGATCTGGGACCTGAACCCTGGCTCTCTGACCTCTGTGCCTTCTTGACTCAGATGTGACACTTGGCCCAGAGCATCCCGGTGCTTGTTTCACACCAGATCTGACGATTATTGGGAGTCCATCTGTGTCGACATCTGCGGCAGAGCAGTGTCTGTAGTGCAGAACTCTCTAGGGTGCCTGGCCGTGAGTCACCGGAGGCACTTGTAGTACATTTACAGGCCTGCTCGTGGGAATTCTGATGAAGCAGGCCCGGTAGGGCCCACCTGTGTAGAGCAGTAGATACTGGTTTTGGACCTGGCGGAGTCTCTCAGCTCTAGCTCTGTCTCTAATACACTACTGTCTGCAAGTCATTTATCCTATGACTTTCCATTTTCATAAAATGGGGGCGTGGAATTTGAAGTTTGGGAACTCAGCATTCAAGGGGCTTGCTTTTGTTCGTTCTACCACTGGGGGCGCTGTCTGTGGGGTCTGGTGAACGTCAGAGGAAGGCGCTTTTGTGTAGACGCGTGCAGTGCATGTGCGTGACAGCTGCTGTCATCTCTGGTTTAGAGATGCGGGCACATGAAGGCCATTCTTAAAGAAATCTTGGACACAGTTTTCTACCTGCATCCTCAATCCTTAATGATGATCTGTTACCACTGCTAGTCTGGCCCTCGGACTCACATGAAAACACTCTTGAGTCTGTGTATTAAACTTTAGATACATTTTTTGTCTTTCGGGAGGCACACTGGACTTGAGATAGCAGGGGCATCAAAAAGCCACTCAAGGAAGCATTTCCCCAAAGCCGATGGCTCCTTTTCCTTTACCCTGCTTTAGGTAGAAAGATCTACTTAAAGGACAAACTCTGGAAAGCTATGGGCTAATTCCTCAAATAGCCATGAAAGTTCTCTTCCAGGCTGAGAGCAAGCACAGTGCCCCACAAAGTGATGCAATTGCAAATCTCTGTGTCTGTTTCGGCCCTTCTGAAGGCTTCTCTCTGTTGAACAGTGCCAGCTTCCTTTGCATCAACTTGGGCCAGCAGCCAGGAGCAGCTGGCCAAGGCTTATCAACAATGGTAATTTCCAGGAGGCTTCTAAAAGTGCCTGTGTTAAAGCCCATTCAGAACATCTCGAGTAGCTTTAGATATTAATTGGCTCTACCACAAAGGCCATCACAATAAAAAAAAATCTTGCTAGTATCAAAGGAGCCAGAGGTGCTGATGGCCCCATATATTCCATGTATTCTTCTTTGGAGGGGCAGGGGGCAGAGGAGGAGAAAGACACAGGGAGAGACCACTGTGAAGTGCCAACCCCTGGGTGTGTGGTTTACACTGTTATCTCATTGAATCTCTACAATAATCTGGCTGAGTAGAGATTATCAACTGCATTCTAACAAACAAACGGAAGGTTAGGGACATTAACAGGGTCACAGAATGGGTTGTAAAACCCAATTCCAGATTTATCTGACTCCAAGGTTTTTGTCCACCTGTTTTGCACTGTAATCCACAACACCTGCGTCAGGCTGACAAACAGGGGAGGTCCGATCCATGACTCAGTCCATAAACTGAAGTGACCAGGAAACTGAAGCTCAGAAAGTTTTCATGAACCTGTGAGACAGCGTCCGAGAGCCTGGACTTCCTTGTTCAGAGACTAAATTCACTTCGTTGCCTTCAATAAACATGAACGAAGAGTATTGCACAAGGCTATCCTATCTGACTCAGTATGGCAGAATGTTATCAAGGCATCAAATGACTCTTGGAAAAGTTCATCAGGTACTTTACAGATTGAACTTCAACCTCAAGACCAGGTTCATATGCAGACAGGTGGGTGATAGGAGGGCTCAGAATACAGGCATATTTTCATGGTTCTCAGCTATACACGTGGGGCGCTCTCTACATAATGTGGGAGAATAACTTTTCAAAGGGAATTCTCTCCTTCCCAACATGTCAACATCCTCACCAGTTCAAAACACTGAATTCTCACTATACCTGTAAATACACAGAAAAGCCAATAAGGAAGAAATCACTGTCTGTGATAAACACTTTTGCCACAGTTCTTGAAATCCTTCCAAAATTGTGTTCACATTGTAAATTGGTGTTGCTTCAAAAAACAGACTTTGCAGGAAGTAGTAAAGAATATCTGTGAAACTGGTGATCATAAAATACACTCACAGTGTGTTTCTCTGAAGTGCCCACCGCAGAGATCAGCCTTTCCATCTTCTGAAATCACGACTGAGAGTTATAAAATTATCCTCAACTATTTTATGCTAAATGAAAAAAATCGATAGATACTACTTTTCCTAGCACTAAAAAGGGGCTTTAAATGTTTCTTCTAAAAAAAAATACAGGGGTGGGCAAAGTAGAGTTACGGTTGTAATACAAATTAATAATACAATTCATGAATAATAATATAAGAATAAATTGTTTCATGTGCTCACAACTGTAACCCTACTTCCCCTACCCCTGTACTAAGACCACTGTATGCAACTTAATTGATCTTAAGTCTGATCTTCATCACGCTTATTATTTACTGAGTTCTCTTACTACACAATGGTAACTTATCAATCATGAAAGTGCTAGAAGAACCGTTGAATGTTAAACCAATTAGATGTCTGTATAACAAGCATTCGTACCATAGAGTTTTTCTATTTGTGATGAGGTCTGGCTTTGTTGCTCTCCTTGTGTGAGTATTTGGAAGATTCCCAAAAGTCTGGATTCTGTCACAGAGTTTCAGTGGCCTACGGCTCTCCCGGACTTCGTTTGTAAGTCACATACCTTCCTTCTGAAAGTGAATCAAAGTGCGTGAGGGTTTCTGTAAGGAAGAAGGAACGATACCGCTTCTTCACAAAGACAAATGACTATCGAGACTTAGTTTCACAAAAGCTCTACGCACTCGCACGTGCAGAGGACTTGCAGGGAAGGGGTATCCTCGCAATTACTCATTCTGACGGATTATCCGGAAGATTTATAAATCAGCCACACATACAACTACACGCTTTCTCACATTTTAATGTCCACCCGTTAAAGAGCCCGTCCAGTTTCTAAAGCTCTGAATGGGCAAAACAGTTGGAAAACAGTGAGTTCGGACATAACAAAGGTGTGTTAACAGGCCACAAAGCAACTGGGTGGGGATTCATATCAGTTATTGTTACTTCATAAAACCCCCTTGCAAGGGAAGGGAACTATAGAACTAAATATTCAGCATCTCTGAAATCAATTAATCTTAAAGAAAGTCAGCAGAGTTTAATATACATCAATAAGTAAAATGGAATGATATGTCCATGTAAGCAGTCATTTAATGCTGCTCTTTCTTCTAACAGATTCATTAATTTTCTAAATCAGCAGTTGACAAATTTTTGTCTGCAAAGAAGATCATGAGTATTTTAGACTTTGAGAGCCAGAGAATCTCTCTCATGACTATTCAACTGCACTGTTGGTGTGAGAGAGCAGTCAAAGACAACATAAATGAATGGGCATGGTGTGTTCTAATAAAACTTTATTTATGACAAAGAAGTGGTGGGCCACAGTTTGCCAGTTCCTGTGCTAAATGATTTGTTCCTTAAGTTCAAAAGGCTATAGAGCATATGAGTACCAAACTCCTCCACTTTCTTGGAGACATTCCTCAAACTTTCTATACCTCAGTTTTCTCGTTGTAAAACAAGGATAATAATGGCACTGACCTTGTAGGACTGTTGAGGCAGGCCTGGATCAAACATGCGCAGCCCCTAAAACAGTGCCTGGCACCTTGTAAGCACTCAATAAAATGCTAGAGAACAAGAGCGGAAGGAAGAATTACTCAATGGCAGCTGTGCTGGGGTGGCTCAAGTTTCTTAAGCGGAAGGAAGTCATTGGCACTCTTCAGTGATACAAAACTTTGTCTAGTAAGAATTGCTACTCACAGCTGCTGACTAGACATGACTACAAATTTCAGCCCGAGCCCTAAGAATATGATGTCGTTTCTCACGGTTTCCCTCGGCAACATGAATTTCCCTTGACACAGAAGGCAATGTATACGAGATTTCTGAACACTAACATAAAGAAAGGAGAAAGGAGAATGTGGAACCAGAAATACTTCCCAAATCCTAAGCTGGGGCATGAGCGAGAGGGTGGTGAGCCCGGGAGGGAGCGAGGGGAAGGGCACAGAGAGGGGAAGGAGTGGGGACGGAATTCTTCGTCCAGAAGACAGAACCGCCAGCTTCCTTCCTGGATGCTTGCCGCACTCTGGCACTTTTGGGGAACTTGGGTAGCAGCTGCGGTTTACCGTAACAACAACAACAAAAAGTGAATTTTGGATGGTGCAACCAATTCTTTCAGGAACATTCCTTCCAAAATAATGAATAAATAACTCACTTGATTTACAATCCGAGTCTCTCTAAAGGTGACTCAGAGTCAAGTGCTGTAGGAGGAAGAGTCTGAAGCTGCCCCCCTGGAATCCCCCCATCCGCCCCCCCCCCCGCCCTTTAATCTCTATGGTTGAAATGGGGATCAAAGATCAAGGGCATTGCAAGATTTCCCTTTCGTTCTCGGGGTTCCCCTGACTGCTGGTAAACGGATGGCAGAGATTCATGCTTTTGCAACTGATGAGAAGTAATAAGACTCATCTTTCCTGTTGATTCAATTTCCAGGTCATTCCAGCAACGATAGCGTCCTTGGCCGCGAGGAAAAGGGCCTGCTGCAACAACCGCGGCGGAGTGAGTACCGGCCGGAGGTGGGGGGCGGGGGGGGGGTGGGATGGGGCTGGGAGCAAAGCGCGGTGCAGGCCTGGACAGCTCTGGGGCTGCAGTCGCTACCAAATCACTGCGCGGCTCCAACGGCAGGCCAGTGGTCTTACAAATGTCCTCTTATGATGATTATACGATCACACCGAAACTGGAGGCCTCCTGATTTTCCATAAAAGTGTAACTTTGGAACCAGCCTCTCTTCCGTCTTCAGTTCCACCTGTCTAAGGGGCTTCAGAGGAAGGAGATTCATAAACCACACTGGGGGGCTGAAATCGATTTCATAGCAACAAAATCCTTGTTATTTTTGTGTTGTACACGAATACTTAAGGAAACCGTATCCTGAGTTCTCCCAAGCATCTGAAAGATTAGTTTGCTAGGCTCGGAATGATAATTGCTTTTATTCGGTTGAAGAAGACACTAATTATTTTTTTAAACATTTACTACATACCTACCAAGAATAAAATTATAACTAAGTTGAAAGTAATAAAAATTGATACTGATCAACTTTCTGCCAATATCCTCAGAACACATTCAAATACACTATCTGATTTAATTCTCTCAAGACCCTGAAGTGGAAAGGGAATATGACCTAGTTTACTGACCAAGAAAATGATCCTCAGAGAAGGGCAAGTCACTTACCAGTGCAGCTCACCTAGCAAACAAACTTCTATGTAAATTCATTCGATTCCCAAATTCAGAGTTGCTACAGTATTGATGTCATGAATATCATTATTGATAACTCTGAAGGCTCTCATGATTCTCTAAGGAAGGGGGAGAGATCAGTAAATGTGCAGTCACAGTAAATTCCTGGCTGAGCAGGAGGTTTGAAAGCCATGGTTCTCTGGCTGTTCCCTATGATCAGAATCCCTGGGAAGGATGTTAAAAATACCAATGCCAGGCCTCGCCCCTCCAGCCAGGGATTCTGCACCAGCATTTCTCAAAAACACCACAGACGATTCCAATATGCCCCCAAGGGGTGATAACCACTGTTTAAAGAGCTACATATTTAGATCCGTATCACACATTTATATTGATAGCAGTTAAAATTTTTATTTAAAAAATTGTCCTTTTGTCATTTGATGTTTACCTAGGATTATAATTATTTTTGCTGATTGTTTATAGTCTATCTTTGTTCCTGATACATTGTAGGTGTTCCATAAATCTTAGATTTCAGTTTCCCTCCCTGCACTTTGTAAGCTACCATCACTCGGGGCTTGGCTTTGTAGTAACTGCATTGTACTCAGAACATTCTTGAGAGAGATAGCCTGACACATTTCTGCATGCCCAAACTTGAAAATATCAGAATACATATATAGATTTTTGTCTCATCATATTTCCAGTAAGCATCTCTCCCACCTCCCCCCACCCCCAACACACTCCTACCCTTCGTGACAAAGTTGGCATCTTCTCAGCGACCATTTTTCTCTCTCACTGAAGATGCAGCGAGTTGGGAAACCAAACCACCTGTTCTTGCAGGTGTTGGGCTTGATTCACTGGCCGAGGGCAGAGGGCACCAAAGAACACTGTTCACGCTCTGTTAATAAGAGTGGGGATGGCTACTCAATCACCCGTTTACACTGATTGGGTGCGATGAAGAGGTTTTAGCCGCTTTGCTCACCAGCCAAGTGCCGACTGGGGTGTCAGTCAGACCTTGTACCTTTCAGGTGTAGACGAGACCGGAGCGCTGGGAGGAATGAGTTCCTCCACGGAGACGCACCCCCTACTTTAGCTCTTTCCACTATTTCCCCGACGTTAACTGCTTCCTGCTCATTCCCTTGGTCCATCTGTTGATTTTGTTTCTGAACACTTTGGTGTGGCCGAGTCATTCATATGAACCCCAATTCTAAGGGAAATATGGACTTTGGAATGGCTGCTCTGTAGTGATGGGAAATCAGAAATAACAGATGGCCAAAATGCTCACACAGTGGCACTTCTTGACGAGCAAACTCAAGTAACCGCCACAGGCCACGGCAGGGGGGAGAATCAGGGTTTGAATTACACTCCAAACCCATCGTTCTGTACTTTCCGCTGGAAGAAGTGCAGGCTGGTGATTAGACCTCGAGCTCTGGTGTTTACTGGCTGTGAGGCCCTGGCACCTTGTCAAGCTCCCTGAACTGCAGTCTTTTCACCCATAAGATGGGAATAATAGTATCCATCTCTTGGGACTACTAAAAGGATAGTAAAGCCCAAGTTCCCTTCACACACTTCATTTAAGTGGCCATTTATTCTGCTTACACACTAAAGGCAGATGTGAAGAATACAATGGGTGAACCCTCTAGAAGCTGCAGTATTTTCTCACCAAAAGAAGTACTCCTTCCCGAATTTCTGCAGATCTAAAACAGTCGCAGCTAACACTGACTAATAAAACACTTGACTGAACAACACAGAGCTTCTTTCTGGAAAACACAGTACAGTACACACACACCAGCTCTCTTTGGGGCTGTACCACTTTCCATTGCCAAACCTCATGCTTTTTTTGTTCTCCTGTGACTCTGATTCAGGAAATGGAAGATGCTTAGATACTCACGATCTTTCCCTCTAACAGTGGTAGCGTTGCACCAAAATCAGGAGCGGTTTTGCGCACCCACCGCCACCCATCCTCCCCCCCGCTCCTCCATGGACATTTGGCAATGTCTGGCAACATTTCTGGTTGCGACAACTGTGTCTCTGTGTGTATGTGTGTGTGTGTTACTGGCATCTAGTGGATAGAGACCAGGAATGATGCTAGACTTTGGACAACAGGCGGGAAGCCCCCAACAGCAAAACGCCCAGCGCCAGCAGTGCTGACACTGAGAAACCTTCTCTCACTCTACCCTGCTGCTCGACCACTGCAAAATGCTGAACCCTGGCCACTTACAAGATCGGGGCCAAATTCAGATGAAAGAGGGAGGAGTCGAGAGAGCGGATATCAAAATGCGGGGAGTTAAGGTCTAGCCAAGGTTTTGCGAAGCAGGAAGTGCACAAACAGAACGGAGGGACCAGGTCCTCGTGTCCAGTTAAAATGGACATGGTCCAGAATTTTCAGAAAACGTGTGTCTAATCAAATGGTAGAGACTGTGCCCTCAGTCTTCTTTGGTAAGTCACATCTAATTGAACTGCCACCTTAACACCTAGAGCTCCCAGGTGGCTGGAGCGGGGCAGCAGCAGATGCTGCTGTGGAAACTTGAAAGGGGCCGAGAACTTGCGGTAACAGGTGTGGACGCGCTGACTTCGTTTTGCAGATGTTTCTCTCCTCGTTTCTGAACGTGCTCACGATCCTTGGTGCCGTGTACTGCATACTGGTTTCGGCGCAGGCGCTCATGCAAGGCCCTCTCATCTGTCAGTCTCCAGACAACAGGATGGCCAGCTGTGAATTCTCACTGGACAAGTTGGAGTAAGTGAGCTGCCTTTCACAGACTGTCTTGCAGAGCAGCTAGTACGTTCTCCTACCCGCAATTGTTATGAGTCAAAACCAAAGACGCTCCCTTCGCTAACAAATCTGAAGTGTAAAATTAGAGATGTCATCCACAGATGCTGGAGGCCCATTCAGTCCTCAGCAGATGACAATGTGTCGCCTACCAGGTGCCAGGTGTCTGGGGGCAACAGAACGCACGACATGCTGACTCTCGGGGTGGCAGACTGTCACAGAATGCAAGCAGTTACGAGCGTGACCCTGGGCTTGCTGTGAACTGCAAGGGGCAATCTCATGTTCCATGAGCTCAAACACTCGTTTCCCTGGTTGAACTGTGTCGCTGGCGCCCGAGATGAAAACCCTCTAAGAACTACTACCTAGCAAACCGAAGAAAAATCATCTCGGGGCAGATGAGTCAGGGCGAAAAGTCTCCCATTTCCCATGCTTCCTTTAATGGGCATAGATCACTTTAATTAGACATATTTAACATGTCTTTTCTGAGTAAAAATGGTACCTCTGCTTTAAGAGCAGTGCAACACTGTGGTTTTGCACTAAGAATCAAGCTCCTTTGAAGGGGAGGGCTCCTTTATTTTCCTATCTTTAGCAAGTAGAACAGCATCTGCATAAATAGGCTGAACCACATACAATTGTAAAGAGTTAACCATTTCTGACACAGAAAAAATTTGAATGGTTTTATAGTATCTATTAGAGTACACGGACACATGCTCAGAAACCCTGGTTGTAACTATACTTTCTGGGCGTGATAACAATTTTAAAAGTACTTTGGGTTTACTCTCCTTACTCTTTCCTGGGCACAGTGTTGCATTCTTCTGATGGACAACGAAATTTCTAACTATCCTTCCTTTCATTTTTCTAGGATTCATCCAGAATCCTCGGATCTACAGTGGTTCAGCAATGGATCCTGCGCCCTTACAAATGATGAGAACTCTCCCGCTGGGAAGGACTGGACAGACGACACCTCGCTCTCCGGGTCTAAGGAAGAGAGATACAAGACGATCCACTTCTCCGTATTTGTCGGTCTGCTGCTTGTGGGAGGGCTGGAGCTCCTGTTCGGGCTCAGTCAGATACTCATCGGTTTCCTGGGCTGTCTGTGCGGGGTCTCCAAGCGACGCAGTCAGATTGTGTAGTCAATGGTAACAAAGTGGGAAGATTAGCAGCTTGAACCATCTGAGAATGACTGGCACATTTAAAGGACACCCTTTTGGAAGTTAGAAGTTCAATAATGGAACATTATCTAGAAAGCTGTAGTAATCCTTTCAGTCCAAAAGGCTGTTTTTACGTTACCTCTACGGTGATTATAAACAAAGCACTTTTTACATGTGAAGTAAACCATGTTGGTAAACACGTAAGGGCTTTCATGTGAGAGAGTGAAAATCATCAGTAGTTGACTTTGGGGAACAATGAAGACAAACTCTGAGTCTGTTTTGTACCTTTCTGTACTGATCGAACTTCATAACTCTGAATTCTCGTGAGTGAAAGGGACGGAGGGAGGGGAAGGAAAATGGGTGGGTGGGGGGAGACCAGGAGAAGCAGAAGTTCTCCTGGAAGTAAGTATATGGGAACTTTTTCTTGCATTTCTCTACTGTTTAAGAAAAAAATAGAAAACACAATAAATAACTAACCTAAGTGCAATAAGTTTTAGACTGAACTCCTAGCTGACGGGAAATCTAGGGACAGAGAACACTGACAACTCTGAAAAGTTCTAAAGGTAGGGCAGGAAAGAGACAAGAGTCTTCTGTTTGCAACAAGAAAACGTGCCGGGGGAAGAGAAGCGGGACGTGTGGAGGGAGCTGTTCTACACCGAGAGCAAACGAACGTGGCTCGGCGGAGCGTGTCCTGTGGACTCTGTTGGGGACAATCGGGAGGCCTGCACAAGGGGCGGGTTAGGTGGTAGTAAGGACTTAATGTGATTTTTTATGACTGTTAATGGTTTTATGGTTGTACAGGGAAATTTCCTTATGTTTTAGAAATGCTTCTATATGTGTTTGGGAGAATGTGTCATGTTTCTAAAGTACTTCGGCCAAAAATAAAGCAATGGGAAAATGTTCAATTGTTATTTTAGGTTACAGGTATATAGTGAGTCATTACACTCTTTTCCTACGTTTGCATTTTCATAGTAATTTTAAAAAACTATAAATACCTAGAAAAATATCAGTCTCTCAAAAGCCGGTTTCTATGTATGACAATCTTAAAAAAACAGGATATTGAAACAGTATATTTACCATATTAAAATGATATAAAACACAGACTAAAAACCTACAATTTTCTGAGTGTGATTATTCCTGCATTTTATTTCAATTATTTATGTTTGTTGGGCTTAAGGTTCTAGAAATAACTTAGATTACTTACATTGAAGCTGCCCCTAAGAATTAGTAACATCAAGGACTTGTAGCCATTTTTTTCCTGAATCCATTTACTGTATAAAGACCTCCCCCATGCCAACTAGTTCTTATTCACTTGTTCAGCAGCTCCTCCTACTTCAGGGTAGCAAGGCCTCTCCTCTGCCTAGGCTCTTGACCCCTCGACCCCTCACCCCCCACCACTCCCAGTCTGAGCTCTGCTAAGTCTTCTTTATCCTTCAGACTCAAGCACAAAGGGCACTTGTTCTGCGAGGCCTTCCCTAACTACCAGGTGAAAAGCAGGGGTCCTTCTCTGACCTTGAGCAACTCTCCTCTACAGTGTTCACTGCAACTGTGGTGGCAGTTTGATTTGTGCTGGAGTCGTAAACTCCCTGCTCCCATAAGACCGTAAGCCCCACGGGTACAGGGATATGTTTTCCTTATTCGCTCCTGGGACACTCAGTACCAAGTACAGTGCCTGACGCAAAGCAGGGCCAGCAGAAACAATCCGAATGAATGAATGAACGCAGCCCGTCTTTGGCACTTAGCTTGTAGTGAAGACTAGATGCTTGTTAAATGAATGCCGAATTGCGAACAGCCATACAACTAAAACCCAAGTAAAATAACAGGACAGCTCGCTGTATGTAATTGGACAATACAATCATCCCATCACCCTCGGTGGCCCTGCTCTCTGGAGGGCCGTGAAGAGTAAGCCTCCCGTTTCAAAGGGCACAAGAAACGATGGCTCCCCGGCAGCACGGCCGCTGAAATAGCCATTTCTTTGCGACTCCAGCCTTGGGAAAACCGCTGACATGAGTTAAATCCCTGAAAACCTATGGGCCGCCTGAGGTTAGGTGTCTTTTGGGGATGTGCCATCTTTGCTCCGGCGCCTAAATATTTGTAGTCACACACAATGTACTTAGTCATTTATGAAGCTGTTTCTATTCCTCCCTTCTACTCCCCGATTCAGTTTTTGGAATCTGTACACTTTTACGTTTTCACTGTATCTACCATGTGAAACACCCTCTCCTCCCCCATCTTCCTTTCGCCATTTTCTCAAGTTGCACGTCCTCAAACTCTTTTCATCATCCTGTAATTAATTCTGTAATAAACCTCATTCCCACCCTCCCCCACCAATCTGTAGATTCTTTGAGTGGCCTCTCAGCACAACAGGTCGGGGCTGTGCACGCACCAGCCTCTACTCACGGGCGTGACAGATCACGTGTGACACTGACTCTGGAAGGACAGTTCTGGTAAATAAAGCGCCGAAATGGAGGCCCCCAAAACAGTTCAATTTCAATGTCTCTTAAGAAGCCACAGAACAGACATCCATGTAGAAGAGGGAAGATCTGAAGCTGCTACTTGGATAAAATTATCCGTCACAGTGCAAATACCTCAACAAGCACCTCGAGGGGCCGAGAGCAGAAGTGAGCCTTCGAATGCAGTTCTGAACGCCAACACGCGTGCTCCACGGGCTGGACGGCACTGCCGAGGGCGCCCCGGCTCGGCGCCGCCACCGCCACAGGCCCCGCGTGTTCCCTGCACCTGGAACAGTCTTTGCTTGCTAAAATCCCATGTTTTTCAAGGTTGACCTCCAATACCTGAGAAGCATTTCCTCTCTCGACCCAGACTGAATTCCTTTCCCTCAATTGCAAACCCACCTTCTTACAGTGACGGACATCTACAGCAGGGAGGCAACTTAACCGAGCTCGGCCTTGGAGTTGGGAGTCGAGCTCTCGCTGCAGGTCTGTAACTCGAGGAATGAGCTTCTTTGCACCGATTCACCCTCTCCCTACTGGAGTCGTTTTTGGGGCCCCAGCTTCAAAGAGTCTCCTGGGACAGCAGCAGGAGACAGTGAACTGTTTCCCGTCCCCTCGACAGTCATTAAGCAAGAAAGTTGTTAAGTGGCCAGTGTTTGGAAAAAATCAACAAGAATAGCTTTTGTGTTTGCCTATCTCCCAGAATTCCTACTTTTATTTCATTTGTGGCCTCTCTGGAATCCTCTTCATGCCTGTCCAACTAAGCAGATACTCGTTTTATCCACTGTTTTTATAATTTTTGTACTTTCAGTTGGGTCATTCCCAGAAATTACCTTGTGAGATATATGGCTATAATTAATCATTAGGATATCACACGTCAGAAGACTTTCATTTGTAAAAAGAAAAAACATACAGCCTTAGCTGGTGTGGCTCGGCGGACTGAGTGCCAACCTGCGAACTGAAAGGTCACCGGTTCAATTTCCAGCCAGGGCACATACCTGGATGGCGGGCACGGAGGCGGCTTTCCACTGATGTGTCTCTCTCACATCGATGTTTCTCTCCCTCTCTTCCACCTTCTCTTCCCTTCTAAAAATAAATTTTAAAAATCTTAAAGAAGAAAAAAAGGTCATCAAACTCATGATAAACCCAGGAAAGTAAATTACTTTTGATTTGAAGGATGCAGGAGAGCAAGAATGAAGTGTTCCGTCTACCTGTATTTAAGAGATTCCCCTCACCTGCCTTTCCCCAAATTCACTGCCTTAGAAGACACTGAAGCTGTGTAGAGGATACTACACCTCACTAAAATTCTAACAGGTTTTGAACCAGAATAAGAAAAAAAAATGTTTCAGAACTGAGGGCTTCCAGAACTTGCTTCCTGGATACATTTTGTTCTCATGAGATTTCACAGATGAGCTAAACACCCCACTGGGAAAAGCACACGCAGCTCAAGGCATTTTCATCCGCACCACACTGTCGATACTACAAATGAGAAACCAGAAAACCACCGGGAACACAGCAGCGCCCCCTGCAGGGGCAAAGACCTGAAAGGATGCCCAGCGGGATCTTGCTATCTCCGAGTCATCAGCTGCACTCAGTGAGCGGGAGACAGACTCGGGTCACATAAGGAGCTAACGTGGGGTAGAGCTCAGAGCGCACTATGAGGAAACAAAACCTTTCAATAAAGAAACACTGCTTTGGTTGAATGTTTATTAAATACACTACAATTATACCTTATTCTGTAGCTTTTTAAATCATTCACACATGAACTTAGTAAAAATGTACTTTATAGAAAACCACCTGAAAAACTAAAATAAAAACAAGAATGCACATTTTACACACATATTAGATAAACTGCTGCAAATGTCAGGAATTATTTTAATTAAGGTGATCATGAAACATGAGGTGGCTTGATTTTACTAATTCTGATTCCAGACCGCGACTCAGAAGTGTTAACACTGCAGTGCGGATGCAAGCATGTCTGTTAACACAGCTGTCTAACAGTGACTGAGAACCGGGACAGAGTATCTTTCTTTGTCCAAATACTTTTCTACATCCATTCTCTAACCCTCTTCCACTAAGAGAATTACTTGTGCAGACTGATGAGGCAAAAAATTAATTCCTTTTAAAAAACAAGTTAGAGCCTATTTACAAAACATGCAGAGGGAGAAGTCTGAGCAGGTGTCACTGCAGGACTGGTTCAAAGGGAATGCAGCTAAGTGACAGGATGTCCCTTTACTTCTGCTAACGTGAGTCTTCCCCCTCCTTTCTAGAAGTACCATTTCAGGACATGGACTGTAGAATGGCATACAACGCAAACACAGAAACAAAGAAGCTTGCAAATTCTTTATATTTCCAGCTGTTGAGACAACGTGTCTGAGAGTGGAGGCGCCCCCTAGCGGCGAAACCAGAGCCAGCTATTGAGCAGCCAGAAGGCCACGGTGATGGAGTACATGACCATTTCTCTCTTGGCGCGTTCTTTGTTTTCCTCTTCCAGAAGTTGTAGGCGGCGATTTAGTTTGATTATCTAAGTGAAAAAACAAGAAAACAGAAGCTTTAATAGAGTAATCCGATTCTCATAAAGTAGTATAGTTTGTCAAAATAATTATTACTGACATGGAAAACTTCATTTGGAGCCAAAGAAACAAAACTATATATAGTAAAGTTACCTACGACAGCTTAAATTCACTTACATGCTCTTCTCCCTTTCCCTTCTCCAAGTTTCTGAGTTGGAAAGGGTGCACTTTGCTCCCTCCCTTGCCTAGTGAGGTGGGTTAACCACTGCACATTGCTGGTCCGGTGGAAAAGCCCAAGCACACATTTAGGCAGGCTCACTGTGGCGGGAAGGATGAGGGACCCCTGCCCTTCTGTGAGTTTCTGTCACTCAGCCTCATTTGTTCATCTTCATCCTGCTTTAATGCCCTTCCCTGTCCACCTCTCTGGTTTACTGAGAGGACCCCCAAAATGAGCCTACTTCAGTGGCTCCCTCCCCCTGTGATTCACCACCCGACAAGGGCTTAAGTGTGTCTCCCGAAGCTGGTCGCCCATGAGTTGCTCAGCACTAAGTGGACCCCAGACTGTTGGGTTCCCAAACTGGCAACAGAGCAGAGAGACCTGCAGAAGTAGCAGCTTCCCTTGCTGCTAAGCCACAAATATAACTTCTGTAGAATCTTCTTAAGATTCCATTTTTGTTACTTATCTTAGAAACTCACAGTTTCCCAACTGGCTTTCCAGTCCTTTGAAAGTTTCACAGCATGTGCGTGACTTATTTATTTATAACAACTGTATCTCTGCCTGTCCTCTACTGACAGTCCACCCTCCAAGTTAAGGGTTAAATGAATGCTGTGAAAACACAAACTCAAATTACACCTTCAGAAAGCAAGGTTGTTGTTGTAACTGTGAATTCAGTGATAAAGCTCAAAGGAACCACTTCCTTCAATAGGCAAAGTACGAATAAATACATGAAAATATGTAAGAATTTAGGACATAGCTTCCATTTATGTTTCAACAAATGAGACCCAAATTGAAAAACACTATTTGCTTCTTATTACTCTTGTATTGTATTAAATCTTTAAAATGATACTCTGACTTATTCTTATGCTAAAATATTTAACTTCCTAATCTTAGAACTACTTTATTTTCATTCATTTCCCCTCCACATCTGCCTGGCACAAACACAAGTGGAGCAGGGAATGTGCCTTCCCCACACGTGTGTCTTGTACGATCCTAAGGCTGGGAGCAGGATCCTAAGGCTGGAAGTGTGACCTAAGGCTGGGAGCACGCACCTACACATGCACTGCGGCTTTAAGGAGGACTTACCGCAGAAAATGAGAAACTGCTACATAAAGACCCTCTGGCAAACTGAGAAGTTTCCAAAACAGAGTTCTCAATTTTATGGCTTTACTAACGGTTTGCTAAAATGTCAGATTCTTTGTTATCTGCCAGAACTACATCGGTCCATTCTGTTAATACTGTTTTATGCTGACCAAAACATGTAAATGGTGGCTTAACACATCTTTAATGAAAATGGGAAAATCAGTTATGGTTTAATAGACAGTCGTACAGACAAAACATTTTAATTCATGACTTCCACCGGCGAGAAGTGATGAAACGTCAGAACTGTCCCCTTTAAACATTGCATGCATATCCCTTCGCATTACATCTTATTTATTGGTACATCAAATACCTGTCGTCTTAATGAAACTGCATCTACAACGGTCATGTCGTCTGCGGTCCCCTCAACCGCTGCGTCTACATTTGAAATGCCATACCTAGCAGACAGAAATAAAAATAAAATTCAATACTGGAACAGAACTAAGACTATCTGGCAAGTACTCAAAGGATTGTTCAAAGATTGGATGGAATTCAGTAGTATGAATTCCTAAAATATTTTGCAATCTGAGTGGTTACTAATAACCTAAAATAACTATCCTCAGCATGGTCAGTGCCCTGAAACTTTGACAAGAAGAAGAAACCCTGAGTAAAGATGCACGTAAGGAGACACTTGTCCACTCAGAGGGGCTGGCGTCGTTACGAAGCATCCCTGGATGAAAAGGCCTGGGAGCTTCCGCTCTGGGTGTAGTGACGCACGGCTCTCCAACACACACCTGTGTCCGCGTGTGGTCGCGGCGGAGTCCCTGCTGAGACTCGCGGGCCGGGACGCTAACTCTAGCTAAGGAGCATCAGATGGATCATTTTTCATTTCTCCTCTTCTCCTCGTTGCCTCTTTTCTTGCCATTTCTACTCTTTACTTCTTGTTTCCAGTTACTCTCTACTGTAAAATCACCTGAATACACCTGGCCACTACGTTCAGATCCCAAATTGCTCAGTAATCATCTCTTCAGCAGCTACGTGTAAGACAGTAATACTGGAAAGCCACTATGACTAATTCCAGAGAAAGCAAATTAAAAAGTACTTTTTGCCCTGACTGGTGTGGCTCAATGGACTGAGGGCCAGACTGGGACCCTAAAGGTCACTGGTTGGATTCCCACTCTAGGGCACTGGTCCGGGCTGCAGGCCAGGTCCCCAGTAGGGGGCGCGCAAGGGGCAACGACACAGTGAGGTCTCTCTCCCTCACTTTCTCCCTTCCTTCCCATCTTTCTAAAAATAAATAAAATCTTTTTAAAAAGTACTTCTTGTTCAAATGCAGTTACTTCTAAAAGGGCACTGATTTTTAAATGAATGACAATAAAGTTCTGAGAAACAAATATACACAAATACTACTCTTTGCCCGGATTTCCACTTTTAAATACATTTTAGCTTAACAGCTTTAATGAGACATAATTAACATATCATACAATTCACCTCACATGTTTATATCCTATTTTAATCCTGTACAGTTATTTCAGTAAAATGTTCTAAATAAGCTGAGTTTAAAAGTTACTCCTATGCAATATGCAAACTTGGCACACAGATCATGTATTCTAATATTTCAAGCAAGTTCCCATTATGAAAAGCACACTACCACACAAAGGGGTATGAAGAGAATTACATTTCTCATCCAGGCAGGTTAAAGACAAGTATAGTCAGAAAATCCTTTGTTTCAAATACAATTGAAAATAATCCAAAAAACACTTTAACCAGGTGGCCTCATCACTCTGAACAGATTATAACGAAACAGGCAGAAACTTCAATACCTGGTCTGTTAACTAGAATAACTGGATAAACTGGGCTAATCTCTGGCTGTACCTCTGACGGCTGCGTTAACTTGCTTTCTCACTAATTGCCCCTTTCTCCCTGGGAACAGAAAAAACACCCTGCAATACTGGGAGGAACTGCATCAACCCGAGAAATAAGCTATTAAATCAGCAGATGCTAGAGCTATGGGCTTACAAACATTTGAATTAATTATCCCTTTGAACATCATGACAGAATTAAACTGGTAGATTAAATAAGGGCTGAAGATGCCTCTTCTCTACATCTTAGACTCAAAATGAGACTTTTCTGTTTCTGTGAGGTCACACATGAGATAAATAACTGGGAAAAAATCAAGCAATAGAAGCAATTGCTTCAAAGGTTGACGGGCCTAGACTGAACATAGAGAATGAGGTGCAACTGAAAGGGATCACTCACACTTTAAATCCTGAATTAACTAAGGTTTTCAATATCTGTAAAGGAAACCTTCATTTGCAAATAAATCTAAGGATAAGACTAAAACACTCTATATAACTCAACTTCAGACAGAAATAAAACATTACCATGTGCTTTAAACTAAAATCTCTATTTACCAGGACTAAAAACTCTAGGAAATGCTAAGTGAGATCACTGGCTGAAAACAGATAGAAGGACCACAACCTAAGGGTACATACACATGGGAAAACTGACTATGGGCGGAGTTAACGTGCAACAGAGACGAGCCAGCAGGGTGGCAGGGGAACACCAGGGCCAAGGGCACGCTTGGCTTCCTGTCACCTGAATGGACTGCGGCAAGAAACCGATGTTTCCCTCTCCCACTGCCTAAAAATGAACATGCAGCTTCCTCTCATCATAGAAATAATGCTGCCAGTTTTAAACCTGCTGCCATAGATAACAAATTTGTGCTTAAGCAAAATTAACTCTGAAAAAATTATAGTAATGGTATCTGTGCACACTGAACACGTTTTTCCCCGTAGAAGACGGGAAATGAAGGTTTCGGCCTGTGAGGATCTTAAGTATTTGTATGTGCCATTCTACTTGTCCTTGTGCTGACAGAGGAAATAATTCCTCAGATTCGGCACGTGTGAAAGTGTGAAAGGGGCAAAAATAAAATTTGAAATCAATGGGTGACAGAAATTCTTAAAACTAAACTCCCTTTATGAATGTCAAATTTCCCCAAATGGTCAATGCTTAGTCCCCCAATTTAAGATGATGCTTTGCCGTTGAAACTGTATTTAAATAAAATATCTAGGCTTCATGATACTATATCATAATTGTTAAGCATCTTCCTCATACGCTGGGGTCCAAATGTCACGAATGACTATTCACTGTCCTCAGAGAAAAGCAGGACGCACTCACAGAGAAAAGCTGTAGAAGTTCAAGCTGTAATACAAAGGCGTGGCCACTACATGCGTGATAGCCTGCAAAACAGAAATTCAGTCAACCAGTCACCTGGGAGTAGCAAAGTCTCAAAAGTTACCTGACGTTGTCATGATGCGGATTAGAGGTGGCGGCAGCCGACCCACCACGCAACACAGGTCTAGGGCAGGTTTTTGCAGAAGGCACAGGACAGAATCAGGAAACAGAGAAGTAATGACATAAAAGCAAAACAAGACAAGTGTCAAATACAGTTATATTGTGGGTTTCAATACAATATGTTTCAAATACTTTGAACATCTTTGTCTCACGTGTCCTCCATTTTAAGATTTTCATAAATTTCATATTTTCAATGGGTTAAAAAGAAAGTAAATCTCTAGCTATGTAACAGAATAGCACCAACATAAAATACTATTTTGTGTGCTTACATTTGAATTCATGAAATTCAAGATGGAGGACAACTCTACATAAAACGTGTAACTTCCCTCTCCTGGTTGGGGAAAACGTCCCATCGACTTTAGAAGCATGTCGGGGACTGGTTAGTAGCACCTGCGTGATCGTGGTTGCTCATGTGATATCAACATCCTGTCTCAAACATGAAAACTTCACCTAACTCCTCTTTCCCACAACTGCTTCCTTCCCCCCTCATTAATTTTGATCAGTGCCTCCTACCTTCGTGTGGCTGTGTCTCATTCAAACCCTGAGTTCTCTAGAACACAACTGCAAGCCTTGGGTCTGGAGCCGAGGAGCCCAGGGGACACGTTTTGATGGACACACTACAGCACATTACAGAGGCACTGATGTGGAGTCAGCTCGAGAGACAACCAGGAGCGGCATGCAGGGCTGATGGGCATGGAGGCTAAGGTGCGCTGGAAAACTTTGTGGGGATTTTCCCTGAGTTTCAGTAGAGACTGTGCTTCTGGAAAACAATTCGCTCCTTACCTAGGTAAGCAGTGACCTTTCCAATACATCTTATTTTTTAACGTCAGAAAACAAAAGCTCCACAAGGTCACTGGTCAATTCCCCAAAAAGCAATCAGCAATATTTATTTACTAAACAGAGAAAGAAGGCTGGAGTACAGGAGGCACGTAAGGGTTTTAGGAGTTATTACACTGTATTTTGAATGTCTCATTCTCTAAGTGCTGATCAGGGTTGGCATGAATTTAAATATCAAGGCAACTCTAAATTACAGTAATCATTTAATACTAAATGCACTGGTTTTGACCTTTTTTTGTAAGTTGACACAGCTGTAGAATTTTGGCTATAACACAAATCACTATTTTCTCAATTCACTTTATTAAAGAAAATTTTAGCATTCAGCTTGAATGTTTCCTAAAGGCACTACTGGTGCTTAAATCAATTTTTGGAGCCTAGAGGATAAGAGATTCAAAGGATTGGGGGGTGGACCTGTTAGAATTATATTTTGTTCGCTAACGAGCAGTGAGAAATCACATATACTTGAGACAGTTTTTGAACGTGTCCCGTCCTGCTGATAGGTTTTCTCAGTAGCATCAGGAAAACGGTCACTTAACTGTCCCCTTAAACTACAGGAACGTGAGGATGCTTCGTAAAGCCACGCGGGTGCTGCCTGAGCCGTTTAAAGACATTCACTCTAACTCACTCTAACGGGCTCAGATGGGTCTGCCCTACGGAGCGTGCCCAGCACAGAGGTCCCCTCTGTAGTGCAGAGCCAGGGGATGATGCAGTTACCTTTCACAACGCATTTCGCTTTGTCTTCTTACACTGGCAATCGACACACATAATAATATAAAAGTAAATTAGACAGGTAGTTGGCACAATACCACTTTCCACCCTAAGTATAACTTAATACATTCATTAAAAAGTCTTTTTTTAAGTTTGATAAATATGTTGAACAACATGTTTTGTAATTAGTGGTAAAAAGGAATGAGATCCAAGGCTCTATAAATTCCAGTATTAACTTGTATACTGACATTATTCAGTAAATAATCTGACTTAATATAATGTTTCTTTAAAAAAAATGGAAATTGCTATAGTAAATAAGCAATTTAACTGGGGAACCAGGAATTACACACATTTTGAAAAAAGACAAATTATAAATAACAAACACTGTTTCAACTAAACTCCACACTCTGGGCTTTCCAAGTAATATATTTATGCAGACACTTGCAAAAAAATTATTTACACATTGGTTTATTCTATATACACTTAAAGCTTGTAGAATTCGCTAAAGAAAAACTATAGAAGTAACCAAGCCCCTTCAAAATCAAGTCTTAAGCATGACTAACATGGCGATGTTTAAACAGCGTCCTTACCCAGTAAGTTTTAAAACGGTGAGCACCGTGCAGGGGCGAGTGAGATATGGGGCCCAGACGCCAGAAGGCATGGGCATCTCCTGCCCAGCCGGGGACTAAGGCATCCTGGCATTTAAATCCAAAGGGCACACCTAGTGCTTGTTCTAGGTGTGTTGATAAATAAACTTTTCTAATGTGTTAGATTTAACTCTCTCTTCATGTTGAGCTTAGTTTTAGATCATGAGTTCTCACAGGAAAATGAAAATATAATGCATAAATAAACCTTTCAACAATGTCCCTTACAGTGTAAACTACAAATAGTTCTTCTGTCAAAGCAACCGTGAGTCTGCATTATTTTATGATAATAAAGTCTTTTTTTTTCCTCCCTTCCCTCCATGACAAACAGTCCTAGCTTAATTTAACTGTACCTCATGAGATGGCGTAAGACCAAAGATAATGCATTGTTGGAACAGCCAAGAGTAATCAAACAGAAAAGATATACAGAACAAGAAACATAAAAGCACTTAAAAGTTTATAAGCAGTATTATTTTATAATCATGCAAGTAGACCATTATCCAAATTTCACATTCCTAGTTCTTGTATCTGAAAAATCATGCCAGACAGTTCTTGCAGTAAATATAAACCCCGATTTAGCATTTACGAATCTGATGAAATCTCATTCAGCATTGAGTTTGTAAGAGACTTAAATACGACGATAAAGCCTAAAACCCTTTCAGTAAGGGAAGTGTTCAGTAGCACAGCTAGGAACTAACTTTCCAGGCTCCAAGCAACAATGGTGTGGAACCAGGAGCAAAGGTTCATTAACACGACCACTTTATGACTTTTAAAAATCTCATTTGAGAAAATATAGTTCCTTCCCAGAAAAAGGATTTTAAAGTTATCAATTCATTACAATGAAAACATAAAACTTCACTTGGGCTCGAAATAGTTTTTCACAATTTTAACGTACTGGGGCTTTGTCATCTATTATTTCATTGATACAAGATTTATAAATACATTTCTCATTCGGCTATTTTCACCATAATAGCATTTGATATGCTATAATCTGATCTAATAATCTGGTCTCTTGTAAGGACCTACTGTAATTAAAAAGTTAAAGAGGATACCTGGTGAAGAATGAATTTATTTTGAGGACAAAGGAGAAAACAGGCCTTTGGTAGTATCAGTTCTTCAATGCCAGGCACCTCACACTCAGCATCTCTGAAGGCCCTCCCACCACTCAGTAGAGAACTGGAGGCCATCACCCCTCCATCTTAAATAAAAATGACGACGGTGGTGGTCGGGGGGAAGATTCCTCACAAGAATCCAGAAAACTGGGTATATTTTACCCTTCCTTTTTTTAATAGGTGAGAAAAACGAGGCCCAGAGAGGCTAAGCCATTGGTCCAAGGTCATCACATGGCTAGATTCTCAGGGGCTGGGTCAAGACTGAATCCGACCGACCCCCTGTATTCATGCTTTTTCTTCTAAAGCATGCTGCTTCTTACGGGCCGGATATTCTAAGGTGGTCCTTGAAGCTTCAGAAAGCATAAAAGGAACCTGAAACCCTGGGGGAAGAGGATGGCTGTGTGTGTCTCAGGTGACACCCCTGCCACGAGCTTCCTGTCTTCAGGCCTTTTTGGTGCAGCTTGCGCGCCTGGGCCCAAATGCGTACCACTGGATGAACCCTGGGAGGGCTCCGAAACGCCCACTGAGCGGGACGGCCAATTTCCTTATGAAACAGGAACACGGGGGCTCGTGTGAGGCTCAGAGCACTCCCCCGAAAGTCTGTCCAGAGCCAGCTGCAGACCTGTGGGTTCCCAAGGGCAGAGGTAAGGTTGACTGGAAGAGCCAGCTGAATTTATCGGGTGTTTTTCAAAATTCAACAACCAGCAGTCTAATAAAATGATCACGAAAAGTCGAACACTGACTGACTCACTGAATTACTAGACAAAATGCTAAGGACTGAAGTGGAACTGAATGTACCCTTCTCATCCTGTGCCAAAAAGCTTCCCAAATTCCATCTTTTAAAAAAATGCTACGTAGTAATGAATCACGAATGAAAACAATGGCAAAAATTTTATTTGTATGAACAAGTCTAAGTATACTACTAGTGATTTTACCTGATGTACAAAAGTGAGATGTTACCAATACTGAAAACTAAGATTTTCAAAAAGACAATGGCACCCGGCATGTTCAATCCAGGCCTAGAAACTCAGCTGGAGAAATTTCAAAAAAATGTCCTGGCAGCTACACTATCAGACTCTCAAATTGGCTTCGTTAATCCAACCACGTTAATACCAGAAGACTGACTGAAGAAAACTGGTGTGCTTCAACTCAGCATCCGGCCCTCAACCCCGCGGTACGCCTGGCAGATGCCAAAATGGAACCATGTTCTTAGATCAGGTCAGCGAAGCCTTTGGACAAATCATCACACTTCCTGTGGATAGTTATTAACTAAATATTCTCCCTGATTGAAGAAAAGCTAACAGAATCTGGTGAAATGTGAATTTTGGACAACAATTTCAAATGAAAAGAAAGCAAAGCAAACTGTTTTAAACCACTGCATTTTAGAAAGAGACAAAGGAGCAAACACAAAAGGAAGACACCACAGTCCACTAAAAAAGCCAAAAAAATATTCCATAAAAGCCGGCAAGAGTCTCCGATGGCCAGTCACCTGCGGTTTTCGTCCAGCACATCCAAGATCTGCTGGTAAGCCCTACGAGTAGAAGACTGGATGAGCGACAGAATGCCGCGGGCGGAGGAGAGGTTAGCTCCGTCTTCGGGGAACATATGGGGAGGACGGACCCGAACCTGTTGTGGCGATGGCGTCACACTGTTTACATAAGCACAGCAAATGAAGAAAAAAAACACTCAAGTCAGATTTTATAAAACTTTAGCTGAGTTTTCCCAGTTATATTTTTAAAATTTTCTACATTTTCTTGCCCCTTCTCCCACCCTTCACTTTCCCCTAAGAAAACAGTCAAATCAAATAAGTTAATATATCAAATTGCTTTAAAAGGCCAACTACAGTGCAGCACGTGTAACTGTGTAGCCTTAAACATTGAAGTAAAAACACGGATGAAAGGACAACCTTGGAGAATAAGGCAACCACAGCAGTGAGCGTGTTCATCCGCTAGTTCTGCGGAAGGAGCGTTCTTTACTCGGTGCGTGTGGTTCAATTCAGCAGACGAAACCGCTAACAAGCAACATTGCTCTGCAACTTCGTCAGAAAGTTCTTAGTCAGACACAGTTTAAACACATGGATTGAGAGCGATCCTGAGAAAATGCCACTGTGAGTATTTCCCAAAGACCATGAAGTAAGCTGAGTTTACGAGTAAGTTTAAAGACAAGTTCAAGTTTCAGAAAGCTGTAACAAAAGTCCTTTAGTTTTTCAATTATATTAAAGCATATGATCTCTGGCTAAACATAAAACTACTCCCAATCCTGTGAACACAGAAAAGGCAAGGATTCTTCTGAAATCACCCCGATGGACATTAAAGCACCAACCCTGGGCTTCTCAGTGCCAGCAATTTTACATTCCTTCCTGCATGAGCTAAGTCACAATTTCTCGAGCTCCGCTGCCAGCGCTTCCTAAAAACTGAACACGGGTGAATGGAGCGGTTCTGCAGTTCTAACCCCGAACCCGTGAGGCTGGCGTCGGTATCTGCAGGGGCTTGCTTCACGTCAGAGCATGATCAGCCACGTGAGGGCTTTAACTGGCACGTGGCCTTGGCACCTGGTTTGCTCCAGCAAGAGGTTTTGGTATAAAAGGACTCGGACCCTGAGACACGGGCCCAACACCTTCTCAAGGTCAGGGCTAAACCTCGGACTAAACCTCATCCTTGTGTATTACATCACAAAAAGAAAGAGAGAAAAAGAAAGTAAAAAAAGAAAATGGAGAAGCCAGTGAAAAACTGAAATAAGAAAATCTTTTATTTTGACTTGCATAATCTTTTTTCCTAATTTAATGTGTATCTGTTTGGAAACCACAGACTAAATGGGGTAAGTTTTGAAAGGATAGCTGTCATCCGGTATTATTCCCAGAGTCCCAGAAAATTAAAAACAAAATCTTCTCACAATTTTGTGATTAACTTTGAATGTCTTAATGATCCAAAGCACAAAGTAGAATAAACACGAAAACCATGTTTTCCAAAGGCTACTTAGAAGAGAAAGCTCTAAGCCAAATCTTAGCAAACTGAGAAATCAAGGTCCGGGCTCATTTCACCACAGGAAGAAGGCCTAATGTTGTCGAAAGAAATGCAAGTTTTCAGATACAGGCTCGTGTTTAGATCCCCTAAGCGTCTGCCTAGGGACCAGAAAGGCCCTGGGATGTACAGAAGCCAACTTATCAACTGACCCACTGCACTGGCAGAGCCCATGTTTGGCGTCCGAGAAGAGTGAGAAACCGGTCCACCTAGACACAAAGTCTACGTGGGTACCAGCCTTTCACTCAGGATTCTCCTCAGGCAGCACAGGGAAGCCTGAAGCTCTCGCTCTTCGTGCGAAACCAGACTGGATTCATGTTGAAGTCTCACAGAGGCTGGACTAAAAACGGCCAGTTCCGTGCCACACGCAAGACGCGCCCCACGCTCTTCCCGACAGAGCTCCCGACACACCTGGCCGCGTGCACCTGAGCAGCTTGTACGAGACTGAGCAGTGCAATATGTATTGATATAACTGAAGACTTTGTCTTTTGGCCCTTACATTGAACACTTTTGCATGTTATTCTATATTAGTGAAAAAATATTAAAGTCTACAACAATCAGTATTTAGAAAAAATCTTATAGCAGTAATGCAGATAAACTTAATCCAAATCCACGATAAAAGTTTGATAGATTTTTGTCCACAAAAAATTAAAAGGAAAGAAGGGTTCTCTGAGAGAAATCATTTTGTGAGAAAAATCCAAAGGAATTGTTTAAGTTCTACAAAGTAGAAGTATTTCCTGTCCATACACAGAACATCAGGTGTATTTATATAGTAGTCGAGCATAAACTATTTTAAGATTAACTGCAAAGAATTCTTAAGACAGAATGCAGAAAAGGTGTAATTCTGAAACAGTCCATATGATCTCTTCCAATTCGAAGATTCAATGATCGTATGAAATTGAAAATGGTAATAATGGAAATTAAAGAGCTTACGTGATCCTCAACTGTAACTTAAAAACTATGTAGAAAAAGATAAAATTAAGTTTATCAATACTAGTGAAGATATTTCATCAAAGACTAACATAAAAAAACATATTTGGTTTTCTGATGGTTTATCAAAAAAAATTTCCAAAGATTAGTAAGAAATAAGCATTTTTATTAATTTATGAGGCAATCCTTCATAAACAGCAAAAACATAATAGGATTTTTTTAAAATGCTGACCATTTTGAACAGTATATGTATAGATTAAATGCTTTTGATTATTAATTAGCATGTATTTTTATCTCTAGATGAATTAAATGGTTAAATCTTACAATGGCTAAAATTACCCTCATTAGAAGCAATAAATACTTTAGCAATATTTAAAAAACCTGAAGCAGCCTTGCAAGTCTTTTTTACAAATAAACAAATTACAACCCTGGCTGGTGTAGCTCAGTGGATTGAGCACAGGCTGGGAACCAAAGGGTCACCAGTCCGATTCCCAGTCAGGGCACATGCCGGGGTTGCAGGCCAGGTCCTCAGTGGGGGGCATGTGAGAGGCAACCACACACTGATGTTTCTCTCCTTCTCTTTCTCCTTCCCTTCTCTCTAAAAATAAATAAATATTTTTTAAAAACCCCAAAACAGATAAATGTCAGAACAAAGGAACAGGCTCCATTTTGGCGTTCAGTCTGACGCTACTGGAATGGCCGCTGCCCCGCCCACAGGGAAGGGAAATGGTGAGCGGGTGCCCCAGAGCCGGGCTGCCCTCCATCCACTCAGCCAAGGCGGGGCGACTGCTGGGGTTTTGCTTTTGTTTTGTTTTGGCAAGTGAGCTACTGCAAAAAATAAAAAAGCAAACATATTGCAAAGGCGGTGAGATTATTTAGCAAATGTTGTATTAGTAATTTAATAAAAATGCACTTTGGTGATACATTGATCCTAGTCATGCTATAAAACATCAAAAAATTCAAAGCTTTTTCTTTTATAAAACATTAGAAAAATTGGAAGAAAGCACCAATGTTTGCCATGTTATTTCCTTAGTAGCAGCTCTGTCTCATGCTCACATAAAAGTTTATGACAACAGAGTTAAGCACATGAACACCAGCCAACGTCAAAACTCAAACTGACTTGGCATTGCTGTGTCGTTATTAGAAGAGACGTCCAAACACAAGGACCCCCTTCCCCACGTTTTCAGAGGATAATGTTTCTCAAACTGGGAAGGTTACTCGCTGAGGCACCAGCCTCCTCCAAAAAAAGAGTAAAGGTACAATAGTGAAAAAGGAGAGAAAGAACTTCACGGAAACACATTTCTTACGAAATTGGAAATATAAAGGAAACTGATTTGTTGCCACCATCTAAGGCAATTTCCAGTTCCCAGAAGCAGAATAAGAGAAGGAGAACGAGAGAAAAATCACCAGGGGCCAGACTGGCTTTTGCCGACTAAGAACTACGTGAGCTTTTGAATTCTTCTTACTGAAAGCCTATGTTCTTCCCCTTCTCCACGGGCTTCAGTCTCAAAACATTCTTCCAAACATAATTTTAATCTATGACATTAAAAAAAAACACTTGAGTGACAAACTGCACATACACTCCATTCTCCTTCTGAGTCACAATAAAGCAGGATAGTGTGCTAAAACTTTAAAAAAGATTGGGATCACTATACTTGATTAAAGTTGAATCTGTAGAGAATATTTCAACCAAAGCAAAATAAAGAAAATGAAAAAGGGTATTGGTCTTTATGTGCACATTTTAAAAAATTTATTTGGGTGACACTGATTAATAAAATTACATAGATTTCAGGTGCTTGTATGTAAATTATTCCATTTTACTTTCACCATTATACCCAAAATCATACATAACTTTCTCAGTCGGTCCCGTTTGTCCCCCCTCTAAGTAAAGTGTATAATGACAGTTTGAGACATCCTGAACCAGAGGTACTAAACAGCCAAACAGTAAGAGAATTAGGGTATTACATGCCAATTACCTGGTGAAACGTTAGTATAACATAAGCCTGCAAAATGCAAACAACTCCTACTCATGAAAAGCAGAGCAGATAAAATCTTACGTGTACTCCGGTGTGGAAATCGGTGCCTGGAACCTTGAAATTTTATTTCTTGGGGCAGAATCTGATCTGAGCCACCTTAAATAATAATTATGCTTCTTTTACATATTCAGCTTTTATAACACAAAGGAAAAGCTAGATACAATTCTACTGGTCAGAATTCATTTTTGCATCTACAGCTGACCATAATCAATTCTACTGCCTTTTAAAAGTCATATAGAAAAGAAAACAAAGACCAGTGCTCTTGCTCCTACACCCGTAAGTACTTCTACTCAAGCCAAGGAATAAAGGCAAAGGCAGGAAAAGGTTCACTCACAGTGACACATAATTACCTCACATTACAAAGAAAAGACTGAAGCAGGAAAGACAGCAAGAGTTTGATAATTACTTTATTAACAGTAAAGTGTAGCTGTATTAACAGTTTCTCCCTGGCCATGTTACCAACACTGACTACACAATATACTCATCATATAAAATGTACCTAAAGGTACATCCATAAAGATGAATTCAATTTTAAGTTGTAAAGTCAATAATGGTAGGAGACAAAAAGGCAAGGTTATACTATTAACAAGAAGACAGTGAAATAACTTACTTACCATGACATGGTAACACACATATAGCCACCATAATAAAAAGTATGGTTAAGTAATATGTGCATTTCAATGTGAAATACGAAGTTAAATATTCACATTACTTTTAGTACTGAAAATTAAAAGATGAACTTTTCAGTTTTGTTAAACATCTAGAATGCCATTAAGGCAATTTAAAGACAAAAAAATATTAGTTAACTCTGTTTAATCCTTTCTGTTATGAGGAACTCATGTTACTGGTAATTGCAAAGGCATCCATGAACTAGTCATTTACTCTAATACAGTGGGCTGGTTTTTATACGTAACAGAGCTGTTTCTTTCGAGTGAACTCAGCTATTAGTCAAATATACTTTGTGAAGAAAAAAACAACAAAAGCAATGCTATATTCATACTTTTATTTCACTAGTATGAAATTTCAAAATAATTGAAGATCTAAATGAGCTCTATGTTTATATAACAGACAAGTTCATTAAAATCTTTGCTGCCTTAAAAAATGTTACAAATAGACGATAATAAAAGCTCCTAGGTTATGTGTAGTCATTCTGCGGGGCAGGAACTACCGAGACACTACTCTGGCATCAACTATGCAGCTTTTTCACATGTATAATACACTTAAATATTCTAGAAAAATGATTTCATGGGCTAACTCAAAAATAAAGATGTTTTCCTGAAGTGTTTACCTTTTAGTTGTTTTTTTTAACCTACATGCTAGATAAACAGTTTTGAAGGATGCACAGAACTAAGCACTTATGTTTATCAATTTTTCTTAAGTCTACTTTATAAAGGATTCCCAAAATACACAAATCATACTTTGAGAAGACTATCACAGACATTAAAGATAATGCTACTGAAAAATTTTCACAATAGGTCAGATTTTAAGGAAGTACAAAGTACTGCAATTATGTAAAATTGACATAAATGTAAAGCGGTTTCAAACACTATTAGAAGTAAATTATTTTCTCAGTTTCTCAGGCATAAAACACACACACCCCCCCCCCCCTTCCCTCTTCCTTCATCATCTGAGGGTAAGAGGGGGGACAGACAACACGCAGAGAGACGTAGGAAGGAGATACAACGCCCGCGGCTGTACTCACATGGAGTCCGTCCTGACCAGCTGTCCATTCTGGCGAACAGCGTTTTCACTCATGGAGCGCTCTCGTTTTAGCCTGCCAACTGAACGGACCTGTTAGGCACAAAGAAGGAATGCAAAATATTCTTAGTAGCCTAGTAGGGGCTTACCATCAAAAGAACCTCAATCCAAGGCTACTCACAAATTTACACAGAACAGAACCAAGAACTGCCGCTAGGCATGTGCACCATAGATAAGAATGAACTATTTTAAGAACAACTCCCAACCGTTTTTAAAAGCACAAATATTGTAGGAAGCAGGATGCTTCTGCCTTTTTTCCTCTGGACCGTTCATGTTTGGGAGGATGGTGCCACGGTGAGCAAGCCCAAGCAGCCACGTGAGAAGATGCAGAGGTGCACTAGCCAACAGGCCCAGCTGAGGTTCCAGATGGTGAGTAAACCTGCAGATTACTGCAGCCTCAAGCTACCTTAGACCCATATATTGCAGAACAGAAACAATTTTTCCCTGCTGTGCATGATGCAAATTCCTTACCCACAGAGTCCAAGAGCAAAATAAACAGAGCAGCCGCCACTGTTTCGGGGCCCTCGTAATCACTAAGATTAAGCAGTCACTCCAAAGTCCCTCTCCGCCAACCCCCTGACGTTTCATGTAAGGGGGACCATACAATACGTGGCCTTTTCTGTTCAGCTTCCCTGACTCGGCATAACGTTGTCAAGGTTCATCCCTGGTGTAGCAGGTGTGAATAGTTCATTCCTTATTATGGCTGGATAACATTCCACTACGGGGATACACTACATTTGGCTCATTTATTTGGCAGCTGATGAACACCTGGGTGTTTCCACCTTTTGGCTATCAGAGACCTCTCTCTGATTTTCGTGACTTGGAGGACACTAGTGGCATCTAGTAAATACAGACTGAGAACGCTGACGGACATTCCAAACGTCCTACAGTACAAAGGACAGCCCTCATCACAACAAAGAATTATCCAGACCAAAGCGTCAACGGTGCTGCATGCAGATGAGACACCCCGGCCTAGGCTGCAACCCGCAGAGTAAGTGACTCAGGGATCACACTTGACACTGAACAGCATCTGAACGAACCATTAGTGCCCTAAGTCCACAGGGCCTTATTTGCCCTTCAGGTCAACCCATGTTCTAAAACCCGCTGGAACTCTGGTTCCTTCCTCGTTCTCCTTTGCTCCTAAACTAATTGCCCCTCAAGGGCCACCTGACCCTTCTATATAATGGAAGCACAGATCACCATCATTGCTTTCTTTTCAATAGGCAGCTGGGACTAAAATCAGAAACTCCTCTCTTGCATCTCAGGATCTAGCTCTTGCTACAGGTTTTAACTTCCATAACAATAATGTGTATACACACTGTGCTTTTAATGTAAATGAGAACACATACTAAACACATTACATGCATTATAACATTTAATTCTCACAATCATCACATACACTTGGCATTATTTTTATCTTTATTTTTGAGCTGAGTCTTATAATTATCAAATAACTTGCTCGAAGTTATGCAGTTACTAAGTAGAAAGTAGGCCTCCAAAATTAGATCTAATTCTCAACCTAAGTTTTCCACCCCGGTATTATGTACTCTGGGCACTTGCCACATTCGACTAAAGACCAAAGTCACTTAGCAAGAGTAAGCCCCACACAGACTCAAAACTCTAGGCCTACGGAGAGTAATTCTGCTGGTATACGTTTCCCCTCACTCGGGGTTAAAGTAATCACTCGAGTGTGGCTTGTTTCCAAGCAGTTTTTCATACCAAGTAGGCCTAAGTGTCTAAAATAGGGAGCAGAAAGATCAAAAGAAAAGCAAAATGAGAAGAACATCAAAGGCAGGGTTTCCCTCCTGGCAGAACCCTTTCTTCAAGACAACACTAGTGACAGCTGTAGGTCCAAGCGGGAGCTCCGGGGAGCTGGGACCGAGGCCTCTCACTGGGGCAGCTGTGGTATCTTCCTTCTGTTGTGTGTGACGATCGTCGTGCCCTTCAGTGCTCCTCGCTGTTAAAGAACTTTGCATCTTCTGTGTGTGCTGGTGCCTTGCCCTCACTCACACCACTATGCGGGAACCATGTCTCACAGTGTAGCGTCTTACAGTAACAAAAAATGTTTCTTAAACAAATACAATTCTGCAAATATCTTAGTGCCTTTCCTACCACGTGAACGCTCACATTTAATGCTTTTCACCAAGCAAGTATCTAGAAGGCCCAAGCCGGCACCTTTGGGTCTATTTTCTCCATTCCCTCAGCAGAAACTTCCAGCTTAAGAGACCACCTCCAGTACTAGGAAACTTCGCTCTCTCTGTCATAGGGCCCTTTACCCTCCCTGGAGAACATTCTGTCAGAAATGAGAGACCGGCATCTCACTACCAAGAAAAACATATGCCTCACACATATGCTCTCACACCAGCCTCTGACAACACAGACTTGCAGAGGCTGTAATGAAAAACCTGCAGTGACAGAAATCGTCACAGGAAAGAAGTCTGACAAAACTGGCCCTGAATCAATGGCAGAGGCAATAGGTGAAATCTGTTACTAATACCTGATTAGTCCACACTGCCACATTTGGGTCAACAGGGCTACCGATGTTACATGGTCCAATAGTTAACCCAGTAGAAACTTCTCAGCAAGCAGGGAGAAGAGCTAGTGTCAAGGGAAATGAGAACTTTCTCTGTCCTGTTTGCCAGCCGGCTTGTAACAAAGCGAAGCATTAATCCTCTCCTACACTAAAGGCTCAACTTCTTCTGTACTACCTAGTTCACGACTTCCACAAAGTCTGTTTTCCCCTGAAATGTAATATTTAAGTTAAAAAATAGCAGAATACCTTATCTGAGGTATCTATAAATCAGAATTTAAAGCAATCAATGGTCCATGCAGAAGGCTTCCATCACATATTGCTAATGACATGGTTTATAGCATCTTCGCTCCTAACTTTTCCTTCTTAAAAATATTTCAAATTTAGCTGATGTTAAAAACTCTACTTACTTCATCATTTTGAGGGGTTGGAGAAGGTCTTTCTAAATCCAGAAAATCTAGAGGTCTTTCACTTAGCGTAAGCACACGAGGTGGTGTTTTTAGTGCCAGAGGTTTAAGGGAAGTTGACTGAATGAGGTCAAGATCCCCTGGTCTTGAAAATGGAATGTCTTCATTATTACCTGGGTGTGAAAAAAATAAAAAGGAAAGAAGGGGGATTTTAAAAAGCTAGTACTATTTGCCACCACATACTCACTAGGATGGCTAAAACTGAAAACCGACAATACAATGTGCTGCCAAGGATGTGGAGCAACTGAAATGCTCATATATCACCAACGGGAATATAATAGAGTAAAATCAATTACCAAAATAGTCTGACAGATTTTTATAAAGTTAAACATAGCCTACAATATGATCTAGCAATTTCATTCCTAGACATATAAAAACACATGTCCTCACAAAGCTCTGTACATGGAATAGCCATGGGGATGTAAAGTACCGTGTAGGACATGGAGTAGCCAAAGAACTTACATCCATGACCCATGGACATGAACAACGGTGTGGGGACTGCCTAGAGGAGTGTGGGTTGCCGGGTGGAGGGAGGCAAATGGTAAAAATTGGGACAACTGTAATAGCATAATTAAAAACAACAAACCCACCCCCAAAGTTCTGTACATGAATATTCAAAGCAGCTTTATACCTAATAGCCCCCAAAAGGAAAAAATCTAAATGTCCACCAACAGATGAATGAATAAACAAACTGTGGTAAATCTCCAGAGTGGAGTTTTACTCAGTAATAAGTTGGAATGGACGAGACATAAGCAACGACAGGCAAGAATCTCAAAAACCTTACTCGAAGCAAAAAGTCTATACTGTGTAACTCCACTTATGTGAAACTCCAGGGAAGACAAACCCACCATCTGGCTACAGGAAGGAGACCATGGCTGGCCAGAGTCACGGGGTAAACATGGAACGAGATGGGGCACATGGGGATTTTCTGGGGGAGCGAAAACGTTCCATGTCTGGACAGTGCTCGAGGTTACATGGGGTATACATTTGTCAGAACTCATGAAGCTGTACGCTTAAAAATTACACACATTTTATGTACATTAATTATGAAAATATTACTCTCAATTGTGAGTCGATTAAAAGATATTGTTTGAAATCTCAGACTATTGTAATGAATAAAAATTTTGAAAAAAATGTAAGTTGCATTTCCCAGCTCCTTTTCTAAATAATGTTTTAAAAAACCCAAAACTTTCCCTAAAATATAAATAAAACAAAAGATACGTTAGGCAACTTAATAAGCAAAAGTAAAATACCTGCTACTACAATCCTCTCGGGAACCTGCATAATCACACTAGCATTTGGAACTCCTTCTTGGAATTCTTGCTCCAGGTCAGCATTTGGTGGTGCTACCTTTAATTTTTCCGGGACCCTCATTCGCTGACTAATTCCTTCAGTGTATTCCATTTCGTATTGAATTCGACTAATTTCCGCCATCTCGGCAGCAGTGGGAGAAGGAAATGCTGCCCCACTCACTCTGTGGGCAAAAGAATCGAAGACAGGCGGCTGAGGGTTACAACGTTAGTCTTCTCCACGCTGCGAAGTTAGATGACAATACCTTGTCCGAAGAGCAAGAGAGACTTCCCAACTGTGAGTACTTAACACATACAGAGTAAACATAAAAGGTGAAGAGAGTGTCTTCCTCAACATAATGCCCTCTCACTTAGCAGGTGAAACTGCACCTTGAGAACAGTGCTTGGGATCAAATTTTTAAAAATTATTATATAGCCACAACACAAATGTGCACACACACATACACTCTCTCTGCATAGCTACGCATGCTGCTTATAACTGAAAGCTGCCTGAAAGAAAACTTAATGAAAATTTCCTAATCAATTGTTTGAGGAGAATATTACAAAAATAATATTTGAAGTAGCTGTCATGCACAAAAAACTTTTATAATAAAGATCAGATTTGTAAGGCAAATAAAATTAATTCTAAATTTGCTAAAAAAAAGATGGCAGACCTTGAAAGTCACAAAATACAAATTAAAACTTCTCTTGCTGAATGTATATCTGATGATGAGATGCAATGAACAGCAAATATAGCATATGTATTAAAAGATCCTTAATGCATACATTCATTTGAAGGGAAAGTTTCACATTCTTAATTTGTATTTAATATCGTATTTACATGTATATTTTTTAAAAGCAAGTAAGGAGTAAGATGGTGTGGATGCAGTGGGCGACCTAAATTAAAGAAGGATCCATGCTCCAGAGAAATGCAGTAGAAAGAAAGTTGCCGAAAAAAAGAAAATGCTGATAAAAATGTCAAAGAGCACGGGTGGCCTAAGGCCACCAGCTTTAAGGCCACTATCTCTCAAGCCTATAATACCAGCTCAACTGAAACAAAAAGTCACTGACCTTCCTATTGGTGGGTCACTTGTTTTTCTTTTACTCATGTTTAATATAGTAAATACACGTCTATAATAGCTACTAAAATGCTGCTACCCTGCAGTGCAGTTTACTTTACACAACTCCCCTACAGATCTCAATGTTTTTGGAGGTGTACATAACAACACGGACACTGCTTTTCCAGCTGTAAAAAAGAAAGAATAAAAATCAGTATTTCAACAATTCATTTCATAAGACACTATGAATAAAGGTAAGTATCTACTTAAAAATTATTTCTGGATTTCAACAGGTTTGGGACTTGGTCTGAGAAATCAATTTTCAAATCCCTGCTAAACAGAATTATTCAATAGCTCAAAAGTCATCAAGATGGTCTGCCAACAGGATAAAGAAAAACTAACCCAATATATATAGAAAAGAGAAGTCAGATTAGAAAAAAACACTTTGCATAAAACTGCTCATTATCTTCCCAAGGGGGCAAATCCTCTTCACTTTGTGACTAAGTACAAGTGAAGAAATCATGAAGAGAATGCAAGAAGCAGAAGTAAATGTATTTGAAGTAGTCTAAAAATCTGATGTACAAGTAGTGTTTTCTTTGAAAGGAAATAACTCTGACAACCAAATCATACTAAATTTCCAGCAAAACATATTATCTCTAAGTCAAGGGCAATAAAAAATGAAGGACAGCATAGTTGGAAGTCATAGCCCAGATATTTCTTAAACTCCATGTCAGAGACGTATTATACACCTTAACCTCCATCTCACTGAGATGCTTAGGATAGTTCTTACAGGTGACTCAGGATATTAAGTCCTGACAACTGGTTAATTATGACTGCTAACCTGCTTTTTTATTCTTTACCCAAATGTGTGAATTTTAAAGATTTGGCATGCAGATGGTTCAAAGACTAAGAACACAGAGCTAAAAGAGGAAATTTTTACTCACAAATGTGTACCAATTACTACTTGCTATTTGGCACTATCTGCTTCTGTGCTTCATAGTAAATACTTGAACTTGCTTCGGTGTGTACGTCCTGGATTTAGAGCCACTCTCGTCCCTGGGGGAGAAAAATGGGAGCTAACTGAGAAGCTAGATGATACCGTATTTGTCATTTATTTCTGGTAACCCTCCAAATGATCAAAGTTATCTGGAAACCTGACATTAAAAAAAAAAGCACATAAAATAAAGAAGCAAATTAAAAAGCTTACCACCAATTTTAATCTCCCAGATAGGGCTCTACAATCATTCATTAGTTAATGTGAGATTAAGTAAAAGACTGTCATCATTTCTGATTTGAATTTAGCAAAATGTAGATGAAAAATACATAAGTTTAAAAGAATCTTAGTATATATACATATGTGTACCTATACATACATACGTACATACATATTAATAAAAAACAAATGTATTGGTTAAGTTTTTATTATTTAACTTCATGTTTATTTACTTTTATTCACAACTTTCATTCAGTATTTAATTTAAACCAGTAATATATACATATGGTACAAAGTACAAACACACCGAGAAAATAAAGGGTCCCATGAGATCCTATCCTATACCACAAAGGTCCCTATGTACAGTCACTATTATCAATTTTTGCTCATTATTCTAGATGAGATACTCTTTCTGTACTTGTGTGGATCTGAAGCACAGTAAAAGCTTATATTGAGAAATAACACTGAAAAGATGTATCTCAAAAGGATTATAGTCTTGAAACATTACAAACCAAAGTTTTATAATAATAAACAGGAGATGCAAATTGCTAGAGCATTGTCTCCCCGAAATGTGCTGTTCTCTGCACTCCATTCACTGCATTTCCACCTCACTAACTTTCCCAGAGGACGTCCCACAGGTCTCCGCGTTCTGTTCTACAGCAATGCCGCACCCTGACAGTCCCCACCCTGACAGTCCCCATGTACCTTTGAAGTATTGGAGACTTCGGTCATAAAGGTGGGCCTGGAAAAGGCAGCTTCTGGAAAAAGCCAAATTACTCCTGAAGCCAATTTTAGCTACTTAAATGTAAAAGTAAATGAACCTTTTCTACAAAGATTGAACACTGAACTGTCCTAGTTACAAGGTTTCTACTTAAGTAAAATAAATTGAAATCTAATTTTCCTCTCCTTCACTAGACTATGGCATTTTTGGTAATACTTTCTGGCAATAAAATAACTTCTCATTTGGAGTTAAGACATTAATTCCATAAGTTCTGTCACTTAGAATCTACGAGGTGACAAGTACAGATTTTATTACAAAACAAGGGACACAAAATCCCTCTCAGAATCACAGTGGTCCCCAATATCTGTAATTTACCAACTTCATGGTTTTATTCATACTCACACAGTGCATTTACTCTTAATCACACTTAATCCTTCACTTGCCTTTTAAAAACCTTAAATAAATGTCCTTTAAAAGGAAATTTTACATCACTACCTTAAACCATGGTTTAAATACATATAACAAAAACTATTTCAAAAACCCTCATCCATATACCACCTAGAGTCAAACCAGTCACCTCCCACCCATGGAAAGTGTCCCAATTTTGGGACACAATGATTCAAGCTTGACTGGTTTTCTACATCAGAACAGCTGGGAGTAACAGAAAAAACTTGGGTCAAATTGATCATGCTGCAAAAAGTTATATAATTCTCTAATTACAACAACAACAACAAAAAGGTCTTTTTTTTTTAATCACCTATTGTGTGAACCTAGTTCAAGAGTTTTATCTAGGTCACCCTGTTAAGAGTTCTCTTCAAGTAACTACACTCAGAGAATGTACCTATTAGAAAGGCAGAGTGCAGCAATCCAAAATTAATTTTAATTTAAGAAAAGTCACTGAAAACTTGGAAAATATAAACTATCGAATTTTAAATTACGGTTATGAATCCACAGAAAACAAGTGTGAACACCAGAAGGGAAGAAAATAACAGTCCAAGTCCATATCCTAAAATGAGGCAGCCCTATCGGACAGGAAGGACTAGACACAACTTCCTTTTGGAAAGAACAGCAAAACCAGTTCACAAGCCTTTGAAACCAAAAAGATAGCAGGGCTGCGTGCCCCTCCTACCCCCAATTAATTACATGGGAAAAGTCTACTAAGTACCACCAAATGGTTCTAATTCTCTCCAAATCCATTCTCCTAAGGGAGTTTCCTTTGGGATCTCATTAGCTGACAAAATTGACACAGATGCGAGTGGCTTTTTTGTTTTTTTTTCATCTAGGGAGACAAACCATTTAAGACCCTGCAGCTCAAGTCTCTCCGCGGGTGAGAGGCCTGTGTTCCACAGATTCTATTTGGAAGAACAAAGAACAAGGGCCCCAGGCTTATGTTCCGCAACTAAAAGACGCCTCCACTTTCGGAAGGGCTCTCCTCCCGGAGAGAGGGCGTCCGGCTCTAACGCGGTAGGACGCAGCCAAGGTTCCTTCCACCCCAGCCGGAGGACTCCGGCAGACCAAGGTCAGAGGCTCGGTGGAACCGGAGCCCAGCCCCCCTTCTGCGTCCCGCCCCCGGGAGGAAATCAATCCAGGGAGGATCTCGGGCATCTGCACCTGCGAGCAAGGATGCTCCCAGGCTAGGCCGACCTGGGCCTCGCGCCAGCTTCCAACGAAGCCTTTCTTTTCCAACTCGTACTCTTCACAAAGTAAAGAAAATACAAATAAACAAAAAAACTACTTTTTAAGACGGCAGGTACCTAGCTCAAGGTCATTTACATGCCAGGGCCTTACCCCGGGGAGAGGGAAGATGACCAGCAAAGCGCCACGGCCAAACTCAGCACAACCCTAGTGTTTCGCTATCCTCAAACTATTTTCTAGACGAAAAAGGTCCAAACTGATCGACAGTAAGGAACAGAGAACTAGAAAGGGAGTAGAGGTTAGTCCCTAAACTAGAAGACAGGTTAGCTGTCTTCAGGACAGCTTCCCCCACAGGGCCTGGAGATGGAAGGTGGAAGAGGCAAGGCCCCGAGAAGGCGGAAAGCCAGGGTGGAAGAAGAGAAGCCGGGGTTAGGGGAGTAAGGCAAGGGTGACAGCAGGGACCCGCCGGGGCCGCCGTTCATCACGGCCTCCGCTCCAGGCTGCGGGTCCCGGGTAGGGAAGACGCCAGTACTCACCCCTCCGCCCGCTGGAGGGCCACCGGCTGGGGCTGCCGCCCGCAGGCGCCCGCTCTGGTGGGCGCTGTCAGAGGCCGTTGGCCGAGCGCACCGAGGCGCTCGGACAAAACACCGGCCGGAGCGGCCCGCAGAGGGCCGGCAGAGACGCGAGAACGGCCGGGGATGGCCCCTTTCGGGACCCGTAGCGGAGGCTGGCTTGTGGTCACGTGATGTCGGCGGCCGGCCGACGCGTGACGCACGCACCGCACTGGGGGCGACGACTCGGGACGTCCGGCGCGGAGGCACGTCTTTTGCTGGGCAGTGCACCAGCCACACGGGACGGGCTTTCACGGTACGTGTTGGGTTCGCGCGAATCCTGGTTGGAGTCCGTCGTCGTTAAGAGCCTCTTGTTTCACAAGTAGACCGTCGCTAGCCAGTTAAAAACAGCTATTTCAGAGCTGCCTGCATCACGATTTACCTGGTGTGAAGCCTGGGAATCTACCGTTTTCGTCAGCTATACCAGTTATTTATTTTGTAATGAAACATTGCGGTAATCTTGGTTAATAAAGTTATGTGGGTTTCAAGAGTACAATAATATAATCCACCTTCTGTATATTGGCATTGTGTGCCCACCACCCAAGAGTCAGATCTTCCGTCGCCGTGGACTTGGTCCTCCTTCACCACCCCACCCCCCAAGCCTTTCCCTTCCATAACCACCTTGCTGCCCGTGAGTTATCTTAAACGCTTTAATTTGGAGGGCTCTTTAGGTTAATTCCAGACTTCCTGAACAGTGACTCCCGCTCTTCCAGACTACCCTAATCCTTCAAGAAGAGAATCCGGAAGGATCTCGGTTTCAGTGTTGTTAAGCTTCTGTACTCTCTGGATCTAGCCCTCTGGCTTTCCGCAGGAAAAGTCAGCATCTTGTCCACCAACGCTGGAACGGACTGAAGCCGAACCAGGGAATACTTTGTGCCCCCAGATCCTAACAGTCCTCAAGGGACCATCTTTTATGAATTATTTAACTTATGCCTCCAACTTTTGAACCACTGATTGTCATTTCCTAAAGCACTTAATAACTTTGTTCAATATTTGTCTTCTTTTCGTCCCCTACCAGATTATAAATTCTGCGTTTTTTAAAGAAAAATTTCAGAGCTACCGGTTTGTGTTTGTGCAACATTCTATTTAATCTATTGTATTTTTCCCCATTACTATTAAGTTCTCTGTTTGAAACCAAGGTCTGTATCTCACCCATCTGTTTATTTTCTGTGGAGTCAAACGTATTGAGCGTGTTGTAGGTTTTTGAGAAAAGTAATGGGACTCATTCCCTTGTTCCACTGAAAAACTGGAACTAAGGATAATCCCAAAGCGATAGTTCTAAAAAGGTTTTGAGCAATGTCAGCATTTTTGGAAAACACCATAAAGACTACAAAAATCTAGAGAGTGTAATATTTATCTGAAGTTGTTTAAATTTAACTTGGTTATTTAAAAAAAACTCACTTTTCTTATGTGTTTGGTTGTCTCTTAGTTTCCAGTGGGCAGACCTGGGATTAGGGTGAAGTGAGTTAGGCACTCAGTGCTCTCAGTGTTCTGCACTTCCTGTCCTTAGGTTGCTAAGAACCCACTAGAGACTAGTAAAAAGTTTCCTCTACAAACAGTCTTACAAAGTAAAGGGGGAGAGAGAGAGAATGAGCTCAAACACAGCACTTCTTTTTCTACTTGCCAGCTGTAAAAATAAGTTCATTAAAATGGATTAGTATGGTTTTTGACTCAAAATGTTTACAAACTAGACTTCTTTTGCCTTCTTATGAGAGTGATTCTAAGATATTTATTTAAGCAACAATTTTCTTGATCTTAGAATTATTGCCTAGGATCACTGTTCATTCTTTTTCTTCACTGATTATAGCTTTATTGCTATACAACACAACTTGTAAGTTCCTTAATTAAGAGATTTCATGCTTAGTGTAGTAAAAGTGTTCTTTGTCAGTTGTCTACATTTGAAATTCTATGAGTATTTTCCTCAAATGAGGAGTAGTTGTATTATAAATGGGAAACGTTATCAAAATATATGACCCGTAATTTCCATAATCTATACAGTTTCTTACTGATTTACACACACTTACTGATCTATACTGATTTTCTTACTGATTCCTTACTCCTTACACATTGCCACAGAAAATGAGCAAAGGTATGACTGGGCTCTTCATGGGAAAACAAAAATAAACCCTAATAAAAATACTAATTAGACAATGTTCAACCTCACTAGTATTAAGATGAGATAGGAAAAATTGTAAAAGATTGGGGGTTCATTGACTTATGTAATACAGCCATGCAAGTACTGGTTAGTTCTCATCTGTGGATATGAAAATATGTCCCCAGGGTGTTAACTTCTGTACCATCTATTGATTTTACAGTGAATGCATATTTCTAAAATTCAAAGTAAGTTATTTTCATTTTGAAAAAATAAGACTAGATATAGTTTTTTCATTTTATTATTAGACTACAATAAAGTTAAATTTCAGCTATAATTACAGAAATATTAGTACATTATAACATTGTAATTTTGTCAAGATACAATAATATAAAGTATTCAATATATTTTAAATATATTTCATTTGGTTATAAAGTAAATATTAAGTTTAGTAGCAGTAAGTTGCATTTGATGCATAGAAAAGTCTTTGTAAGTTATATTAGCAATAAAATTCAAATTTAACATTGTAATACTTTTATAAATAAGTTATTTAATAGTATTTATTCTGGAGAAAGAGAAACCCCCCCGTGAGCACACAGTAATTCCAAAGTTGAAGCCAAGCCCCCAATTTAAAAGAAACAAGTAATTTAACATTTTATCTACAAAGTTAAATCTTCCTAACTTTATAAGCTACTCATAGGTGTCTTAGAAAGAAGTGCACATGAGCTGTATTTTAATGCTCAGTCTTAGAAGTATGATTGAGCAGCTGGTAACATGGCTTCATTTTGCATCACTTGTCTTCCTCGGAAGTTAAACACTGATGAGAGGACAAGAGGATGGAGGTTTGGGGACAAGCGGACACCAGTCATTTGGCATTAGCCCCAATCTAAGGCCTCTTCATATTAGTAACATTACACAAACTTAAGTTCATCTGTGATTTTGGACTTGCAAAAGAGGCACAGGTGGAACGCTCGTGGCCAGCCAAATCTGGTAATGGCCTGTAGAATTGTTTTTGGGGGCATTTGCCTAGAGCAGTTTTTCTGTCTTTACCATGCATTGGAAATCACTGGGGGCGAGGGGGCTTGTTAAAACTCTGGACCTTACCCCCAGAGTTTGTGATTCTATTGGCATGAGGTTGGCCCTAGAATTTGTATTTGGGACAAGTTCCCAGATGCTGCTTGGTGGGGACTGCTTTGTGTGGTATGGGAGACTAGCACCGCCAAGCTAGGCCTTGAAAGAGGCCTGTGAGACTTGCCCGGAAAACCGGGAATGCAGGTACCAGGTGTCCCCTGACCCTAGCACCGACGGTTCCCATGGGAAATCAGGCCTGAAAAATGCACTGTACCCTTGGAAGTTTGCTTTGCTTTGCTTTGCTATAGTCCTGTTGGTATAAACCAGATGTTTAAGTTCAAAGATTGTGTGCAGGCCAGTTTATTTCATCCGCAACTGGGAGGACTCCACAGGACAGGGTACCCCTCAGCTGCTGGTCCAGGGACCACACTGGGAGAACTACAGGTCTGTAGAGGGTTTGTGGGGATCTGTCAGCCCTCTGTGTCACTGCAGTACAATGGGGACAGTAGGGTATTTTTAGAGCAAAAAGTCTGAATATTAGGTGAGTATAAATAATCTAAGTAAAACGCGCTTCTTAGTTTAAACGTAAAAATGGCTTGACAGCAGTCACGAGAGCAGTGGAGGAAGTGGGCCGTGGTCACGGTCTGTGCCGTCCTCTGGGGCCACATCTTCTCCTCCAAGGTAACTGAGACTGAAGCAGTAAAACCTGAATTTAAATATCAGCACCACTACCTCCGCCTAGGTGGATCGGTAAACATCTTCAGAGATTTTTTGTAGGATGCCTGACTTCTGAGCCTCATCCGACAGTGCTGTCATCACATATAAATGGTTTTAATGTTTTGCAGAGCTTTGTTTTCTTAACATTGTCCAAACCAAGGTCTGTGGTGCCTAGAAAAAGCTAGACTAGGAGAAGCTAGAAATCTTGGGCATAGATCTTATTTTTAAAACCTTTATTGAGAGCTGCTGAATTAATGGGGAAGTGTTAGGTCAGAGATAAAGGAAGAAAAGGGGGGACACAACTCAGCTGTGTGGGGTTCCTAACAGAAACAGTAAGTTACTTTTTCCAGGATATTAGATCAGAGACAAGTGCCGCCTCCCTTAGTATTTCTGTAATTTAGCACAGTGCCTGTGGTATGGCTTGGTGCTGAATAAAATACTTGTTAAGTTGAATTAAGTAACCTTGGGAATCTATTAACCACACTGAAAAGAAAGTTTTAAGACACCGCCGGCAAGCTATACAATTTGTACATTAAGATTTTTACACAGTGGACTTTCTTAATATGGTTTGAAAAATGTTTTTACCAAAGAAGAATTAGAGAAGTAACAAGGGAGTCTCTAAATGTCCAAGCTAAATGGAATATTTCAAGCAACGGAAAAATATTCTGAGCCTCATTAGCCAACAAATGCCTTAAGTTCTTTCATGGATTATTGAACTACTCAATTATATGCACCGACATTTATAGGGATGGGGATGAAGTACACATGCACATCTAGTAGCTTGTTACTATTTATGTGGGTGTGCTGGTAAAAGAAAAGCTAGAATTAGACCCAGTTCTGAGTATGTGTGTAGAAATTCTATTGAAACTAATCCACTAAGGGTAAAAGCTGTACCTACTCGGAATACAAGCAGGTTGTGTTGCTGCAGGGACATGAATTCAATGGACAAACCAAAAGACTTAAAAAGTAAAAACCAAAACCATACAGTGTTTCCAAGGCTATTGTGATTCCATTCAGGGAACCTCTCTTTTAGCCTTAATATTGCATATGTTTAAAGGTACTCTAGAAAATCCATGAACCCCAGTTTAATAATGGTTCCCTCCAGTCTTAGGTTAATTAACAGATCTGAAAGTCCAGTTTTATGAATAGATCTGAAAGTCCAGTTTTATGAATGATGCATGTCTTCCCTGCATCTTGTCCGCTTAGGATCTAAAGTCTGAGGAAGTAGGTGGTGGGGCATTCCAAAACTAAAGTAGCCTCTCTGAGTCTCAAAGCCTGAAATAGAAAGGGCAGATCTTGGGAATTCAATGGGCCAAACAGGTCTTCACTTGTATCATCAAACTTTATACAGTCACCATTTAGATAGTGCGTTGGATACAAGTAGAACACAGTTTCAGGGATGCTTTGTGAAAACTCTGCTGTCTTGCCATAGAGAACTTGGAAACAGACTTAGAGGCCAGGATCACAGAACTAACTTAGAAGAAATGTTTGGTGTATGGGGAAACAAACAGAAACTTTGTTCCAAGCCATCATAGAGAGGTATTGTTGGTTAGAGAAAAGTAAGTAAATGCTTGCCCTGCATCATTACTAGTTATTTAGGATGAAAAAGTAACGGTTCTGTTTTCTTCGATTTCTTCATTGTCTTCTCTTCATGCACACCCGACAACGACTTATGATCTTTTCTAACTCCCCAGCTTTCACAGTTGATGGAATAGGTTTTCTGGAAAAAAAAATCAATTTGTAGATAAAAAGGGAATGCTTGTTGGGTTTGAGTCTTATTAATACATATTGTAGCTAACCTAAACTTTATTATAGGAGGTGAATTTCTGACATGGTATAGATATTGTCCACATTTTATGATTTCAGTTGTATTTCAATAGCACTAAGGAATCACACAGATTACTTTGTTAATGAAAACTAACCCTGTTTTTTAAATAGCCTGTCCTAAAAGTCTTTCAATATAATGATGATTGGCAGATCATTTAATGGTTTTATTCAGTAATTTACTATACATTTATTCAGTAATTAAATACATCTGGTGATGCGTTTGTTGTTGCAGGAGCACAAAACCATACCTACTTGTTGATTCTTGTAACCGGAAGTGCCAAGCCAAACAGGATTTTATTGACACGCGAGATTTTTAAAATGAAAATCTAACATAGGCAACCTTTTAGTAGTTCTGCAGTTGAGTCATCTGATTAAGCTTGACTTCGCATGTTTACCTGAACATTCTTTCTGGGTTCAGTGAAGCCAACCAGAAACTGTAGGAATTTGAGTAGTAGTTGCATGTTCCTCTTCCGTGGCATTCGATGAACGGGCTGGCTCGGAACTCTTCCAGGCAGGATCCAGGGGATGCCAGCGCTTGCCCCGCGCCCTCGGAACCCGCACTTGTGAACTGTCACAACAGATATATCTGAATGAGAATTCTGTGTACGGTGTTGAAATTTTCAGTGCTCTGGTTTTTGGCTTTGTTTTTGTAATAGAAGACAAAGGGGGGGCATGAATTAAACTTCTTGTGCTTCTTTGCCCAGATATGCCAACACACCAGTTACTTCGTTACTGTTCTTGTTACTGTGTCTTCCTGCTTATTGTCCACCTTCACCACCAGGATATAAGCTCTGTGAGAGCAGGAACTTGGTTCAAGGCTGGTATCCTTAGTGCTTATGGCATATGGTAGGTGTTCAATAAATATTCAAGGCTGGTATCCTTAGTGCTTGTGGCATATGGTAGGTGTTCAATAAATATTCATTGAATCATGATTGAAAGAATGGACAACTGTGAGTAAATAAGGGGAACTATTCATACAGAATATGAATAACCACTAACTATGTGTGTGCTGCTGTCAGACTCACAGGTGGTCCGTTGATAAATTTCTTCACTTGGCACTTACGTCTGAGAAAATTTTTTAAAGGTTGTTTCTCTCTTACTGCCCATCTTCATATTAAAGTCAAAGGAAACAGTTTAAGGTACGAAGCTTTTGGAGCAGGGAGACTTGGGTACAAATCCTAGCTTTACCATTTATTAGTTGTGAGACTCCGGAGAAAATACTTTTTTTGTAAATCTGTAGATGACAGAAACTACCTTGCAAGGTTTTCATAAAGATTGTGGAAGATGTATATAAAACATGTGCCACATTAAAAAAAACAGATATTTTATTACCAATATTGTAGCTACTGTTCACCTAAATGTCTTAGAATTTATGGGTAATCTCCTGAGAAGTCTATTTTTTAAGTGCTCTATAATTTACCAAAAAAAAAAAACAACTGACTGCTTTTTAAAAGGAGGGTATATTTTCAGATTTTAAGCACATGTTTGTGACATATTTTGTGTATTATCAGATACCTCATTTTGGGGGCATTCAGGATTCTACAAGCAATCTTTGGTATGAAATTGCTGCTCCTTTTTTCCTTACCATGATGAAAGAAAATCCTTTCCAGAGAGAAATCCAGCCATGGGGACACGAAGGAATGTCGGTGGTTTGGCTGTGAATGGCTATGGCAATTGCAGGACCTTCACAGACGGTGCATCTGCGGCATGAAACAAAGAACCTGGTGGCATCATCGTGTCCTGGACTCCGATGTGCTGCTTACCGTTCGATTTTAAAAGAAGTGATTCACCAAGTTCCCCCACAAACTAAGTGACTGGATTTTTACCTGCTAATATAAGGCTCCAGGGCTCTGCCAGTAATTGGAGCCATGTCCATTGGCATCAGAGCTGCTGTTGACAGCCAGTAGGAATAATCATTTCGAGATGCGAAGTTACATACTTTGTTGATGTTACAGAATAAGAATGGCATTGTGGTAAATCGCTGTAGGCAGCTTCCAAGAGTTCCTAATAAAATAGCAGACTGGTTATCACTTTCAGTAAATTGAAATCATTTTGGATATTGTTACTAGATAGAGGCTAATTAAAATATAACCTATGGCAAAAACTGAAGAAAGATGACAAAAAAAGTTATTTGAAAAATGTATTATGGAATTTTTAATAATGATAGAAATCAAAGATCTAGTGGGCAAACAAATTGTCTTTTTCACACTCTTAATACTTCTGTGGCCCATCTTAATCAGTGTAGAATTTGAGGACTGGTAGAGGTCAGTTGGAAAAATGTTTTTGCTTTAAAGTATTCCCAGGTCTTGATACATATACAATACCTAATAGCCAGGAAAAGCTTTAGAAAATATGTTACTTTATGATTAAAAACCAGATAGATGATTTACATGAAGCTGTTTTTGTTGAACAGGATGAGCTAAATTGACATTCAAGAGCAAAGCCCCAGGCTTCAAGTTCAAGATGGCAGAGTAGGAGGATCCTGAGCTCACCTCCTTTCATTAACACCAAAACTGCAACTACATGTAGAGCAACTGTCTCTGGGATCACTTGAAGACTCGCAGAAAGATTTTCTACAACTATAGACAAAGTAAAAGCCACACTGAAAAGGGTAGGAGGGGTAAAGACTAAGCCTAGTCAGCACCTACCCTACTCCCTACTCCTCATGCAGGGACTCATGAGTGGGAGGGTTATCACAACCTCAGAGGTCGTCCCTGGAGAGCGAAGGGTCTGAACCCTAAACTGGTTGACCTGAACCAGGAAGTGGAGCCCTCATAACAGCTGTCTGAAAATCAGCAAGGCTTACATCTGGGGGAGCCAAAGGTCTGTAGGAAACCCAGGTTGCGCTCCTTCCTAGTTCTGGCACAGAGGGAGCAGTTTAAAAAGCAGCTAGGTCATACATGAAGGTGATTCATTGACTAATTTTAGGGTGTGTGCTGGAGGGACAGGGATCTGTTGGAACTTGCTGGTGCCACAGGTGCTGGTGGGTACCATTTTCCTCCTTTAATCTGGCTGGTCTGACACTGCCCATTAACCTTGCTAACACTGTTCAACCCACCCTGGCATTTCCCTGAGGGGCTACCCAGGGTAGACCCTTCCAGAGCACTTCCCGCCCTGCCACACACAGTGGGAAGCATCACTCAGCACCAGCACACGGCAGTGTGTCTGCAACAGCGGGGGTGCGCTTTGCAGCCAGCCACACCAAAGCCTTGCCCTGCATTCCAGTGAGCCTGCAACAGTTGTGGCCAGGCCTCACAGCCAGCAGGCCAGATAGCAGCCTTGCCTGCTAGTGTGTCCACAGAAGTTGTGGCCCAGCCACAACAGGAGGCTATATTAGTCCCTGCCATAGACCACCTGGCTCTGGTAATAAGAGGGACATTGAAGTTAGGGCCCCATGGGAAAATAAGGCCACTTTTTCAAGACCAAGAGATTTAGCTTAACTACCTAATACAATACATAAAAATAAACAGGCAAAATGAAGATAGAAAAGAATATGTTCCAAAAAAAAAAAAAAAACCAGGATAAAACCCCAGAAAAAGAACAACATGCAACTGAGATCAGCTGGTCTACTGGATGAAGAAAGAGTTCAAAGTAACAGTCATGAAGATGCTCTTTCAACTGTGCAGACAAAGAAACTCAGAACTTCAGCAACTTGAACAAAGACCTAAAAATTCTAAAAAAGGACATAATTAGAACTGAAGAACATAACAATTAAAATGAAAAAATCACTGTAGGAAATCACCATCAAATCTGATGACACAGAAGACTGGATGAGCAATCAGGAAAACAGCATAGTGGAAGATCAAAAAGAAAAAAGAATGAAGATAGCATAAGAGACCTATGGGACAACATCAAGCATACTAACTAACATTCAAGTCATACGGGTCCCAGAAGGAGAACAGAAAACCTATTTGAGGAAATAATGGCTGAAAACTTTCCTAACTTGGGAAAGGAAACAGACATCTAAGTCCAGGAAGCACAGAGTCCCAAACAAGATAAACCCAAAGAGACCCACACTGAGACACATTATAATTAAGTTGTTGAAAGTTAAAGAGAGAGTCTTAAAAGCAACAAGAGAAAAACAACTAGTTACATACAAGGGCATTCCTATAAGACTGTCAGCTGACTTTTCAACAGAAACTTTGCAGGCCAGAAGGGAGTGGCATGATATATTCAACATGATGAAAGAAAAAATGTACAACCAAGAATACTCTACCCAGCAAGGTTATCATTCAGAATAGGAGGAGAGATCAAGATTTTCTCAGACAAGCAACAGTTAAAGGAGTTCATCACCACTAAAGCAGCATTATGAGAAATGTTAAAGGGAATTATTTAACTGGAAAAGGCCAAAACTAGAAATAAGATGAAAAAATATGTACTGCTAAAGGCAAACATATAGTAAAGATAGTAGACCAACCACTTACAAATGTAGTATGAAAACAATTAAAATGGCAATAAGCACACACCTATCAATAATTACTTCAACTGAAGTGGAGTGAATGCTCCATTGCAGAAACAGGATGACTGAATGGTTAAAAAAAAAAAAAAAAAAAAAGACCTGTACGTATTCCTGCCTACTTTGCCTCCATGAGACTCTTGATTGAAAGTCACACAGAGACTGGAAATAAATAAATGGAAAAGATGTTTCATATAAATGGAAATGAAAAAAACAGAAGCTGGGATAGCAATACTTATATCAGACGAAAAGACTTTAAAACAAAGGCTATATAACAAGAGACAAAGAAGGACCCAGCAATTGTTTTCTTCAGATAAGTCCCCAGAAGTAGAACAATTTTTTAAAAATACATGCACCTTTGTTTACTGCAGCATTATTTACAGTAGCCAAGCTATTGAAACAACCCCAGCATTCATCACCAGACAAATGGATAAAAGGAGTGGATGTGTGTGCACATGCAGACAACACACCAGGGTGTTGCACAGCCAGAAAAGAAGTGGATCTTGCCATTTGCAGCAACACAGATTGACCTAGAGGGTATTATGCTAAGGAAATTAGGTCAGAGAAAGACAAATACTGTATCATTTCAGTTAGGGATGGAAACTAAAAAACAAAAATGAACAAACTGACCTATAGATACAGAAAAACTGGTAATTGCCAGAGGGTTGGGTGGTGGGGGTATGGGTGAAAAGGCTGAGGGGATTAGGAGGTAGAATCTTGTGAATATGTCATCAGGATGTAAAGTACAACATAAGGAATATGAATATCAATATCACAATAACTTTGCATGGTGATGGATAGTGGACTTTTTGTGGTGATCACTTTGTTAGGTATATAAATGTTAAATCTCACTATGTTCTACATCTGAAACTAGTACAATATTGTATGTCAACTGTAATTCAGAAGAACTTTACATTTCAAAATAAAATTAGACAGGAAACCAATCTTTTGTTTACTATCTTGATACCCAAGGTTGTTTACACTTCAGAGAGAAGTACCCCATGCCATAAAAACTTATAATCTGTATGTGGAACAAAGTGGGAACTGGGGCATTACCCAGGTCCTGTCCGTGGGCTTGCTCATTTCCTTGCACGAAAAGAAGCGAATACCCGCTGTAGAGCGGCTCCGTCCCTTCTGGACAGGAGGGAATTGCTGTGCTCTGACTGTGCCGGGTGAAGATGAAGCCTCTCATTGTGGGACCAGCTGCAGGCGGTCCAGCGTCGCCCGGCTTGCCCTTCAGACCTGGCAGTCCGTCGAATCCAGGCAGTCCTTCAAGAAATGTTATGCGTGTTGCAACACAACCTCAAACTTGTTTTTCCAAAGTACTGATTTACATGTTTATGTGTATCCGATAAGCCCCAAATATAGTAAGGAGTCACAGAGAATAGTGGCTTATACAGTGGCCGAACAATATTAATAAATGCTGACTAATACCATACAATGCCATTACACGTATTTGTTATATCTTACGATGAATGTTTTGGGATTAAGATGTCTGTCTGTATTTCCCTGTGGTGCCAAGCACCATGGTCTGTGGTAGGTTTTATGTACATTTTTTTTGCATAGATGACTGCTTTACAATGTGGGGAATAAGAAATCAAATATAATATGAAAATCAAGAAGATAAAATTACATGGGCTTTTCATAATTTCAATAAATGTGGGCATTATTTTCAGGTAGCTTAACTATTTCCTTCAAAGGAAAACTTCAAGAAAGGTTTTGATCAGTTAATAAGGCAAATAAGAACAGAAGAGTTTAAAAAACTGGTAAGAGTTTATGAGTTAAAACCAAAGTATGTTTTTTACTTTGTACTTTCTCTGCATTTGGAGTAGACTAATTAATACACTTTTGTCACTTTCTAATGACACCTATCCTCAGGATAGGACCTGAGACCTATCCTTTTTCTCCTTTTTCTTGTTCTCTCTTCATCAAATACCTTTTTTTTTGTTTGTTTGTTTTTTATGGTACTGCCACAGGCTAACCAACCCCCTCACCCTTGATCCATTTCTGCTCCCACTGCACCCCAAGTCCCCCTGATTTTGCTGATGGCCCTTTAGAGTTCTGAGGACATGCAGGGATGGCAGAGACTCGGATTTTTGGCCTACCTGGTCAAAGAGGTGTTGGTATTTTTCTTCCTGAACCGCCATGCCATGGAATCAGGCTGTGCCTTGGTGTCAGTTTTAAGTCAGTGCTTTTCACAAGGATTTGTAAAATCCCCAATACACTTTTTTCCAGTCCCTACCTATTCCTATCTCCTCCTGGGTCCTTGGTTCATTCTTTGAAATTGAAAATAGGCTACATCCAAATTCTTCAAAATCATCTTACTTGAAAAGTCCAAATTGCCATGCTCCTAATAAATCAGGGAAGGTGTCTTCACTTTACCTAGAGTCTACCTTCTTTTGCAGGAGGCTGTAACAAACACAAGGTCCCTTCAGGTGTCTGCACAGGAACTGAAGTAATCAGCCAGGTGTGGCAGAAACTCAGGTGAGCTATTACCCAAGGACAGTCTACACATCCAAGAACAGCCAAGGCTCTCAGTTTAGACCAATGCTGTTTGACTCTGAGACTCCTCTCTCATTCTCATGAGGCCTTTTGTAACATTAGGATTAACTCTGTCCTCTTACTAATCATTCTCAATACAGTTTGTACTGGAGGACCTTCGCTCTTGCTGTGGCCCCATTCTGAAACACCGACTTGGTCAATGAAGCTTTTTTAATTCATACAATTATTAGTAAGGCTTCTTTTTTTTTTTTTTACCACTTAGAAAACACATCTGAAGGAAAGTCAAACAGTGCTGTAAAGTGCACTCATGACAACACTGAATTATAATGGTTATGGAATTAATATAAATATTAGCATTGCATTGGAGCTTTTAAAGATTGAAATCTCTAGATTTGACAGTTATGGTAGATTTGGGCATATATCAGGAAATTGGGGAATCACAGAATTCTTTCTTATTTTAAAGTCAGCAATCCTCAAAATAAGATTTGGACATCCTGGTATTTTCTAGGGGGTGCTTGCGAAACTCGCAGAAGGCAGACTTTGGTCCAGGTGAACATAGGGCTCATGCTTAGACTGAAACAGTTAAGAGGCCGTTTTTCAACATGCACAGGAGTCGAGTTGTGATCACAAATGGCATAGTTAGACCATAGCTTTCCTAAGTAAGGCTGCTGACTTGCTCTTCTGCTTCTATCCAGATAATATTTCTCTACCTGTATATCACCCCCGTAAGTACATATTATTAACTAAGTATTCCTGTAAGTGGAAAACAGTACTGGCCTTTCTGCAAATAGAATTAGTGCTTCATTAGGTCCTCAGGCTAAAAATTTGGAGTACACCTGCCCAGTTAGGAGGTTAAGAAGAATGGTGTATTTCAATAACTTGAATTTTCATCCAAATGAACGCTTTACTGCTGGTGTTTAGTCTAATCTGAACAACAAACTGAAAGACCTAGGTTACTCTTGTAGGCAGTCACACGAAAGTAGGACTTCTCTGTCTGCTGAAACGCCCCTGCGGCGAAGGGGACAGGCCAGCGTTTACCTTGCTCTCCTTTACGACCTTTGTTGCCTTTTTCTCCAGGGGGCCCAGGAGTACCTGGGGTTCCATCCTTGCCTGGTTTACCTCTTGGCCCACAGGGTCCTATGCAGAAACAAAAAAATGAAGAAACCAACCTTGCACCGAACAGCTCACATAGATAGAATAAGAGGGAGGGTGGTGTGCCATCTCAGTTCACCTCCCCAGTTTCGGCAGTGAAGGTTCGGCAAACTGAGCAGACTCTGAGCTCTGGGCAAACTGGGACACTTGGTCATCCAAGTTGTTACATCCTAGTCCCCAGGGGAAAAGCCCCCTAAAAGTGAACTAGGAGTATATGAAATTACAGCGTATTTAAGTTGTGCTGCCATCTTGGTGTATGCTGTTCGGGAATTCACTACGCCCTTGTTTCGACCAAAGTAATACGTTATCTCCCAGGTGATTCAAGCAGATTTAGAACATGATTTCATTCAGAAAATTTACAGTATGCTAAACCTATATAAAGGGGCTAGTTCAATTTTCACACACCAATATTTTGAGAAGCTTTCATAAGATGAAGCATACATTTGTACGTACTATTCCAAGTGCTATACACAGTGCTAGAAAAGTATCAGTATAAAGAAGGCAGTCAATTAGAAATAGAGCTCTGGGACGAACAGTTGTTAGGAAAGACGGATACAATACTTTTGCCTTAATAAAAAACAACCCCCTAAGTGCCCCAAAGTGTATTTGCTCAAGTTTATACTATGCACAACAGCTTTCAATATATTGAAAAGGTCTTGTATCTGCTGGTGAAGAATAAAATGAGCTCAATTCTAAAATGTATTGAAATGTAGTGTGTAATGTTTTTTGTGAATTATTGTTGGCTGGTTCAACTAGTTCCTAGTGATGCAAGTCAGTGCTGCCAGTCCCACACCTGGTTTCCCTGGTGGCCCCGGTGGCCCAGGTTCTCCTTGTGTCCCTGGTTGTCCAGCTGGGCCCGGTGGCCCTGGACTTCCTGGAAGGGAGATGATCGTGACAGTGCCAGGGTCTCCACGTACACCTATTCACATGAACATAAGAAGATGATGGCTTTGCTCATGAGTCACCCTTTCTTCCTGGAGAGCAAACTAAGGACATAATGTGTACCTGGTGGTCCTTTTGGCCCCACTGGCCCCGGAGGTCCAATTGATCCCCGAAGTCCTGGGTTACCCTTCTCTCCTAAAAAAAAATGGGAGAGGGAAGCAATGTGGTTGCACTTAGAACAATGGGTTTCCCAGCTCTTCAGGTTGGTGGCAACTCCAAGGATAGATGCTGTTGGAGGGAAGACACCCTTTGACAGCCTCCAACTTAATTATATTCACAGAGGTTTTGGCATTTCATGTGGACCCAATCAGTCATGTTCAATATCTGTTGAAAGATATACGCTAGAAATAAGTGTGAAGAATTTGTATTGTAGTGCTGAAGGGGAAGAGTTTCTTTATTTAGAAATTTTTATTATTATTATATTACAGTTGTCCCAGTTTTCCTCCCTTTGCCCTCTTCTGCCACAGAGGGGAGTGTCTAAGAGTTCACTATTTAAGTTCAGAAACCAGTTCAATTTAACATTAAGGTAAAATATGAAGTGACATTAAAGCCTCTTATTACACCACATTTCCTGGTAAATTATATTGGTTGTCATAGTTCTTGTTTCCCTTGGGGGATTAAACATTTCTAAATAAGGAGCGAACCCAGCCGTGCCCACTGATAGGAAGTCCAATTCTGAAACTCTGAGAGCGCTCCAGTGTTTCGTGGAACGTATTTTAAGAGAACCGATTCTATGGCTCTCCTCTCTAAATACCCCGAAAATACCTCGCCAGAATGTTTCTTTCTTTAGGGCGTGGGGGAGGGCTTTATATAACTGAAAAATAAAGAAAAGGCCTTAGACATTCCTATGGTGAGGCTTGGGGAGCGGGTGGCACCCGTTTTTCCCAGGCTGCCTGCCAGTGGTCACCGCCCCAGCGTGTAGAGAGGCTCATCTGAATCCCCTGCTTTGATTTGTTCTTCGCTGATTGGCTCCTGGGAGAGGCAGTGGTGAAAAGCGTTAAAAAGGCTGTCTCTGAACCTCTCCTTACCCTCCCTCAGACCTGGAAAAAGTCTTCCTTTGAGAAAATGTGGCTTTGCTCACTTCGGCTACACTTAATATTTAGCATCTTACAATCTGTAGTAGGTTCTCTGCCGTACAGAAAACAGTACAGAGGATTTAACCAGCTCAGACATCAATTTCCATGTTCCAAACCTCATGTAAGGTCATAGCACCGTTATGGAAGACTGGAGAATTTCCAAAACCTGAAGCTTAAATGTCCGTGTATCAACATTTTAAAGTTAAAAACCCAGTTACTTTTTTTTCTGATTAAAAACATAATGCCTGTGCCACATAAAGAAAAAAACCACATAAAGAAAAAAATGCTTAAGCCACATATAAAATGCACTTACCCTGCCCATTAATAAACACGGGACAATAAACAATGCAGAGCAGTACTATTGGTTTTAATGTAGTTTCCCACCCCCAACCCACACACATCAGTACACTGTTTCTGTTTGGTTTTCCTATAGTCTCCATCTTGAAGCTATGGTTTTAATTTGTGAGTCCCCTGGGGTTGGGTGTAGCTGGTGGAGCCTTCTTCAGTAACGCTGAGGTCTTACTGGTCCCAACCCTAACTGGGGCGACTGGGCGTGTGCAGACATTTGTGTGCCCTGGGATATGAATCTCAGTCACTCTATTGGCATCCGAAGAGCAGTGCACAAAAACGGTACCTTTCATGCCTGGAAATCCTGGGAACCCAGGATCACCTCTGAGCCCTGGCAGACCCGGGGTTCCTGGTGCTCCCTGTATTTTGAATAAAAGAGAGCAGAACCACAGACACACTGCAAAAATCACAATATTCACTGCAGTTGGTTTTTTTAAGCAAATAGGATATGTTGGGTAAGAACGGGCTGACGTTAAGCCACATCATCTTAACCTTCCAATCCAGTGTTCCACCTCCTGTAACTCCTCTGCTACCTAGACTGCTCCTGAGCACCGTCATTGTCAATAAAAAAAGAAATAAAATCTAACCTTAAGCCCCAGAGCAAACATAACTTCTGATACTCATGCATGTTGTGTGAATATTGGATACACTTGGGGAGGAAGAGCAGGCAAGGGACTGCCAGAATAATGATGATAACTTCATTATTAATGATGATCATTCTGGCAAAAACAAGCTGTTGAATTGTAGCAGCCACCGCCATTCTAACCAAGCCAGCAGAGTTAAAAATTACTCCTGGTCGGAGAGAAGAAGTCAAGTGCCCAGGAATGGGAGCAGGTGGGGGTCGTCAGGGCAGTTCTGCCATGCACTTCGGGCAACGATGTGATGGGGAGGAGATGCTCCCTCCTTAGGAGGCCACACCGATTGCTCCAGTAGCCATGAGATGTCCAAGCAAAGACAAAAGGAGTGGGGAGGGGAGGGAGCAGGGCTTCCAAAAAGAGCCACACGTCAGAATGTATGTAAAATCTACACTGACAGTGTCCAGAGTAGAAACAGAAAGTTATTACTGGAAAACAATGAACATGACAAACACCAAAATTAAGACTGCCCTTTGAGCCAGCAGTTGTTGCAGCAAGAAGCCCAAACAAAGCTGAGATGCTGTCCTATTGCCTGGATATGGTGGTGTGGGGTTAAAGAAAGGGGGGCGAGCAAACAGAGCCATCTGATCCTCGACTCCCAGGCTTTTAAGGTCTGGCAAGGGTGGCCAGGGAGGAGGGCCTGCCTGCCAGCCCCAGCCCTTGGGGAGGGAGGGAGCTCTTCCATGCAAGGAGAGAGCCAGAAGAGGCATCCAGCCGGTGTGGGCACCCATTAAGAAGAATTACCTTTCGAGTGTAAATGTAGAAGCCTAAGATCTTGGAACCCCCAGAAGATTTAAGTGAGATCACATTTCCAAACCCGACTTCCCATGTCCAAGTGTCATTGGAGGAACTTTTGATGTGATCATAGGACCAGTGTTGGCCACCTTCAAAGAGTCATGGAAGATATGAGAGATACTGAAGACTGAAGAAGGGCAAATACCTCCTTTTTCAAATGAAAGGGTTTAAAAAGGTAGATTTTAGAAACCAAATGCCAAGAGATCTTAAGAGAGCAACATGATTCCTGACAATAAGCTACACTGTGCCTTATTGCCCATCACGGATGACAACAGAACATCCAGGGCAGAATTCTGATTTCCTCACCAGACTCCACGAATTGGGTGTAAACAGAGGAATTGCATAGCTAGGAAGATGGCCCAGGTGTTGAGTGAGAGATCCAGTCAAGACATGTTAATAGGGTGGGAGCATGGGCCTAAATGAGCCAGATGAGCTCTAAGAAAGAAAACTGAAAGTTCTGCATTTCAGTCTCAAACAATAGACAGGACAAGAACTAAAGGAGAAAAGTTAGTAGCACTTCCTGAGCAGAAGACACATGGGCTTTCATCGACCATAAGCTCAGTGTGCGGCAGCAATATGGTGGCAGGAGGGGCAAGCTGCCCCAGTGGGTTTGGCGTTGGGTGATACAGAGTTGCTGATGTTCAGCGCGGTGAGACACACCCCCCAGGCCCTCCACAGGGCGCCGACTTCTCACTCCTGGCGGCTGTGTGTTCCAGGGCCTGCATTTTTAAGGGAGATACTGACAAACTAGGATATATTCAGAATAGAGGCAGGGTTGATGAAAAGTTAAACTGAATTTGAAAAAAAAAAACAAACCAGGTATTTATCGGAGGAGAAAATACAGGGTAGGCAAAAGTAGGCTTATAGCTGTGAGTCTATGAAACAGTTTATTCTTATTATTTGTTTATTAACTAGTATATTTATTGTTATTATTAACCTACTTTTGCCTACCCCTGTATTTGGAAGGAGATGGCAGGTACTTACAAACAGTGGAAAGTAAGCACTGTATGTCATGGGAAGAAAAGAAATAGACATCACCTTGAAAGCATATTAACAAAGAAAAATTATGTTGTCTTCTAGAGTGATCCCAAACTCCTAGGTGTTTTTTGAAGCTTCCATCCCTAGAACTGTTTAGTCTAAACAAGAAAAGGTCAGAAATGACATAGAGCAGAGTCCCACATGGACCAAACTCTCAGAGGGCTCTTAGAAGCCAAATCTGTCTAATGCTTATGATTCTTTGATTCTTTGAACCTTCTGGACTTAAATGGGGAAATCTGGTTGCTTCTTGTACATCTGATGCCGGCGATCGATTTGGAAGAATAAAGAAGTCAGAATGGCTTCCACACTCACCGGAGGACCCGGTGGCCCTGCGTCCCCTGCAGGTCCAGGTGGGCCTCTTGGGCCAGGCTTGCCGATAGACCCCTTGTCTCCTTTCACGCCTTCCACGCGTCTGCCTGGAGGCCCGGGTGGACCAGGCTCGCCTGGGTGCACAGAGAGCCCATCAGGACCGCATGGCAGGGCGCCTGGCAGCTTCTGTCGGTGATTCTTCTGAAGGAAGGGCAAACCCTGTCCCTTATCGTGACTGCGAATGGCCTTCCCCTTTGGGAGGAGGATGGGGTTGCGGTAAAGACAGCATGAGAACATCAGCGGAGCGCCTGGCGCAAGACCAGGACCGTGTCTGCCCGATGAAGGTCTGCTGGGGCAGAACGTGTCCCTGACTCAGACCTGACACACCGGAGGGGCTCGCCGATGAGCCGATGTGTCTCTGTCTCTCAGGCTGATTAATTTGCTAGTTACTCATTTTCCAAACAGGCCTGTCTGCCTGGACAGTGCCAACAGCTTTAGTTCACTCCGTGTGAGGACTGGTGGGCGTGGGAAGATGGAGACGACCACAGGCAAAAAGGAGCCTCACACGAGAGGGAGGCGGAAAACGTCGGATGTGAAACACTATTTTCATTCTTTTATCTTGTTTAAAAGTAGATTCTACCTGGGTTTCCTCGCGAGCCTGGTGGACCTCGGTTTCCTTTCTGGCCAGGGAGGGTCGCACCAGGTGGCCCTGGTGGCCCAGGGAATCCTGCCATTCCCGGGGGTCCTGGCGGCCCGACGTCGCCCACCACCCCTTTCCTGCCAGGGAGGCCAGGCAAGCCCGGGGCTCCTCTGTCTCCTTTGGCTCCTGCAGAGAGAAAGTGTCTAGCAGGTTCTGTAATGCCCCTACTCCGGGAGTTACAGTCTCTGGTTATCTCTAATAATGTAGACATTTTGCTTCAATGTGTTAAGATTCACAATGTTGTTTTTAAAAAAAAGAGCTAGTAAAAGAAATGGAGGTCTTAACTCAGTTCTGCCCTCAGTTAGCCATTTAGTCTTGACAAAGTCCACTTCACTTTAATATAGTCTTATTTTTAAACCACAGATAGTACCTCACCTTGCTCAGTTCTTCAAAGACGAAATGAGACAATAAACAGAAAAGTGAGATGGAAAAACATGCTGTAAGGTCTAAAGTGTTCTGTACACCTGGGCCACAGCCACTGTTATCTGGTGAACTTGAATGACAATGACATTATTTAATCACTGATAATTCCGCCCAGTGCACAGAGCTGAACTTCATGACGATGCTGTGTGCATTTGAACTGTCACAGGGCTAAATCCAGACAAAGGTACAACAAAGCTACCAATTCCACCCTCATCCTTTTAGGGAGTGATACATTTAAACTCTGTTAATAGCAACAAAGCAAATACATAAGGAGTCTCTCTTTATAAAGACTTTCATAGCAGGAAATTCCAAAACTGGATCGCAGTTTCTAATTTATTCACTTTATTGTGATGGTAACAATTTTGCATTTTTACTTGAATACAAAGAGTAGAAACATTCTATGTTATTACTAGGACTTCTTTAATTCAATATGTTAAATTAATTTTATATATCGAGCATATTAAATTACATTCTGTCCTTGAAAACGTGAATCCCCAGGGCCGGGGAAGAACTGCTCACCTGGAGGTCCAGGTTTCCCTTTCAGGCCTGGAAGTGCCCCCAGCAAACCTGAAAGTGGTAATTTCAGCCTATGAGTGTTTTATGTGTGGTTAATTTCATCAGACAGGTATAATCTATTCCACTTGCTCAATTTCATTTTGGCAACAGAAAGAAGTTTAATTATCGTGCCCCCAGAACACATTAAAGACCATTTGTTCTCTCAGAAAAGACTCTCTAGAGCAGTGTCAGGTTACTAATTATTAATTATTAATTCGTGTCACTAATTATTTCATGCAACATAAAACTAGTGGGTCCAAGATAATGAGCAAGTTGTACCTGATTCTCCCTTTTCTCCTGTTGGACCAGGAATTCCATCACGTCCTTGGTCACCTCTCATACCCATTGGTCCAGGATCTCCTGGGAATCCTGGGGGCCCTGGAAAAAAAAATGCTGTTCAAAGAGAGGACTTACTTCCCATCAGCAGCCTAACGTGCCTGATCTGGGTAATTCTGGTAAAGGGGTTCAATCGTCAGACTGTAGTTACGTGACGCTAAAGTCAGTGAAAACTATGAGCAGACTAATGCAATCAGGAGGATTATCACTTTGGAATATTTAGCTTGGCAGGTCTTTGAATTACGTATAAATACCTACCCTCACTTCCATGCATTTCTGACTGAGGGCTGAGAAACTGGAAGCTACCTTCTAAAGGTCAGTTGTGGCTCAGAGATACAGCTCAACAGAGGGTTGAAGCTCAAGAGAAAACGTCTTCCCCCAGGAAAGGGACATAGACAAAGTATAGCAAGGAAACCTGGAGGGCCTTTGGTGCCTGGACATCCAGGGAAGCCTTTCACGCCTTTAGACCCCAGCTCACCATCCGGACCCGGGTCTCCTGTGAAGGAAGAGAGAGGGAAGGGAAACACACACACACACCAGAAGACATGGTTACAGCAATGGCTAAAAGGGTCAGTCCTTACAGTCGGCTGTGCTCACGCCGGTCTTCAGGTGACTTGCTCCTGGTCACCTCAGGCTTTTGTCTTGGGTGCTATTTCCCTAGAGAAGCACAGCAGAGAGGTGTGGCCACACTTTAAAGGTGTGCATACAGCAATCACATGGGCTGCTTAGTATTATCGGGTTTGCTTCAATTGGGAATTAACAGCAAATCCACTGAACCTTTCCATGTTTGAAAAGATAATTTAAGTATTATCTTTAGGTAAGATATGAAGCTGCAGCCCAGTAACTTAGCAGTTGTTTTAAGCAAAGCACAACAGAAACTGAAACCTGAATTATAAGTAAATAAGAAAGAAAGTCAAAGTTCAACCTGGAAACAGGCCAGAAAAAACCACCACCACCCAACAATGGTGTGGTGGGTTGAATTGTGTTGCTTTCTAATTTATATGTTGACGTCCTAACCCCTGGTACTTCAGAACATCACTCTGCATGGAGACCTAGACTTTACAGAGGCAAGTAAGTTAAAATGAGGTCACTAGGGCAGGCTCTGCCCCAATGTGACTGGTGTCCTTAAAAGAGGAGGATATTCGGACACAATGACAGACACAGGGAGAAGGGGGCCATCTCCACGTCAAGGAGAGAGGCTCCAGGAGAAACCAACCCCGTCAACACCTTGACCTCAAACTTCCAGCCTCTGTAATTGGGAGAAAATTAATTTCTGTTGTGGAAGCCACCCCATCTGTGCTCTGTGTTCAGGAAGCCCTAGAAAACTAATCCAACTGTCCTAAGATTGGGCAGTGAACTCACATCTCACATCTTTAGGCTGAATTCCTTGAGGCAGAACCTCAGACGTTTTGTTTACAGGAGCACGTTTTTAGATTTCAGTCCATCTGCCACACTGGCTCATCAGTAAATAAGGCTCCTCCTGTTTAATTCGCTGTTTCTTAGAGTCTTAGAATTTGCAGATCAAAGTTGAATAAAAGCAAAGACAGTACGAAAGCCTAAATAGCTTTCTGTCCACAGAGATGATTCCAGGAGGTGCGAGCCATGCTAAGTGTCTTGCTCCCAGCTCTTGGCGTCAGGAAGCCAATGCTCACCTGGGGGTCCAGGGCTTCCGGGACTTCCAGGGGCTCCATCAGGGCCAGCAGGCCCTGGGTATCCGGGCAGGCCAGGTGGCCCTCTTTCTCCTTTCTTTCCCATGTCACCTGGCAATCCTGGTTCTCCCTGAAATTCAGTCAAATACCTTTAAAATTCTCATATAAGCGGGACATGTGATCAGAATTAAGTACAAACGATGTTTGTTTGCATTTATTTATTATCATTATCATGATCATTTAGTTGGTTAGTAATGCCTGTCGAGTGTCTGCCCTGTGCCAGCACTGTGACAGGTGCTGGACACAGGATGGCTGCATGTTTCCTGGGGCCCCGCTCCCTTTAAGAATTTTTAAAGCAATTCAGGTCAGCAGCAGCAGAGAGCAGTCCTTAGCACCCAACCCTTGTGACGATGGGGGCCACGTGCCTACGAAGCTGGCTCTCACCAGGAAGGCAGCAGTGGCCACATTCCGGTGTGTGGTGCAAACAGTCCCCATCCTCCAGGAGCCTTAGAGACCAGAGGGAAGATGGTAACTAATCACACGAATGTGATGATTAACTCAGGGGTGGGAAAGAAAGAGGCAGACTAAATGAACAAGTTCTACAAATGCTATGCATAAAAATAGATTATGTCAATCACATGTTAAAAAAAACACCCTTCATTAAATCTGTACTTTGGTTTTATGATAAGCCAGCACACATGGATTCAATGGTTACTTACAAAAATCTCCACAATAGCTGATTAAAATATACTACTCTGTTACTATGATTTGCAAGCCAGGTAAAACTAGCTCATTTTGTGTTCAATGTATAGTTCCAAACATTTTTTTCTGTGGTTCCCCATGAAAACCCTACATCTAAATGAAACAATTAACTGACTGTGAGTTAATAAGCATAAAATGATTTCTCACTGAGAAAACAACTCAGTAGAAAGGATGTCTCCCTGGTTTTATGAGGACTTACTCTAAAAATAAAAGGCAAATGAAAATTTTGGGGGTCCAAGTAATACAGGGTTACTTTCTTGGGGTTGTGTGGTTTCTGAAAATTTTCTTTCCTGTTGTTTTAGCCATTACTGCTACAGAGCATGATTGGTAGAAATCTCTAGGAAAGGTGATATTTTATTGGTTCAAAAGAGGGTCAGGGAAAAGGACCCCAAAGTAACAAGTTTTATATTTTGGGGAGTCAAATACTCTTGAAAGTCTGATAAAAAATACAGACTTTCCCACTGAAAAACTTCCACTCATTTTACATTCAATTTCAGGAGACTAGCAGACTTCTGGGGTCCCACAGGCTTCTTTAGAGATGCATGGAATCCCATGTTAAAACTCCTGCTTATGGAAATTTTTATCACTCATTATCTAATGATGGAGCTTTGGCTCTTACGGTAAGTGAAAGGTTGGAAGAAAGTAAACGTAAACAAATGAAAAACAACCAAGCCCCACTGAAATGTTTGGTTGTTACAACATGATAACAAGGGCTTCGCAATGTAACCTAGTTAACAGCACAACACGGAAACAAAATAAAGTTCTGTGTAATGGAACGAAAATAATTAAAGTTCTAAAACAATTAGGGTAAATGTATGGATCTTAGGATTTTGTTTGCTTTTTGATGATGCTCTAAAGTTATTTTATTCTACATCTTTTATTATAGTTTAATAAGTCAAGTGTTTTTGATTACAAGGTTTGGAACTTTATTTTTATAAATCTGCGTGAGAAGAGTCCATAGCAGACACTGGCTTACTTTGTATCACAATATAAACAAATGCTGCTCTGTTAGATTGTGTGAGACTTCGATCACTGCCTCCTTCTGGCAGCACACTTAAATTGCAGGGATACTTAGGAGAAATTCCTTGGGAGTTGAAACCACTGGGAATAAATTAAGAAGTTGATAACTGTGTAATAGGCATACTCAGTTGTGAAGATAGGATTCAAAAAACCAAATAACTACCTGAGAATAATTTTAATTTTTTTCTCAGTCCACATTGAATCCATGTACTTGCTATTTAAAAGGACCTACTCCATCATCAAAATATAAATACTTCACTTGTCTATATACCTTTGGTCCTGGTGGTCCTGGCCTTGCACCTTCTGAACAACCTGGCTCTCCCTTATCTCCTTGAAGACCATGGACACCTGGGAGGCCTGGTCTTCCAGGTGGACCCGGGAGTCCCAAAGTTCCCCTCTTTCCTTTGGACCCTGAAATTAGGAAAGAAATCAGGCAAATTAGGTGAACACAGAGATCTTGACATGTTCTCCCTATGGCCTTTGCACAAACCACCTTTCTCTGAGGAAGCTGAGTTTTCACTGTCACTAATGTATAAGGTAATCATAATGGTTGATTTTAACACAGTGTAAATATTCATTTTGTTCTCACTAGTGTTCTACTTGCACATAATACCTTTGTCTGAAAGTAAATCTAGTTGTTTTATACCAACTGTCTCAGAAGTGGAAAACCAAACTACAAACAACACAAAGAATCTAGAATTGGGACCCATCGTGAGCTGGTAGGCTCATAACAGGATTTTACACTTTACCTGGCAACCCCATGGTGCCCATGCTTCCTGGCAGACCACGGGGTCCTGCTTCTCCAGGATTTCCAGGGCTCCCAGGATCTCCACCGGGGCCTGGAGAACAAATAAACAGTTACCCGCTCCGCACAGTTCCTGGACACAAGGTGCTCAGCAAACATCTCTTGGCTGCATGAATGCACGCATTCAGAGCGGCCAGGCCAGCTGTTTAAGAACTTGTTGGCTGCCCTTTTGCCTTCATATAAGGAGGGGACTGAGGACCCAGAAATGTAAAATTAGAGAAAGGCAGATTCTTGTCAGCTGGATTTTGAACGTCAAAATCATCCTAGGACCAAGGCCAGTAGCAGAGTGGTGGGGGGCAGAGAGGGGGCGCTGTGACCAGATAGTAACTAGATAGTAATAGAGTTCTATACTGAAACTTTATTGCCATGTAATATATTTTGTTATTGATGTGATCATAGAGAATGGGGGACACTTTAATTGTTTTAAAAATTCTTTGCAACTCCATAACCTGTTTTTTTTTTAAAGCAAATTCAAAATCTCTGAAGTACTGGTAGATTTTCTTGTATGATATGTGATATTGTGGTAAATTGGCTTTTATAATACCTAGTAGCAGTTTCAAAATAAAAATTTTAGTACAAAAATGGAACTTCAGGTATATAAATATTTTTTAGTTAACACAGGCTGACTACATACACTTTCATTTTGGTTTAATTTAGAAGCAATTTTCTGTTGGAAGACTATTGGACCAGAATTCCCATTCATTCATACCAGTAAGTCTAGAAACACACTTTTGTTACATTTAGATCTAGGAAAACTTAAACCCTGTTGTTCCTACTAGTAAACCAGCTCCACCTGGTGGGCCTGGAGGTCCAGGGGGCCCGTTGAGTCCTTCCGGGCCCCAGAATCCTGGGTTGCCTCTGTCTCCTTTCTCACCCGGCTTTCCTGCAAATCCTAAAGTTAAAAACAATGGAATAAAAATACGGGTTAGGATTTTGTCAGAGTTACCTACATCCTGATTAAAATTGATGAGATATTATTATAATAGAATATTGAATATTTGTTAAGAGAATGGGCTGATGTGGACATACCTTTTTAAAAAAGGATTAAATGAGAACATGTATGATGTATTAGCACAGTGGCCGGCATGAGTTAGCACTCAAAGAAACCTAGCAGTTATCATCATTTTCACACTTTAAACAAGCATTGTAGAGTTAGTGGCCTAAGAATAGCTTCTTGTTTTATTTTAGTAATGACAGAGGGCCATGATTTTGTCTGCACTACCCCATTCTCAGTCCATTTATTATAACTATGGTTTATCAAGTAACGAGCATGCGACAGGAAGCACTTTCTTGTATTTGTCTGTCAATCTGCAGGCGATCTCAGCCTTTCCAGAGAGAGCGCAGCAGGGAGAAAACTGACTCTAAGTAGACAAGGGACTCATACAAGGGCCACGTGGTCAGTCATCGGTAATGGTAGGATTTGAACCCAGCTCTGAAGGCTGGAAAGCTCATAAACTTCCCATAACACAGTCCTACTTTTGTAAAACATGGTTTTGATCACATTGTTTTCTTGATCAAAAATACGACTTTGTCTTTTCAAGCATGTACCCAAGTCTCTGTGCAGACTCCTTTAGGAGACGCCCCAGTTGTGATAATTTCTACCCTCAGTATCTCACCCATCTGCAAGTGGATGTCTGTGAGTTAGAAATGAAGACTCTAAAAGTGGACTGCATTTAAATTAGGGAGGCCTAAGGAGTATGACCTTTTGTTGGTTTTCAATCTCTGCTCCTCAGTGTGCATTTGAAAACCCAAAAGAAAACATATAGGACAGTTTCCATTCATACTGAACTTTGGGTGAGTGAAAAGAATTGTGTTAGAACCATAGAAATAGCATGTGTCCTTCTGTACTTCACCAAAGGAATTTTTAAGGTATAAATTAGTCCCCATTGTGCATTCATGATGTTAGAGGCAAATTTTAGTTTATGTAGGCACAGATATGGCATTCACATTCTTTTCAAAATGTTTCTATTACTTCCTAAGTTATCTGGAATAGTCCAATGAAGTAGTGTGTAGACAATTTATGAGGACTGGACACTTGTGGTGGTATTTTTTTCATATCTTGGCTTAGACCAGTTCTACCAGATTTTTAAATGAAGTCTCTATTACTTTCTATTTCATTGCCAAAAATGTGTTGCAATCTTCTGTTTGCCCCAGAACTGAACTATCTCTTAGACACCAGATTAAGTAGTAACTACTTAAAAGGCCTTTACTTTTTTTTATGGATTAAAACAACCTTTCTATGAATTGATTTGTCTAATAATTATCCTTTTTTTTTAATTGGCAAATTAATTAGATTCCAGCACCTTCTAGACCCTGGTCAGATGTCACTTCTGGGAAGTCTTTCCCAATTCTGAGAAGACAACTATTCAGTCTTTCTGGTATGGTCTGTAGCATCCTGTGCAGAAATTCTAAAGCAAATCTACTTGGACCGTATGTGCCAATCATAAAAATATTTGTTGACTACAACCTCACTCCTCAAAATTTATTACAAATTACTCAAAACGTAATACGGTTTTGCAACTGTAGGTGCATTTTTTCTTAATTCTTGTGTGAAAGTTGGATCTGTACCTATTTCACCTGACCCAGCAATTCTCTCTTTTTCTAAAATTACTTGGGATTAAAATTGGTCAAGAAGATCATAAGGCAGGCTTTCTCAAAATTTGATTTGATATTGGCTGTATTGATCATATAACAAACACTGTCATAGAAAGTACTCAAATCACTTAAAATAATTTGATTGTGTTTAAATTTTAACTGAATAACTACAGCTAAGATTTAACAGCATTCTAAAGTATTAATTTTCAATGAAAACAAACTTTCTTTTTTTAGTAATTATTCCCCAAAGGACTTTGAGCATGAGAAGCAGTTTTCGGATGCAGTGGGAAAGCTTCATGCTGACGGTTGATGGGATGTAGTGGAATTCGGGGCGGAGGTTTATATATGGAATTTCCTGAAGGTTCAGTTTTCGCCTCACTTGTCAGATAGGAGACATGGAGGCTTATGATTTAAACACTGACTAGTGAAAATGTAAAAACAGCAGACCAAAGTGCAGAAATGACTTAGAGATAAAAAGTGATACGTTATAGAGGCAACATATTATTGCACAAAGCACATGAGACCTGAACTCTAGTTGAGGTCGGGCCACCAACTGGCTGTGTGACTGCGGACAGGACACTGGCCCTCACTGTCCTTGTTTGCCAGCCAGAAGGGTGGCCCCGGTAAGTCTTCGTCACAGAATCAGCTCGAGTTCTGGTTCTAAATGCAAGGTCATCTGTACCTTTGAGGCCCGGTTCTCCTTTGTCCCCCAGGAAGTGGGATATCTGAGAAGGCCCAGGGGGTCCTTTAGTGCCTTTGTCCCCCTTGGCTCCTGGGGGTCCTCTCTCACCCTTTGCTCCTGGAATTCCAAGGCTGCCTACAAGATAGGAGTAAACACAGCAGTTCCTTAATTCTTTAAGTAGTTCATAAGGATGCAGAAGTTCACCGTGCTTACCATAAAACAAAAAAAATAAGCCAGAAAGCTTAACAGAGCCGAGACCTTCATAAGCCATTCCCTCAAACAGGCGGTTATGTGAAGGTGGCCTGTAAGCCTGCAGGGAAAACCATGGTCCTGCTCAAAAGGAAAACACGGAACACAGGAAATAGCAAAATCAGATGCATCGTTCTCCTAGAACTGCTTTCCCTTCGAAGAATAAAATACAATGTACTGTGCCGTTCTTTCCTCCGGAGAGCTGGAGGCCCCGCCATCACTTACCCCTCTGTCCTGGGGGGCCCGGGCTCCCAGGAGGCCCTGGGAGGCCAGCGTTGCCAGGAAAGCCCATCATCCCAGCCATCCCTCTTTCACCTGCGGAAACAAAGTAACTCGGGCAGCACACAGGCAGTGGAGAAAAGCAATTAAGCAAACTAGACTTGGTCTATATACGACAGTAAGTTTCAACTCCACAAACAGAATAAACTATACTTAGAAGGAGAGACTGGGAGTGGAAGGAATGGTTTCCTTAAACAGGAAACGAACCTTATTTGTCTGGGAGATGGGTCAGTCAACCATCTGTTACATCAGGTATGTGAAAGCCACAGGGAGCAGGTCACATTTGTGGGTAAGAATAGAATATGCTTAAGTTTTGGACCTTTCCCTCCTCCCAGTCCGTGACCAGTAGCTTTCTGCTTACTCCCTTATCTTACTTCCTTCATAGCAGTTGTCTAGAGTTGAACTTGTAACTAAGGTATACGTTATTGCCCCCCACTGTCGGAGGTGGAGTCTTGTCCACTGAGGTGTCTCCAGGGCCTGGAACTGTGCTGGCTTGTGATAACTGCTCAGTCATACGAATGAAAAAATAATTTGCAGATTAAGTTGTTATTCTGGACTTTTCTCTAGAGGAAAGGTCAGTGAGATTCTGTGCCATGAAGAGAATATTGGTATAGTCTTCCCAAACATTTAAACTATAAAAATAGGGATGAAATAAAGTGCATTATAAGGGGATGCTACGAATAACTATTTAACATGCCAGCACATTAGATACTAACCTAGAGAAAATGGACAGACTCATCAAGAGGCACAGATTAACAAAACTGACTCGGGAAGAAATAGAAAAATCTGATTAGACCCATAACAAAGGAAGGAATCGAATGAGTATTTTTTTAAATTACCACAAAGAAAAGCCCAGAACCAGATGACTTCACTGGCAAATTCTACCAAACATTTAAAAAGTATCCACGCTTCATAAACTCTTCTGGAAAATACAAGAGGAGGAAACACTTCCTGTCTTATTCTATAAAACCAGTATCACTCTGATCTAAACCCAGGCTAAAACATTGTGAGAAAAAAGACAGACTAGTTTCTCTTGCAAACACAGATGCAGAAATTCTGAACAAAATACCAGCAGATAATATGTTAGTGGTAACATATGAATGGGATTCCACGGCAAAAGCAGTCACCTCCTGGGTCGCTGTGAAATGTGATCCTCCCATCACCACCCTGTCCCTGACTTCCAGCCCCTCGCACACCACTCACAAAACTTCCACGAACTGAAAGGGAGGTACAGAGACCAAAGCCTGTGCCCAGTTCAGACAGCTCCTCACTTCTTCCCATCAGAGTAGATAAACCCTGTGCTTGCCTCCTCCAGCTGCGTCAAAACTGCAGCAAAACCACAGAACTGTTGTTCAGGACTGCCTGAGATCTAGCTGAACAGAAGTCTACAGCTAAGGATTTAAAGGAGCAGCCATGTTGAGACTGGTAGGAGGGCAGGAGACACAGAGTGGGCTGGTCCCACACCCACGTGGCAGATAAAAACCAGGAGGGATATCTGGGCAGTGCAGGTCCTCCCTGAGTGAGGGGTCCCAGCCCTACACTAGGACCCCTGCCCAGGGTTCCAGTGCCAGGAAAAGAAATCCTGTAACTTCTGGCTGTAAAAACCGGAGAGGATTGTGGCTGAGACAGCAGGCTTCTCAAGTCCCAGGACTTCCTTTTAAAGTACCTCCCCGACTTACTTGGACCCAGTTCCTCTGCGCTTCAGCACCTGGGCAGCAGCTCAGAAGGTGCCCAGGACAAATTCGAAGGAACTGAATTGTCCAGCTTCAGGGCGGGCTGGAGAGCTAGCTTTCTCCCAGACAGAGTGCAGCAGAAGCCTTTGTTCCTTTGCTGAGCCCATCCCTCCCCATCCTCCCCCACCCCCACCAAGTCTGCAGACACCATATCTGAGTCTCCATCAGCCTGGTTCACACCGTTCAACCTGAACTGGCTATTCCCCGAGACCCCACCCACCCACACAGCTCCTGGGCTCACCCAAGCACTTCCAGTGGCTTTTCCATACAAATGGCCTGTTTTGATTCATGCCGTGGACTTTCCTAAAACCTCCAGAAGGTTCACTAACCCCAAACAAGCAGCTCCTGGCTTCATTGTGCCCAGTACCTCTTGTTAAGTGGCCCCAGGCCCAGCTTGTAAATGGATTAAATGCTTCAGTCAAAAGACCTCAAGTGAGGTTTTTTGTTTCCATATTTCATGAAAATGGAAAAAAAATCCCCAAAACCTGGGATAGCAATATCTATATCAGACAAAATAGACTTTAAAACAAAGCCTGTAAGACACAAAGAAGAACCCAGCAATTCCACTTTGGGGTATTTACCTGCAGAAGCCCCAAACACGAATTTGAGAACAAAGACATCCATATGGCCATTCAGCACTATTTACAGTAGCCAAGCTACGGGAGCAACCCAAGTGTCCATCAGTAGATGAGCAGATAAAGAAGTGGTGCATGTGTACAATGGAATATGACTCAGCCAGAAAAAAAAAAAAGAAAGAAAACTTGTCATCTGTAGCAACCCAGATGGGCCTAGAGCAGCAATGGTCAAACTTATTTATCTCAGGGGCTAAAATTCCGACAAAAAATAGGTATAATTTTGACTCATTCACACCGGACGGCTATGGTTGTGTTGGTTGTTGTCCGTGTCTTGTTTGACCATCTTGGGGAACAGAGAGGGCAGTGCCCCTGGCTAATAATCAGGTGCTGCATGTTTTTAAAATCCTCGCAGCGTGCTGGTTGGACATCGCTAGCTTAGAGGGCATCATGCCGAGTGAAATAAATCAGACAGAGAAAGACAAATGCCTTATGACTTTACTTATATGTGAAATTAAAAAAAAAACAGGATAAATGAACAAACAAAACAGAAACAAACTCATAGGTACAAAGAACATTTTGATAGGTGCCAGGTGGGAGGGAGGTTTGGGGGTTGGGTGGAAAAAGGGGAAGGGATTAACAAGTAAAAATTGGTAGTTACAAAACAGTCATAAGGATGGAAAATACAGCATAGGGGATATAGTCAATAATGTTATAACTATGGTGTAATATGGGTATTAGATTTATCAGGGTGATCACTTCATAAGATATATAAATATCTCATCACCATGTTGTACATCTGAAACCAATATAATACTGTATGTCAACTGTAATTGAAAAATAAAAATAAGTAAATAAAGGCACGAGAAAGGATACCTGGTGGCCCTACAAATCCTGGATTTCCTGGATATCCTTTCTGACCAGGTGGTCCCAGCTCTCCTCGATGACCTGGCATTCCTGGCGGTCCAGGTTCTCCAGGAAATCCTGACCTATCCATGCCCGGAATCCCGGGGTCTCCTTTTAGTCCCGTTGCACCTTTTCTGCCTGTATAGGAAGGAAGGAAGGGAGGAAGGAAGGAATGAATGAATGGGAAGAACACACAAGCGCTTTCCCCACTGACTCCAGAAATAATTAATGGCTGTAAGCATTGAGATTTGTGATTCTGGGCTAACTAAATAAACCACGCACTTATCAAATTGCCTGACTGGTTGGTTGATCGGTTTCCCCTCCTATAAGAATTTTAAGGTCCCTCTGGCTTTAACGTTTCAACGTTGCATGCAGTGATAAAAATGCAGAACTTAGATCTATTTTCTGGTCCTGCAGGCACATCCTGGGACTGCATTAGTGACTGCGGCTCAGTCTTTAACTTGCAAAGCACATTCAGTGCCACCCACATGGAGCTAGCCTCTGCGAACAATGAGAGCACCGTTGCAACAGTGAATTGCCTTGGTGGAAGATTTGTTTGTGAACACACGGTGGTACACAAGGCATTAGCTGAGTTCTAAAGGACTTTTCCCAGAAAAAGTTCACAGATCTGATTGAAAGGAGCCAAAAAGACGAGTAAGTTTCCCATCATCTGGACGCTCTAGTATGCATAATTTAGATTTATTTTTATACCCTTTCTTTTAGATTGATTTAAAGCAGTCAGCTGCATATGAGATCTGTCTGGAAAAAGCCCAGCCTTTGTTGATATAATGAGGATGGTTTGTACAACATTGATGTAACCTGGAAAAGGAGAGTGGACTGGAATGAACAGGAGTAAGCAATGATGACTTCACTGCACTAGTCAGTGGGGTCGGTAGACACCAATGAGTGAGCATGTGTATTGTGTGACCATCACATTCAAAATGACCGAGTAAGTAGAGCAATGAATCTGTGTCAGATTTTACATTCGGCTTGAATATTCCTCCACTGAAACTGTTGGGATGACTCAGGAGGCCGCAGCTGTGGGCAACTGGTGACTGGCAGCTTCATCACAACAAAGTGCCCACTCATGCATCACGTCTTGTGCAGAGTTTTTCACGAAACATTAATCGCCCAGGTGACTCAGCCCCACTACAGCCCAGATTTGGTGCCCTGTGACTTCTGGCTTTTCCCAAAACTAAAATCACCTTTGAAAGGGAAGAGACTTCAGAACGTCAGTGAAATGCAGGAAAATATGACAGAACAGCTGATGGCAACTGGGAGAACTGTGTGAGGTCCAAATTGTGCCTGCTTTGATGGGGACTGAAGTGTCACTGTCCTGTGTACAGTGTTTTTTGTATCTGTTTTTTTCTTCAATAAATGTCTCTTTTTCACATTATATGGCTGGGTACCTTCTGGACAGACCTCATATTTTAGTTCACAACTTGTTTAACAGAAAATTCACTCTATTTTAATAATAAAGATAAATAAATTTACCACTTTAATATACTTATAAAGGTAAAACTCTTTCCGAGAGTTTATATATATATATATATATATATATAAATAAACTATATATATATAGTAAATATAAATATAATTTATACTATAACTCTCAAAGAGTCGTGTGTGTGTGTAAATATATATCTATATACATATTTAGTGTTTATATTTTCTCACAAGACACAAGCCAACTCACTATACTAACTGCATGTCTCCTACTCTGCAGGTGGGTCTCACTGTAACAAATCCACAACAACAAGGCTTGTTTATACTTAGTACCATTTCCCACTGAACAGTGGTTGGGACTTGTTGCTGGACAGTCTCATGTCACACAGCAAAGCGCACAGCAGGAGTCCCATGCCACTTGCCCTTCTAGTGACAGTTTTTGAGGCCCTCTCCTTACCTTGTTGCCCTTTCAATCCATTTAAGCCTGGAAGTCCTGGGTCTCCCTTGGGACCCTCTAGGCATCTTCCTGGGAGTCCTTTTTCTCCAGGAGGTCCAGGCTGCCCTGGATCCCCTGTAAAAAGAGAGTCCAGAACAGATTCAGGGGCCAATACTCAAGGTCCTATTATTGCTATCCCAAGCATTCTCCTGTAACTCCTCCCCCCTTAAATCAGACTAATTTTTAATACCATTAATATGTCTTATATAGAGGATACTCATTAAGAAAGAAAGAAGGAACAAAGGTAGAGCAACAATGTTGAATGGGAAGATAATTAGGCCCTACAGGTTCTATTTATTGATCTAGAACTTTGTTGGCGAATTCCTTGTCCCTACAGCACCTACACATTCAACCTGCTGCATTGTAGCTGAGCTCAGGGGGGAAAAGTAATTGCACTTGCTGTTGTACCTCGTGGTCCATCAAGCCCTGCAGTTCCTGGAATTCCAGGGAGACCTGGAAATCCAGGGAGTCCAATTTCTCCATTTTCCCCAGAATTGCCTCTTTCTCCTGGAAAACCTGGTGTTCCTGGTTCTCCAGGCATGGCTAGTCCTGGTTCTCCCTATAGCACAGAAACCATGTTAGTTTTGCTAGATCATGCTTCTAAGTCCCTACTGGCTATTGGCTGGTCTTTCAGGCTCTGAACTTGAAAACGGTATCTTCATCATGGGGGTTTTGGGTCCCTTTCTTCACGGTCATCACCATTCCACCAACTCTCCCTTGCAACTCTATTTGCTGACTTTTTTAAATTAAATGATGCTTAGCAATTCTTTCAAGCCTCCACTTTTTCTGAACACTGGGATTTTCTGTAAACAGTCTAAATGTCTCTACTTTTTTTCTCACAGCTATCCATGTTTCTTTCTAGCGTGCTCCCATTTTAAATGTGAATGAATGCTCCTGAAGATTAAGGAAGATAGAAAAGCAAACCTGTCTTCTAACACCTTCTATTTTCCTTTCTAAAAGGGAGGGATGTGTGAGAAACTTTAAAAAGATTCATCCCCTTTATCATCTACAAGTATATTGGTAATTTCTCACACAGAGCCTCCTGAAAGCAGGAACATCCTAACTAGACAACTGGAATTGCTCCTCCTCTTCCCCATTCAGTCTGAATTTTAATTCTCAAAGACCTTGGCTCCTGGGCGGCCTGGCTGTCCAGGTACCCCCGGCTTCCCCACTTCTCCTGGACAGCCTGGTGGTCCTTTTCTTCCTGGAAAACCTCGGTCTCCTACAGGGAAAAATAAAGGTTGTACAATTACTCTTCTTAAAAGATTCTGGTGGCATCTCTTATTTTACCTAATGTTTTCATGAGGCAAGTGGCTGTAAATGTTTTTATGAAACTTTGAATGTAGAGAAAGCCAATGGCTAAATTAGCCATTAAAAGATTCAGTTTCAAATCAGATTACACTGGTTCCCAACTCTTGAAGTTACTTTCTCTACTTTTGTTATTTAATGCCATTGCAATTTCGATTCAGTATTTTTTTAAACAACTGATCTTGGTTGACCATTTGGCTGGCTTTAAAAAAAACAACAGTATATTTTACATTGAGTGTACAGCCAAATACATATTTCTGTGTGTGTATATGTCTATCTATGCAAGCATGAACCAGATCAAGATATACAGTGTTTTTACCACTTAACTATCCTTTCTGAATGTGGATTGTCCGGGGGAATTACTTCAAATGCCCTGTAGCAGCCACTGACTGGGATGAGTTAACTGCTCTGGTATGCGCCGGTGATGGGAGAATTGATAAAGAAGTTGCATTATTTTTGCTGTTTTGTGGTTCAGAAGAAATGCTGATGGAGCAAAGCTGCCTTCAGAGAGTTCCTTTGTGCCCCTAGTTTGACCAATTTTAGCTCACAGTGAGTTCATGGGATTCATCAGACTTCACTGGGGAATTTTTGCTCTTCGCCTTCCAGGAGCCCCAAGGCCAGGGCTGGTGCCCGAAGTTTAGCGTCTCCTTCCAGAAGGCGGCTCCATAGGGGATGCGGCTATCTCCATGCAGGGTCCAAGAAACCACAGTCAAAGCCATTCATGGGGCCACATGAGAACTCTGACTACATTTTTTCTTTCAAATACTCATAAATTGGGATCAATATTCCCATGTTTGGGCACAACTGATGCATGATAAACATTGATGACACACTAATTGAAGATGTGAAGCACCAAAAATTATATTTTGGATTGTATTTTGACCAACACTTTCAATAACATTGAAACAAACATAAAATTATGAAATCTGGAGCTCTGTGTGACAGTCCAGTCCCTTGGACAGGACACTGGCTGTCGGCATCTGGATTTCTCTGGAGTGTCCCCTGTGGTGAGAAACAGTACTTTTTTCCCCTGAAGGAAAATAACTTCTGTGATTAATTTTGGAGTATATAAGGCAATAATCTATGTACGATTTAATAGTTCTTTTTTTTTTATTAGAACAGAAAAGTATAAACTGAAGAAATGCATAAATGTAAAAAGTGCAGGCATCTATTAAGAAGGAAAGAAAGAATTCATCATAATCCTATTATCAAGAAGCATCACTACGGTGAGTTTCCTCCCAGTTTTTTATATGCATTAAAAATATGATTGAGATCAGACTGCAACATCAAAGTGAATTAAGCCTTTTCACCTAATGTTATTGTAAGACATTTTCCCCATTTAAGCCTGATGGAAAACATCACTTTCAAGGATACTAGGCATATTTCTCATGTTATGCATTATATATATTTATAGTTTCTGTGTGTCCACAAGGGACCTATGTTTTAAGTTTGTTGACTTACCCTTGGGTCCAGGAGGCCCGGGGAATCCAACTCCTGGAATTCCTGGATCACCGTCAGGCCCAGGAGCACCTGGGTCGCCACGCTGTCCTTCGGGTCCAGGGAAACCTTAACAACACATCCACATCCACATCAGCAGCCTTCCTTTACCGAATACCGAATGCCTACATTTCTACGTCATCCCAGACATGTTTGAGTGTTGAGAAATAACTTTATCATAACCCTGACTTCCTCTCCATTCCTATCCAATGGACTACTCATTAGGAAATGGCAAATAATTTGGAAAATATAATTAAACTCTTAAAAAGAAATATTCTAGCTATTTTGAATTCTATACGTCTCCCTCCATGCATGCAAAATGAAGTTTTAGATCCTATTGCCAAAGAAGTTAAGTTTCCCAGTGAATAAGCGGTGGGCACTGCAGTAACGGCGGGTAACCATTCCTTGCTCCTCTACCAAAAACCACGAGGAGTGTTCTGCCTGCCAGTTCTTCTAAAGTAACTACATCGACTCTCTTTTGGAATCAGAAGCACCAATGGGAATAACCTGGACAGCTTCAAAGGACAACAGCAAGTCCCCTGACTGTTGGCTGGTTCTCTGACAAAACTGGCCTGTGCTCGCTTTGGGAGCCAACGAATGTGTTTTTTCCTTAAAGTGGGGACAGTGTTGTTCCAGGAAAATCAGGGTGCACATCTGATGCTGTGCACCAGGCCTGGCAAAGGGGATGCTCACCAGGTGGACCTTGGGGGCCGGCACAGCCTGGGGGCCCCGGAGGTCCTGGGGGCCCAGGGACTGGAGTTGAAACACCGACTTCTCCCCTAGGGCCTTAAAAAATCATGATCATGAGATTAGTGTGCATACCGAAGCTTTGCTTGGTTCAGAAAGAAAATACAATCTATATAATATGTGACATGATAATCAAGAATTTACAGACATATTTTAAGGAATCTGAAAAACTTTGCCCATTTATATTGACTCCAAAATGAGCTTCCAGATGACCCACCCTAAGAAATTTTCTTATTCTATTGACAAATATTTATAAGCCCCTGTTGTTAACTAAACCTCACTTTAATTAATAGACCAGTACACTGGTTCATTGAAAAGGAGCCTATTCTAAAAGTGATAGACAATATAAATTCTACTTAGGTATCGATGAATATTGGTAGGATGCTTATTGATTGGGTGACTAGTTTTCACAGGAAGGCAGGATAGTGTACTGCACACGCCATGAAATGGAGCTGATCGGCACTTGAATCCCGGCCTCACTCTTTGGAGGGTCTGGGAGGTGGGGCATATCTAACCCCCCCAACAGGGTCCTCACGTGTTGCTGTGGAAGCGATGCCTACCCAGCTGGTTAAGATCTGAGCTGGCGTTCTGACTACAGTGGCCAATATTAAAAACACATTAGTGATTAGTATTGTATATACGAATGTATACATGAAAATCTGATGATAATATATTTTGAGACATTGGAGTCCTTCACTAAAGATCCACAGTTAGAGCAGAAGAGGGTTTGAAGATGGATTACAAGAGGATTGAGCTAGCTTTTCCCATCCAGGGCCACACGGCAAAGAATTTCGGGTTTGCACCCACAAGGTCTCTGGCGCAACCCCTCACCTCTGCCATCGGAGCAAGACAGCGGCCAGAGAGAGTGCATTGGCGAGCCATGGAGCTGTCTGCCAGTGACACTTTATCCATGGACACCGAAACCCGAATTTCACGGAATTTTCACATGTCGCAAAATGGTGTTTAAAAGTTTTCCCCAATCATTTAAAAAGAAAGCATTCTTAAGTTTGGGACCACACATAAATAAGTGGTAAGGCAGCCTCAGAGTTGAGGCACAGAAAAGAATGCATTGCACATATAACCGTAAAATAAGCTATACATACATGTGTAGACAGAAATGCATGCATGCAATTTATACGTGAATACTCTAGGGATGACCACTCAAAACTTTTTATCCCTTGACAGATGCTATAGAGAGATTAGGAGACCACTGGCTCGTTGGGTCTCACCCCTTACAGTGATGTAAGGAGTAAAGCCTGGCCAGGGTAGCGTTACTTATTTATAACTGTCAGTGACATGCACTTCTCATATTCCACCTCGTTCTCCACCACAGAGAAACACTGAGGACCGGATCGCTCCTGAATCCAGCCACTCCGTTGGTTACATGTGGACACCAAAGTTACTGTGTGTTTAAAACTATTATGAGACAAGTTTTCTTCATTTGTCTTGGCTGCTTTGAAGTGTTCTTGATAAATGGCTTATTAGGTTACAAACCAAGATAGACAAATCTGCAGTAACATTGGTGGACCCTTAAGACCTAGAAGAAGCATCTCAAGATCAAGGTCATAGGTTTTTGCCTCCCCTTTGTTTGCAGTAACCAACTTCCACTCATCCCTTAGGGCCTATTCCTTCCATATACTTATTCTATCAGTAATGGATATAGATTGTCCTAGGAAATTTTAGCTGAATTGCTCAATAACAGGAAAAAACAGGTTTTTCTCTAATACATCCTATAGGTTCTTTCCAACTATCTATGGGTCGACATGTTCTACTTATTAGAAACAAGTTCCTATGTATCCACTGGTCTTCAGGGGGCTCCACTGGCCCTAGGAACCACCAACCTACTCCCCAGGAAAACAGGACTGGAAAGAAAACTAACCAACCGGCTTCTCCAGGCGGTCCACGGGCTCCAGGAACTCCTTGGGCGCCCTTTGGTCCAGGCTCTCCCTGTGGTCCGTAGCCTGGTGGGCCAGCTGGTCCTGCGGGTCCTGGGGGCCCAGGGGTGCCAGGATCCCCTGGAGGACCCTGGTCCCCCTTCTCACCTCGGAGGGCCTGCGGCAACAGGAACACAGTTGGACACTTCATCGCAGTGTTTCCTCCCACAGAGTCACATCACCATGAACACGATGCCCTTAGCACCAAGGAGGTGCTGAATTAAAGAGCGGTTGCCGCTTGAAGGGAATTATTACTAAGATGAGGGTGCTCCATGGTTGCTGCGGTTTTGTGCCCTTCGGCATCCAGCCACAGTTCGTTCACTTGGAGCTCCGCGATCCTCTAGAGACGTCCTACAGTGGGATGCTGCCCACGCGCTACCGGACCCTCAGACGCGGCTCAGACCAGCCAACAGTCCAAAAGGAAGTGACATTCATGTTAATGGTGCATCTCTAAAATCAAGCCAGGACAGCAAACTTGCATTTCCTTTGCAAAAAAGGAAGTGGCCCTTGTCCCTCTTTTAAAATGACAGGGCCTAAGGCCCGACGGATCGGCTCCTTGGTTTTCCCTCACTTTCTGGAACATCTCTACTCGACAGAGCGAATGAAGAAACTGGGGAGACGCAAGTGGCATGTGGGAGCGTCACATGAACTCTGTTAATACCGCAGCCAAAGTGTTCTGGACTCTGCCCTCTACAAAGCACGGCTATGGGGTGGGGAGGATGGGGGGTGGGGGGCGGGGGAGGACAGCCCGGCAGTGCACCAAGGCTCTGCCAGCAGCCCCCATCCAGAAAAGGGCTCCGGTGTCCCAAAGGTTCAGGAAAGACCACGTGCCGTATCTACAACTTCAGGAGTCACGATTCATATTCTGACATTAAGGGATCTGTAGATGAACCTTTCAATCTGTTTGCCAAGTTTCCCTCTTTGAGGGCGGACCCTTCTAAGCGGCTGATACCAATTCACCCTGGGAAAGGCTGGCATGTCACAGGTCAGGCTGGCTGGGCCACCGCCTTGTGAACTTCATGGTAGGGATCTCTCAGACACACCCATGAGAGAGTCTATCTTATGCAGAGATCAGACTTCCATAAGCTTAAATAATGTCAATGGCAAAACATTTGATCTCTTTATTTGACTGCTCTACCCCTAACTATTCAGTCCTTTCATGCATTTATTTTTACTGTAAAGAATAAACATTGCCCCTAAACTACTGACTAAAACTTCCCATTGGTAATCATTTTCTGGATTTCTTATAAATTCATTTGACACAAATGTGAAATTGTAACTTATGTATGAGTCAAGGTCATTACCATGGATAATTTTATTTGCCCTACAAAAATCCAACAAGTGTTACCTATTTTGTCAAAACACAATAAATACTTGGTCTGGTTTGAAGACACCTCATTCTGCAGGTAGAGGGGTGAACAGTGTTGAGTGGCCAACAGTTTTTTTGAAAGAAAAATCACCTTATGCCTTAATTTCAGAGCACGCCTCTTATAGGGAGAATAATTTGGGAAAAGTTACTAGGTACCAACCGGCTCGCCTTTAAGTCCTGGTGATCCCTTTACGCCAGCGGTCCCAGGAATGCCGTCCACGCCCCTTAATCCAGGCTGCCCGCTGGGCCCCGGATCCCCCGGGTCACCTACTTGTCCAACTGGCTGGGGTGCTTCACCTTTTTCTCCTTTAAGCCCTGGGTCACCCTGAGCACCCGGAAATCCCTGGGGTGGTACAGAAATGAGTCTGCATTGCTTTTGGGTAGAGTCGTTTTGGTCAATCTCAAAAGAAAAAAATCTCAAGAACTTTTTAATTTGAATGGAACATATGTAGATTTTTAGACAACTCAGTGCAACACACACAAAAATATAATACAATATGATACACATACAAATGATACAATAATCATCATAATTCAGATTATGTTAGAATGTCGGTAAATTTTAACATGCATCTCTAGCTAATCGGATTGATGTAAATATAGTTATCCACATATAACTTTCTGATTCACTGTGATAATCAAAATTTAAATTTTTAACAACTTCCTTGAGGCATAATCTACATACCATAAAATGTGTCCTTTGTAAGAACACAATTCAATGGCTTTTAAAATAAATGTGTACATTTATGCTACAATCACCCAATCCAGTGTGCAACATTTTTATCACTCCCCCAAATTCCCGCAAACTCATCTGCAGTCAATTCCTGTTCCCAACCTCCACCCCAGGCCACCACTCATTTGCTTCCTGTCTCTGATATCCCTTTTAAATTCACTAATTCATTCACACGTCGTTCATTCCATCATTCAACCGACAAGTGTCTGGTAAGTGCCCGTGCTTTGCCAGGCACCAAACTGATAACCTAGGTGTGGTACAACCGTATTTCCAGACTGAGTGCTCCACTCTCCCACCTGAAATTAAAGCTTCAAAACCATGGAATCTTACCGGAAATCCTGGGAGACCCGAACTTCCTGGGGACCCCGGGCTTCCTTTACTGCCGGCTGCCCCTTGTTCTCCTGAAAAGCAATGAATCAGTAATTGCTCATCGGACACCAACTCTGAGCAGTGAGGATGACATGGTGTGTGGAAAAAATCGGGGTGTTTCTTCTGGGCAAAGAAAGACAACTTCTAGCTCAAAACATGCAGCACAAGAAGAGAATGGGAGAAAATCACTCGATGAAGAGAAAACGTGAACAACACAAGAACTCAAAAATTGTAGCTTCCTGAGATTCTTGTCTTTATAATTTTAAAGAGACACATTTTTTATGATGATAAAAGTAATATGAGCTCAATGTAAAAAAAGTTCAGCTCATTTAAATCACCCACAAATCACCAGCAGATGACAGTATTTGCTAAAATTTTCATGTGTATTACTCATAGAATTTTATAGCCATAAATGCACATAAATGCACTGAAATGAAACAGGGAAACGCCACCTTTATGTGATTTCGTCTTGCTATATGTTAACAGCGTACATTTTGGGAAAATCTCCCTCTGAGTTCATGTGAACCACCACATCAGGACATCCAGTAGTCTGCTGCCCTTTTCCATCACCCAGTGAATGGAGCGTTTTGTACCTGCAAAAGTACGTGTTTGCAAATAATCTGTACCTGGGACTCCTTTCATGCCATCTAACCCCGGCGGTCCCGGGACACCCGGAGGCCCTGGGACAGAAGGACAGTCTGTGCACAAGAGGCCTGGTTCCCCTGCAACAAAAGCACACTTGTGTTACTCATACACCCGCACCACAGCCGCAGAAGGATGGTTTCCAGATGCACGGTCCCTTCTTACTCTGAACACTTTTCTCATGGAGTGAAAACCATGTAGGAAATTGCCCATACTCATAAAAAATCACTCATCTGTTGTAACTGCTTACTTTGTCTGTCTGAGGGTCTAAGTGTTCTTAGAAAATCCTGAGTTTAGTATAAAATGGCTAATATTTTTTCAGTGTTTCTCTCTTTGAGGGTGGGAGATAATTCACATTCTAGGAACAGCCAATGATTTATTGCATGGGTGCTGCATGATAAATGAATGAATGAATGATTAACAGATCCTCAATGAACGCTGAGCTAATGCTTTTGGAAAAGGAGCTGTCCTTGACTGTTGTTTGGGATCACTGCTGTCTTGTGGGGCAAGTCAGTGACTAGCATGGTGATGAGAACGGCTTATTCTAACAGAACAACACTGTTGATTGAACTCACCTTTGTGCCCATCGACACCTGGGATTCCTGGAGGCCCCACCTGGCCGGGACGTCCAACTTCCCCAGGTAGGCCTTTGCAAAAAACAATGCCACCTACAAAGAGACAACACCAAAGCTCATTTTTTATTTCTTTAAGTATTTTCACTTCCAATTGTCAAGTGTTTTAGTAATATGGATTATTTTATATTCATTCCCTTCACCCCTGTATTTGTTTTAGAAGCTGAGTCCTTTGAAGGTGAGATGCAATGTACAAGGCTGAAGCATGTGGACCAGCTTTTCCTTCCACATCACCTGTGAGTGGAGTTTTCTGATACTGATGTGCTGGTTCCTCGAAAACTCACTGGACGGTGTTTCTCGTCACACAAGCAACCCACATTTTCTTATTACGTTAGTTCCAGTTATTCCAAGACTTCCCCTTTGGCATTTTTAGACAAAGGGTCAAATCTTATTTTTCTTTGCACGCTGGATCTCCCTGATATATTGTAGATGCTTAGCACATACAGAGGGAAGATGCTTAGTACATACAGAGGGAAAAAGTTCTGACTCAGGACGTCAACGTCTTTCCTCCTTGTGGCTGGTTCACACGAACTGAGTTTGTCGTTTTCCTAAAGCAGCTGTCCACGAAAGCGCTTCCCAGGCTTCCACACATTATCTGTTACTAAATGTTACAATGGACAGCTAGCTACTTCTCTTGAACTACTGTTCTGTAACCTAATTTTTGGTCTTGCCATTCCAAATGTAAGTTGAAGGCCACCTTGATAAAACTAAATATTTTAAAGCGGCACCTATAGGTGCCCCAAATTTCACTGTGACAAAGCAACAGTGGAAACATTTAATCCCGATGGCCCCTGAGGTGTATTACATTGTATCTGCTTGACTGTGAAAAGGACACCCACTTTGTTATCCAGTTTTCTGTCTTTAAGATGACCGCACAGTTATTTTTAGACAGTAAAATCCAATGTCAGTTTTATACTTCATGTAGACTTCTATGTATACTTGTGATTTATACATGTGTACATACTTACACATGTTCGTACTCTCTTCAAACTTCAGCACAAATAATTTTGTACTTAGAATGTTCCAACCCCTGCATGACATGATGGGACTTGAAAGAGCAAACAAGACACAGTCCCTGACCTCAAGGAGCTTTGATTCTTGTAGCGAAAACTGACAAAGACAAGGCAATGTGAAACATTCCATGATCATGCTACGCAGACGTGTGACAGGGTGTGGGCTTGGCGAGAACTTTATGCAGGGCTTGGACGTGAAGCTGCAACTCGACGGGCAGGCAGGCATTGCTGAGACAAAGAAGAAAGCAAACCAGGGTGGTCTCCAAGGGGAGAAGGGTGGTACCTAGAGCCCCGAGGCTGACTTTAGCATCCACTAGGTCCAAGAACTGTGCATATCAAGTTTGTCATCAATAAAATGAGAACATAACCCACATCTGGAGAAAGATTTGGAGGACTAGAAATTGTTAAAAGCCCTGACACGTAGTAAGAGTTTTATTTCAGCTTTGTTTTGCTTTGTTTTCCATGTAGGTCTACACCATAACTTGGCAGTTTGGTTCTTGGACATTATATCTTTTTATTAATAGGATAATTTCTTAAATTGCTATTGGCCTAAAGAAATGCTTTTGTTTTTAAATATATTGCTCACACAACCAGACACTTAACTGAATTATCTTAGTAGTAATAAGTCTCCCAGATTATTCTTTTCATTTTTCTGTTTGTAATCATACTGTCTACAAATTTTTTTAAAGTCTCTTTTCTTTAAAAAAAAAAAGTCTCTGACGCACAGAAGATTTCTTAAGGCTATTCGGAGAGTTGAGAATAAATCACACCCCCCCCCCCCCACCCAGGGACCTGCCAGGAAAGGCATTTGAAATACAAAGAGTGACCTATGTTTCATAGGTTCCATGAAGCTATCAGCCACCATTGAGTGCTAAGTGGCTTTTGGGAGAGATGGGGAGGAACAGACACCTGCATCAGAACCTCTGGGTACCACTTTCAGTCCTGTGGGCTGCAGCTCTGTGGCCTCTGACCCACTTCCTGTGGCAGCATCTTGCCTCGTTCCCAGGCTGCCCATCGTGGCCTGGGGCTTTCCTGCTGATGCCTAAGCACCGGATGCTCTGGGAGCCGGGCAGACACAGCCTGGGGTGTGTGGGGGTGGTGAGTCCAGTCCTGGGGGAGCACATCTTTGACCATGAGAAAGAGGAGCTTGCCTCTTTCTCCCCACGGACAGATTATTCTGAGACAAAGTTACACAACTTCTTGGAAGACAGTCCCCAGGGACTGCACAAGCAGTTGCCCTTGGCCTAGGCCAACTTGATAACTGTCACTCCTTCCCTGCCTTCCCACTCTTGGCCCTGCCTCCACTCTGCCGTGTGTGGGGACTCAGGGTAGTGCTTTGCTGCCTTTGCAAAGCCGTCGTTCCTCCACAGCTGTTGTGCAGAAGGCTGATAAACTGGAACACCAGTGGAGAGCGGACCCCTAAGGTCTGCACACAGCGGTGGCCAATCTCCAAGTCAGGGCCACTGCCTGCAGTCTGCACACATCTGTCGCTGGGCAGTATACACAAAACAAGGCCCATTAGGCATCTTTACCTGGTGGTCCTGGGGGTCCCGGTGGCCCTGGAGGGCCCGGTGAGCCGGGGCAACCTGGGGACCCGGGAGGCCCCACTGCGCTCTTCCCTGGGGGTCCTTGCTCCCCTTTTCTTCCTTTCATGCCCGGTGGTCCTGGGGCTCCTTCGAGGCCAGGCTTTGATGGCCCTTGGGAAAGAAGAATCATTTTATTATAGTTTAATTGTAACAAACTAATATGAATTAGTGTTTTATTGCAGCTTACTATAGTTTTTTCCTGATTAACATATTACTTTTCAGTTGCAAAATGTGATGCATTCTGATTGATAGAAGTTGCCACATTGAAAGGTATTAACATAAAAAAATCTCCCTTTCTTCATCTGTGACCTTCTCAAATTATCACCGAGCGGCAGCGCCGTGAACGCTCCGTTCCCACGAGATCATTGACGTCATTTACGACAAGAAACTGAAACAGCACTTGGGGTGCACAGGAGTCTTTTTATTTAAAAGCACTTCATCAGCAATTCCTCAAGATATGCTAATTAGAGACTCTAAGATGCCTACTTTGCTGTACCCCAAAGAGGAAAGAGAGGAAGTTCTAATGGGAGACAGGAAGGGGCGTGGGGGAGGGGGAGGAGGCACGTCCTGGGAGAGAAGCCCGGCCCAGCGCTCCAAAGCCGGTTTCCTGCATCTCTCCGAAGATGAAGATGATGAGGATGAGGAGGGGGCAGCCCCGAATCTCTGCCTCAGAACCAGTTTAATTGTTAAGAAGGGAGCCCCTCCTCAGCAAGGGGCTGAGAAGCAAGCAAGGGTGACATCTGAATATTTCTGATTATTGAGCTTAAAGGGAAATGCCTCTGAATTGACACTGTTGCAGAGCTTTGAAATTTTCCCTCATTGGCCTGTCCATTGCTCAGGGGCCCGGCAGGTAGAAGGAACTCTTCTGTAATCTTTGGACTGACCTCTAAAGTATCCTTTTGCTCCACTGAAACTTCAAGAGATACTCACTGTTAACACTTGGATGTATATTTTTTCATGTGTACGCAAGTACACATAATATTTGTCCATTCATCTATTTTTTACAATGGCATTGTAATATACTCTTAATTTTAATTAATTTTCTACATTATGAAATAGCTTAAATATACAACATGGTAGAGAAAAACGTAATGAATGGCAGGGCGTATCAAATATTTGCTACTTTTTCTAGGTTTCCTTTCCTTTACAAAATGGCACATTGCAGCATTACAGTTATAACTGAGGCCTCTGAGGAACCATCCTTGATGCTGTTTGTCTTCCTGTCTCAACAGGCAACCATGCTAATGACTCACACTTTACGGAATTGTCTATGTATTCATAAACAATATAAATTTTACAATGTCACATAAAAAGTATAATCTATGAACTCTTATGCAACTTGAAAACTGTCATTTTTAACCAACCTAACTACTATCAAACTAGTGTTTTCTATCTCCATGCCTCCTCTGAGTTTTAAGGCTTCTGCTCAAACACCCAGGCTGCTGTCTTACGCTTGCAGTGAAGACCACCGGGAAGTAAAACAGAGCATTTCTATAACACACTGTGTTACCTTCCACTCCCTTTTCCATGGCAGGCCACGAAGTTCACAAGTAAGACTTTGCAAACACTTTCATACCAATTGATGAAAGATTTGTCTTATGTAACTAATGCAAACTTACAAGAGAACAATGTATTTTACTCTGTAATAGTATTTCTATTGATACTCCAAGAAACATGCACATACCAGGCCTTCCAGGGTCTCCGGGAGGGCCACTGGGACCTACAAATACAGAACAGTAATTAATTGCTTATGAAGCTGTAAATACTCCCCTCTTCTCATTTTTGAAATCTTGTGACAATAGTATAATAATAATAAGTATTTTCCATACTTTCCCTCCATTCTTATACAGGTAAATATTAGAAAACCCTATTTATTTAGACAAACTGCAGAGAAGAAACTGATCTCAGGTGTCTAATACTCGAAAGTGAACCGTGCGGCCGTATCCTTTTAAACGGTTCAGCAGAAACTCTCCAAGAGCCTGCCCTGTGTTTGTGCTTTGCTGGGATGGTTCAGATGCACCAGAACCAAACAGCTGGAATTGTCAAGGGGCTGCGTTTGGCCTGGTGCCCCACCTCAGATTGCTTCTAGCTTTAACACTGGCTTAAAAAAAAAATCTGTATGTATATCTACATGTATCTGTCCATTATCTAAACATACTGGGTATTTTTCCTCTAACAAAAATCTCCTTCACAATCTTGTGGCAATCAGTGATTTGCCTAGACCAGTGGTTCTTAATCCTGCTGCTGCACATTAGAATAACCCGAGGGGCATTCCCAACCTGCTAAGAGCCCAGAGCCCCATTAAACCAGGGTCACAAGGGTGCGACCCTGACGTGGCCGTTACGGGAGAAATGCCGGGGGTTCTAGTTGCAGCCAGAGGTGACCGCAGATGACCTAGACCCATTTAACCCATCAAAGGGTGTAGAATGTAAGCAAGTGTGTCTCCAGGTCATGGTGCCCGGAATCCGTAAAGCAGGGCTGCGTCACCTCCTGTCACTATTTGTGCGGATTTGCTCCCATGCCATCGTGACCCCACGGAGGTGACAGGTTTCTTACACTCCCTCAGCCTGCCCTCTGACTATGTTCGTCTCTGCCTGCCAGACTTGGACTTCACGGATTCCCACACAAAAGTAACTTAATTGCCTTGGATGGTATTTTCATACAAAAGGTTCACATAAGAATTTCAAGTGAAATTTCATAGGAAAATATCGGATTCCACAGGAAGTTTCGTATGAAAATTAGAAGACACCAACAAATACTACCACCCACAAAAACTGGGAGACTTCCTTTCTGCCCCTGCTAATTCTGGGTCTGCGAGCACAGGCCGTGCTAGTTGGAAAGAAGGGGGGAAATGACGAGCAAGCGCTCAAGGAGGAAATGTGCTCTCACCCGGGGGGCCACGAGCCCCTTTGGGACCTGGTGGGCCTGGAGTCCCCTCGTCTCCCTTTTCCTGGTATGCATCATAATATTCTGTCTTAAAGGGAAAAGAAATGAAGAAAGAGAAAGAACAGCTATTAATGGACATTCACCAAGTGCAATGACTCCAATGTCTTCAATGTGCCCTCAACTCATAGGCTTATGTGTTAGCAGAAATAGGGTAGTCCTGTGTGCAAGATGGGTAAATTTAAAGGTGAAAGTGGATGTTTCTGGTCTGGCATCAAATATTGCATGGGCTTTCAGTCAGAAATACATTTTAGGATATGACCGAGCTTGCACACTCACACTCATAAATGCATGAGCATGCACACAGACACATCTATGTCCATGTGACTACATACACAGGAATTAATGTTTTACAAAATAGTGACTTACTTTATGACACAGGATCAACTCTGATATTTTTATTCTGTTCTGTTTCACTCTTTAAAAATGCTTGTCCTGGTGCACTAAATTTATTTTAGAGCATTTTAGGACCTACACATCAAAAAATCCCCCATCAGTCGTTTCTCTACATTTCAGGACATCCCTGACTGACAATAATCAGGGACTATTGTTTCTGAGACGTTCTGTGGACCGCCTTCTGGTCTCCTTCACCAGCTGCTTCCTAAGCAGGACCCCTCTGAAGTTAGTGATGCTGCAGAGTTGCGTTGACTTGAGCATCAGAAAACACACAGGGAGCTCAGAACACTTAGCATTCCTCTGAAGTGCAACCAGAAAAGTAGTTTTCACTCACAATCAGTACAGTTGCCTTGAAGAAAAGAAGATGCAAGAAACTATAGAAGTTTTTTTTTAAAAAAAACCTCTGTTTTGTATTTTCATGTTTTGCATGGGGCCAACCACTTTGTTGGCTTGCTTAAAGATGTGGTAACAAGAGCTTTGTAGCTAAGTAATAAGTATAAAATCATTAAAAAATCATTCATAATAATAACAATAACAGAAATGTAATAATCTCCATCACAAAACCCACAATGACTTTTGCGCCCCTGCCAACTATCAGCTGAGTGCTTTCACCAAAGAGCCCGCTTCACCCTCCCGGCAATGCCCTAAAAGTGTTTCTGGACTCTGCTCATTTGAATCAACTGCCCCTCCTGTTAAGATGTAGATTTCCAGGACCGTCCTCCAGCCACTGAGTTACACTGCCCGGCCTGCAGCCTGCAGGGTCTGAGAACTGCATTCGTAATAGGACGCCTCCCAGCCCGGCAGACTGGTCTGTCAAACCCACACCATCAAAAACTGGCAGCCCTGCTCAGCACACTGAGTGTGCGAACCGCCGTCTTTGGAAGTAGGAGAGAAACAGATACGAGATCTCAGAGCCTGGGTCCCTTTTATTCCTTCCTCAAGCTGCAGAGTCACAGAATATAGAATGGGGCCACCCTGCAGTCAGGAGCTGGCAGCAATCAGTTCCACGTCCTCACTGGTGAGGGGACACTGCCTGCTGGGATCGAGACTGGCTGTGGTCAGTGGTGTTTGCTGGCCCTGCATTAAACCCACAGTCGAGCTGCTGCTGCCAGAAGGCGCAGGAGTTGCCATAATCAGCTGGAGGGGGTGGAGCCGGCTCCCTCTCCCCTGGGTGACCAGCAGTCCTTGTACTCAGGACACAGGATCGCCTTGGCCCAGGTCGGGTTAGACAGACAAAGGTTTGCTTCCTCTCCACAACCTGGAGTGGGCATCGCTAGTGCATTCCCAAGGCCAAACAAGACCAGGAAGGAATATTTGCCCATTGTCAAAAGGTCAGGTAATGACAGCAGCTATTTTCTCTTTGCTCTGATTTAGTAAAAAGGTAACTATTATAATCCCTGTCATAACCGTTAATGAGAGATCCTGATTCAAAATTTCCTTGCCATCTGGAAGGACTTGATCAAACATGACATGGACATTGTCTTTAGTGACACTTACTGGACCACGAAATCCCGGAGGGCCAATGTCCCCTTTCCGCCCCTGTGGTGGGAGACAGTTACAAATGATGAGTCCATTCATCAAAAGTATTCATGTGTTTGGCATACTTAAAAAGCAAAATGCACAGTTAAACAATAAGTCATGTTACTGTGATGCGATGCCCGAACACCAAGTCACAGCGTGAGGAACACTGACTTTAGATTATTTTCCTGGAGGGCCATATCTCGGGGACAGTCCTATCAGCAAGGTCCTGCAGAAGAAAGTGGTTGTTCTGGTGGCTCTCCAGGTGACTCCCACGCCACTACCTTCAGAGGACGTTCGTGTGCGTTCCACACTTTCAAATTGTCCCCAGATCAGAGGAACAGGGTCACCAGGCTCTGGGGTGCAAGGAGTTCCCAGAGTCCCAACTGCAAACAACCCCCTTTCTGACCTACTCAAGTGGGCATTTCAGAATTCTACTGGACATGGTATTACCATAGCACAAACCTTGAATTTGCACATGTGCCTACATACAGAAGTCATTTGAACATGTCTGTGACATGTTGGAAGAAACAAGGCGTGGAATATACCCCACAACTAACTGATGATGACCTTTCAGTGTGTAGGGACCCAGCTGGGGACTCATGGAGCCGCTCAGCCTATGCTTGACCTCCAGTGACCCCAGACTTCCTACAACCGTAGGCCTTTTCCAACTCCTTCCTCATGAGGAGCCGAAACCTCACTGGTCCAGCCAGTGTCTACTACATAGAAAAAGTTGAATATTCTTCCCATAAGGCAGCCCTTCAAGTATTTAAGTTGTTACACCTCTCATATCTTCTCAAATGTACTCAGGTATTTTAACGAGCCCTCATTGCAGTTTCTTGTACCCAGTTCCCGGGTGTGCAAACCCCAACCAGTTGCAAGAGGCTGGAGATGGGACATGAGGACGGGCTTACCTTAATGCCGTCTTCCCCCGCCAGCCCAGGCTGGCCCCTGCTGCCTTTGGCTCCCTAGAGAACAGAGCCACAAGATCGGTCAGAAGACCCGTGAATCAGTTTCTTCCATTAAAAGCAGAACAGTTTGAACTCTCTTCTGAAAAAATAATGTGTTCAGTTGATCTCTTTTCACAGTGTAAAACTATGATTCTTACATGTAATTAAAAAAAAAACTATAGGCTTTTGTTTAGTCTATAACTAGTCAGTGACTCTCACACATCCTTCTTCATCTAACAGGACTGACGTGCTCACTGTTATCAGCAGGCGACCCCCACCTTTACCTCAGTGCCAGGGAACCCGGGGGCGCCGTCTTTTCCGGGTTTCCCCTAAAACAGAAACAAAACGAAAGCATGGAATCTAACATACGAATAACTTAAACCTGGAAAACTGAGATGATATAATCATCTCCTCTCGCCCTCGGGCAAGACTGCGTGGCTGAGGCTTCCCACCCTGTTTTTAGAGGGAAACTATTATTGATCAGAGAACACCCAAATGTCCCCTCTTGCAGGCAGCGCGGAAGCCAGCCAGCATGGGGGGTCAGGGAGGGTCAAAGGAAGAAGGAGAGAAAATTAAGCTAAGCTTAAATCAGAGTTGATACTGTTCATCCAGGTTTGGAAGGAAAATCAAGGAAGCACTGAGCCGAGAAACGGACAAGAAAACTCACAAAGCAGAAGATTTCACAGTCAATATATTCATGTAAAACATTGGCAATTTCATGAACTTCAGATGTGTGTATGTTTAAACATATGTATAAAAAGTATGTTGCAGTGTCCAAACATACAGGAATTTTGAATGTACTATTATGGTTATTTGTCCTCTGATAGAATAAAAAATCATATGGGCTGAATAGTTTTCTTAGAAAAATTATATTTTTCCCCAGTATACAATTTTCAGAGTTTAAAAATAATAGGTGTTTAAATCTTTCCAGAATAGAGCTGGGTGGCAGAGACAGCGTCTGCCGCTCTACCTCCCTGCATCCGCTTCTCATCAGGGTGGACCCCATTTCCTTTGGGGAGTTGTCTTCCCCCATCTGTGTGGTTCTGATGGGGCCATGAGCTGCAGAAGCCCCACGTCCCACTGGCCTGGCCAAGTACGGCACCTTTTCCTCCTGGACACAGTTGCTTTCCCAGAATGAGGCACGTGACCCATCCTGGGCCAATCACGGCAATTCTGCAGGATTTTATATATGGACGCAGGGAGACACACTCTCTCTCCTTTCATGCTATTAACTTAAAGCTGCCTGTTGCTACATCACTCTCTTTCTCCTCACACCCGCTACGTGAAAAGTCATTTGGCAAAAGAGACAATGGGGTGAACACAGAGAGGAGCAGAAGAAATGGAGAGAGTGCTGCTCATCTTGTTCCAGGCTCTGAAGTCCTTGAAGCCTGTGGTAGCCTTGAACTTCTCATATATTTGAAGAAATAAATTTCACTTCCCCAACTTTTAAACATTTAGAAAATCTAAGCTAGTTTGAGTGGCCATCTTATGCTTGCATCTAAAGAGTCGTAAATGCTGACTGATATTATTTCCCAGTTTACCTGTGGGCCAGGTTCTCCACGGGCACCTTTTTCTGATCCATAAGAATCTCCAGGTGGTCCCTGTATTAATGAGACTTATGTCAAATTTTACAAATTACTGAATTTTAACTGACATTGATTTTTATTCACTTATCCCCTCTGGTTATTCTGCTGTATTTAAACATGTTAAAGCGATGAGTCATCTAAGAGGGAAATCTTATTTATGAGTATCAATTAATTAAAAAACAGGTGCTAAAAAACCAGATGCTGAAAGTGAATTCTCAGATGGGTGACGTTGGGTACGTGTGAAACAGGGCAAGGGTTTCAGCTACAAGTGGTCGTAAAATAGTTCTAGAGTTTCACGACCTCGGTGGTCAATTACTATTGGTCTGTAGCTAACATTAAGATTTAAAGGTAGATCACACATCAAAATGCTCACTGAGGTTTCACTTTGCATTTCAAAGGGACAACGTGACTCTAAATGACCTACTGAGGGTCCAGGAGGTCCGGCTCTGCCCTGGTCTCCCTTGTCTCCCTTCTCCCCCTTGAGGTCCTGCCAAAAAAAGTGAAGGTCATAACCAACAGATCGAACATAGTTTTACTGAATAAACCTGGAAAAGTCCTCCATCTGTTTAATGTACTGAATTTACAAAATCCTCATGTTTCTCCTGTTAACAGGACACATTGCCATTTTTCACATTAGGAATTTTATACCTGTGAACCCATCAAAACAATATACATTTTAAAAAGAAAGTATCATTTTGATCCAACTGCATTAAACTAGTTTAATTCCTGAATCAGCTTTCTATAGACAATGCCATCATTTCTGAAGTATTTTACATTCATGTTTAGCACATGGAAACTATTTTCATTGTAATCAGTTATTTTCTAAATAAACGTCACAGTGAGGGTTGGATTCATGAATCAAGTCTGATTTTGCTTTTATCATATTTCATAGATTATATTTTTTCCAATGTGTGGCTTCTGTTGAAGGCATTTTTTTCAAACTCATTCCCCTCCCCCACCCCCATTATATCTTCCAGATTAAGATTTTGTCAAGATAAGGTATTTTTTCCTATCAACTTTTGGTCAATAAAATTTTAAACTTTTAAAATTTTATTTTTGTTAATTACTTCTGGAAAAATCATTTTTTCCTTTTGGGTCAATTTTTTCCCCATTCTTCAGTGTGAATTATTATTTTTATGATATCAAATTTCACTATGTTTTGTTTTAACTTTTACTTTGAAAATTTTCATTAAAAATTATAATGGAGAGTGATGACTAAGGGCTTTTTTTTTGGTGTGATGCAAATATTCTAACTGAATGTGGTAACAGTTGAAAACTGTATGAATATACAAAAAGCCATTGAATTGTACACTAAGTCATTTTGTGGTATGTGAATTACATCTAATAAAGCTGTTAACATTCATGATTACTAAAACCCATGAACTGAATACTTTAAGAGGGTGAATACTGTGGCATGTGGCTAGATCTCAATCAAGCTGTTATTAAAACACAATTAGAAGTTTATAAGATAAGAATGGTTTGTGCTTATTTCTTTGTTCGGCCACTAGAAAACAGTTAGCTGCCTCCTTGCTTTGCCATCAACTCCCAGACATTCAGGACCAGCTGAGTGCCTAGGATTGGTGTGTTACACTGTGGTTCACTTCTTCTGAGCATTCCGCTCAGCTCCGTACCCTGAAAGCCCATGTTAGTGTCCAATAAAAGGTCCTAGTGTCCTTGGAGAGGAACAAATTGTCCTTTGGGTTACCATGGAACGATAACAATGTCCCCCATGTTATTATGACACCCTTCCATCCGCACCTTCAGGTCCTCTCCATCCAACTGGCTCCGAGCTGCACACACCCATTTTGTAATAGTTTATTCAAAATGCTCACTGAATACCCTTTCCATGTTAGTGGCAAAGAGAGGAGCTGAGGGTAAAGGGTGAGCAAAACTGGCCCTGGGCTCTACCTTCAAGAATTTTGGAAGTTGCCTGCTTCAGATTTCACATTTTCTGGCTCATGAGTAAAAAAATGGGAAGGAATCAGACCAAGAAGCTCAGTGAGATGAGGGGGCTGGGCTGCACCAGGCTGCGCTCGGATGACAGAACTTAACAAACAAGGTCAGAGAGACGGAAAGGCACAACCCCAGTCATAAAACGCCACAGTTACCGTTCTGTTGTCTGGGCCTGTTAGCGTCACTGTCACAGTGCCCGGTGGTCCAGGGGGTCCTCGTAATCCTTTCGCACCCTATAGACAAATACGGTCGAGAGTTAAAAACTAAACCACATCCCCTCTGGTGCAGTTGAGCTACCTACTTTCCCCCTTTAGTGCTTCCATAAGAAAATAGAGCAAAGGAACGCGCGCCCCCACCTAATGCCTTAGTTGCCCTGTGGCTCACTGAAGTGTGGCTCACTGAACACAAGGCGAGGCTCGCAGCTAGGGGCTGCAGCTACCCTGCCCCCCGACAAGCCACCGGTTTTACGTTACCCGCTCTCCTTTTTGTCCGATCACGTTATCACCCATGTGACCCTGCAAGAAATACAAAACCAAATTATTTTTTAGAAAAGACTATGAATAAGTTGTCTAAGTCCTTTGAAGTTCTAATATTTGTAACTGCACATTTATATTTTCATCCCCCTTCAAGGTTACGGCTGCCATTTTGTTTTATCCTAGAATAATGTATCATTTAAAAATTATAGTTGATACACAATATTATATGTTTTAGGTCCATAAGATAGTGATTCTCCATTTACATACCTTACAAAGTGATCACTGTGATAAGTCTGGTATCCACGTGTCACCGTGCAAAGTTACACTGTTCTGCACTATTCCCTGCGCTGTACGTTTTATCTCCCTGTCTTACTTATTTTATAATGAGAAGTTTGCACTTCATATTCCCCTCTACTGTCTTCACCCTCGCCCACCCCAGGGGGTTTGTTCTCTGTATGTACCAGTCTGTTCCTGTTTTGTTTCGTTTGTTCATTTGTTTGGTTTTTTAGAATCTATATACGAGTGAAGTCATTCAGTGTTTGTGTTTCTCTGACTGACTTATTTCACATAGCATCACCCCCTCAATCAAGGGTGTGTCCAAGTTGTTACAAATGAAAAGATTTCATTCTTTTTTATTGATGAATAATATTCCATTATATCTCCCCTTCTTTATCCACTTATCTACTGATGGACACCTAGAATGCTTCTATATTTTGGTGATTATAAATAACGCTGCAGTGAACATGGGGTGCACGTACTTTTTGATTCAGTGTTTTTGTATTCTTTGAATGAATGCTCAGAAATGGAATTGCTGAGTCTCACAGTAGTTCTATTTCAATTTGAGGAACCGCCATACTGTTTTCCTTAGTGGTCGCACCAATTACAACCCCACCAACAGTGCACAGGGGTTCCCATTGGTCCACATCCTCACCAACGACATCTGTTATTTGTTGACTTCTTGATAAGAACTCTTCTGACAGGCATGAGGTAGTAACTCGCTGTGAGTTTGATTTGCATTTCCCTGTTGATTAGTGACAGTGAACATTTTTTCATATGTCTGCTGTTCAGTACTAACTTCCTGGGGGGGTTCTGCCTGGCTCCACATTTTCTTACTTAGACTAACAATGAGGATCAGAATATGCCACCCTGAAATATACCACTTTGGTGTACGGATTTCTGAGTTGAAGACAATTTAGGAATGGAAAATGCATAAGTCCTCTATCCACCCCTATCTGCCCAAAGATGGTATAAATGTCCCTTTGCGGGGGTGTCCCCTCTCTCCTCTGCAGTACCAGTAACAGGAGACAACTCTTATCAGTGGAGACACCCTGACATAAATCTGCATAAGCAAACCCTACTGGAATTACCCTTTTCTTTTATTAGTTCCCCCCATGCTTTTACTTTCCCACAATTGGGACCCTTAGAAGCTCAAACCGTTTTCCTTTATATTGTCATTTCTCTACAAATTTATCTCCCCTTGTTAAAATAATACACAAACACTTCAGGATCTTCATTTCTGTGCATGTGAACTAAACCTTTTTCTTCCACTAATTTTTCTTTGTTAGGTTAATTAGCAGGGCCCCAGTCACCGAAACTAACAGAGCAGAGGAAAATTTGTTTCCTCTCTGCCACCAATAATTGGCCTTGGTAATAGAAACTCATGCACTACCCTGCGTAACGAGTGCATGTCAGTCATCTTTTACTTCCTAGCATAAGATCAGATGAGTTTCAGGATGCATCCCACTGTAAAAACGTACAGGATAAAATGGTGCGTGATCCATAGAGTTATCAGAACTGAGAAATCTATGGACTAGCAATCCAGGCCCTTTTCCTGGTAAGGAGCTCCTTATGATTGAATTAAAAGTCTTTGTATCATGTCACTGAGGTGCAGGGAGAGGAGAGGGAGGGGGAGGAGCTGCCCGCCACGCTTCCTTCCCTGCTGGGAATCCTGGGAAACCTGGTGAGTTCCCATCACATACTGGTAGGGATTCATGTGTACAATCAGGCCAGGTTTGGCTTCTACATTGATTGGGATGTTCTGGCTGATAGGACATAGGAACTATAATTTACCTTAAGTCCCGGAGGCCCCATGGTTCCTGGCAAGCCCTAAAAAAAAAAAAGTCCAGAAATTAAAATTACAGTAGGAAATGCACCAAGCCAGAAAACTGTTTATAAATTTTAGCTCTGATTCTTTTATTCGTTTTATGGCGCCTATAGCAATGGTGACTGCGTACTCACAAAGAATCCCGGAGGGCCAGGTGGGCCAACAGGTCCCGGAAAGCCTGGGAGTCCCGGCCAACCCTTTAAATTAGGAGATGAAAGAGCGAATGTACTTGTCACCCAAGAACAACGTCCATTAGTGAAGTGCATTAAAATGTCTTCATAAAATCAGAGGAACCGGATGCCTCCCATTTATGGCCCCAGTTAGTTACAAAAGGTGCCCCAAAGAGGTTGCCAAGTGTAACAGGCTGCCAGGACCATCCCGATGACACTAGTTCCAGAAAATTGGCCAGGGCAGTTGCTTTACTATAGAAAAAACTTGACAAATTTCTGAAATTTTGCTTCTTTCTCTTTTTCTCTCCTCTTCGGCAAAGGCGGCTCCTACCCTGGGGGCTCACCACCTGCTGTCCCTCTGCCTTGAATCTCCTTTCCCTAGACGGGAGCGTGACTTACTTCCTCTCCCTTTCCTTATTTTGATCCAAATATCACTCTTACCCCAGGCCTTCCCTACACATCAGATCTAAAGCTGCAACTCTCTAGGCCTGACCAGCAAGCTCAGGGGGCGAGAGCATCACCCCTACACACCAACTTTGCAGGTTTGACACCCGGCCAGGGCACACAGAGCAACCAACCAACCAATGCAGAAATTAGTGCAGCCTCAAAGCAATGTTTCCTTCTTTCTTTAAAATGCAATCATAACATTTTAAAATATATACTTAAAAAATAAAATGAAGTGCCTTGGCTGGGGTGGCCCAGTGGGTGGGGTGCTGGCCTGTGAACCAAAAGGTTGCTGCTTTGATTCCTGGTTGGGGCACATGCCTGGGTTGTGGACCCCCAGTTGGGAGTGTGTGAGAGGCAACCCATAGTTTCTCTTGCACATCTCTTGCACACTGATGTGTCTTTCCCTTTCCTTCTCCCTCCCTTCTCTTTCTATAAATAAATAAATAAGTAAGCAAGCTGCAACTCTCCTAACCCAGACATTTCCTATCCCCCATTTCTGCATTATTTTTCTCCTCAATATTTATTACTACCCCCAACACCATACACTTACTAATTTACATTTTCTTTCCCCCACCCCAACTACAATGTCAACTCCACGAAGGCAAGAATTTTTTAAAGCTATTTCCTGGCTGATTTGTGCCCTGTAGTACCCTAGAGTCTAGAAGGACCCACGGTGAGTAACGGGCATGCAGTAAATATTTCTTGCACAGACGTGTCCCACGGTTCTGTCTTTAGCAGTAGCACAGTGCAGCTCATGACTGACCCTTACTACACATTTAAGGGGTACATCCTTGCCAAGACTGTTACCATCTTCTCTCACTGGGTCCCCTGCCTTGGCATCTGGCCCCTTAGCATTTCCTCAGTAAAACCCAAGAGCCGTGATGTCCTGTATCTTCTCAGAAGCCAAGGAAGACTCCTCATCGCACGCTCCTGCAGTTCTGTAGTTTGTCATCAGTCGGCCCAGCTTGCCGGGTAGGAGTTCAGCAGCCTTAACTGACACTCTCCGACTCCTGCAGACAGTCGCTAATCTCTACCCTAGAATTGCTGCATATACTTCTGAACAAAGTTAACAGATTTCTGGTTAATTAGCCTGGAAGTTAGTTCCTGTGACTTATGGCTACCAGAAGATCTTTTGGAATCATCAAATAAAGCACACAAGCCCGGCCCCCCCGGCCCCCTCAATAGTTACATTGCCTTGTAGCCATTCTGGGTCCCCCACCCCCAGGCTACATGCTCAGAGATCAGAAAGCAGACTATTCCACAGAGAAATATGCATTTCAGTAAAACCCTGTTATTTACTACCATGCAAATTTTACAGTAGAGCTGTTACTGAACATTACAGTTTTTAGATTGTGTTCGATGTACCATACAAACTTAGCCTTGATTCTAACAAATACAGAAGAAGTGGAACCTAACTGCTCCTGGAAGATTCTACCATAGCTTTAGGAAAGCTTGGGTCCCTGAGACTTAAGAAGAGGTGAAAAGGTGTACATATGAATCAACTTTTTACGTCAGCTTCAGGTACTTTCTTATCACAAGATGAACGTTTTACAGCGGAGTCAAGTGGATATGTAAGTAGAAGACATATGAATGTTATATTTAAAATGTTCTTAGGAGAGTGAGAAAGAGCTATAGGGACAAAGAGGGAGGAGAAAAAGCATACAAAGCAAAAGAGTTACAGACAGAGAAGGAAAAGGAGAAGAAAGAGGGAGAGAAAGAGGGAAAAGCCATGGAAAGAACGAGAAGGACACACATAGGGACAGAGACAGAAAGACGCAGGACGGGACAACAGAGAGGGAGGGGCTGAGCGTGGTAGAACTCTTCTCCCAAGTGCTTGTACCTGTAATCCTGGAGCTCCCGGCAACCCGGGGTCACCTCTTCCATCAAGTTCCCTGTCTTCTCCTTCCGCAGGAGCGCCCTTGAAAATGAAGTTCCTCAAACATGGTAAATGTTGTAGTTGCAAACTCCTTTTAAGTGCTTATTCAAGGTCATGGCACTTCAAGGATAAAGGTGCTTTCCAGTGTGAATGACAAAAGGGCTCTGGGGTCCCCATGCCAGGGCTGACAAGCTCAGTGACCAAAAGTGACCACACAGAGTGGTCTGAAAAAAATTCCGAACTGGGCGAGTCATGGCGGGCGGCCACCTCCCAGGCCTGTAGGTTCCTTAACAAAGGATCCTCAGTGAGCCCTGCCCCTGCTCTCATGCATCTAAGATGATATACCTTTGAAATGTCAGGGTCATGTTCTTTTCTAGACCACAGAGCACCAGACCCCAGAACCCTTCATTGTTATCGTGCCCCCCCACCCCTGCCTACATCGCTATGTGCTGGAAACATTAACCACCCTGTACCCACCAGTGTGAATGAAGTATGTGTCTGTCCATTTTGCTTCTTGTCCAGGCCTAGAGATGTCCCCACTTTGCTTTCTCCCACCGCCTTCATCTACCACCAAGGGATTTCATGCACCTTCCTTGTGTTTTCTCCTTGGGTTCTCAGTTCTTAAAAGGAACTGCAAATTCGCCTCTGCAGCCCGTTCTCAATCTTTTGAGAGCTTGCTTTTGGGCATGTTCTCAAAATATTTGCCTCAATAACCTCTCATAAAACTTTCCTTTAGGTCTGAATGTATATACTTAGAGAAAGGGTTTATTGGTTTGTAGTGATTCCACTTGGAAGGATTCAAAGCATTTTCATATTTTCTAAAATGACCAGTTAACTGCAGAAGGAAGGAAGGAAGACACCAGGATGACAGAGCGTTTCCCAAGATACTGGGGTCAATGGCAATTCCTGACCTGGAATGTGGGGCCCAGGCCAGGAGGCCAGGGCTCTTCTCCTAGTCTCTATTTCCTTAGAGGATTAAACAAAACTTGTATTTTGTAAAGATACATTTATGACAAGAGATATAAGACATTGTTCCACAGAAATAAATATCATGTCCCAATTACAATGGTTTCTGGATTAATGATGAAATCTCCTTTGTAATTGTGTATATCTTATTATTTAAAAGAAGTCCCTTTCACATGTACATTGACAGATTTCCGATAATAATATGCCTCAAATGACTCACCTTTTCTCCTTTTAAACCAACAGCCCCCTAGAAAAAAGCAGTGGCATATGAACAACCGGGCACAAACCAAGGAAACGATGTCCTCCTTCTCTCTGCTGCTCTGCCCCCCCCCCACCGTGGACTTCCTGTCACCGAGTCACTGTCCCGTCCACTCCCCTCACTGCCCAGTCTCTTCTCCAGTCATGTCACCTGCGGACTTCCTGTCCTGCTCATCTCCCACTCACGCTTCAGTCCCACATCTGCCTTCTGCCTCTTGCTGTCCCGGGGCCTCTCCCTTGCTAAGGTCTGCCATGATTTTGACATCGCTAAAGTGGATGACAAAAATGCCAGTTTTCATCTTCCTGGACTTCCCAGCAGCCTTCGGCAGCTGTCTGCCGCTCCTCTCCAAGCAAGGGTGGCAAGAAAAGCACATTTAAATGTTCAGCCTGGAAACAGAAAATCATCTACCACGCCCACAACCCCGCCCTGCAGCCGTCATTAGGAATGAATGGCCCAACGCTATTCGAAACACACACACACACACAAAGGTTTGACAAACTTTTGTAAATCTTACATCTCTATTAATTTTTTAAAAAGATGAGTAAGATTGTTTTGGACTTTTGGGGGGTAGACTTTAAAGGTGTAATTTGAAACCTATCTCTCCCGGCTTCCATAAGACACGCCTCCCGGGCTCCTTCTTCCACCAGGGCTGCTCTGCTTTTATCCTCCCATTCTCCGGGTCAAAGACTTAAGTCCTGGCTCTAAGCCCCTCCTCCGCACTCTCACTTCCTGAGTGACCCCCCCTCCCAGTCTCTCCTCTGCCTATTATACAGCTCCCCTCTGTGCCTTTAAAGCAAAAAGAGCCTCCAAGGGCAACCCTGAACTCCTAAGTCATTTCTTCCTTTGCTCTTCAGCTATCCGTGGAATGTTTACTATTGGCGGCTCCAGACACCCCCATGATGGATCTCCATATACGGTCCTTCTGGAATAAACCACCTACATTCTACTTTATGTTTTTGAGGGGCAGTTAGACATGCAGACCTACCGGGACCCCTGGGTAGCCTGGTGTCCCTGGGAATCCTGGAAATCCTCGCTCACCCTGGGAGAAAGAACAAGTAAAGCCTGTCATTCTTCTTGGTTGTTCCAAAACAGTCTGTCGAACTATTTTCCTTCTTTCTCTCTTCCGACCCTACAGGGTAAATCTAGGCAAAGTAATTACGTTCCTTATGGCTACTGGGTCATGAGGCTGAAGGCCAGAAAACCATTATCTTAATTGAAAACATGATTAAAATCTATTGTTTCTCAAATTATGCATAAATGGCAAACGTCTAATTGTGCCCAAAACTTTTTAATTGCTGTTTCCTTGAAACGTCAGTGACTAGTTCTTTCTTGGCCACCATTCCGGAGAAGAGAGAGCACAGTCAGGAAACAATAAGATGAGTGACCATCCAAAAGCTCAGTCCACAAATGACCCGTGGACATGCACGATGGGGTGGGGACTGGCAGGGGGAGCGGCGGTGGGGGTGGGCAGGGGAGAGCAACGAAAGAACATTGGGTCAACTGTAATAGAACAACAATGAAAAAAAAAAAGAAAAACAAAACAAACAGAGAAGTTCAGTCCTTCTTTTCCAAAGAAGTATTTTGCATCCCAAGCTTGAGTTTCCAATTTGTATACCCTTACAACCTCAGATAAAAAGAACCAGTTATCTTTTCGTGAGAAAATATGAGAGAACTTCCTCCAAAGACCATCAGAAACTGAGGCACTGGAAAAGAACACAGGCAAGGTTCCGGTGCCAACATCACACACTTCTGCTCTGAAGACATGTGCCGCCTCTTCTGGTTAAAGGAGTGGTTCAAGGAAAGCCCATCCTACTGCATTACTACTTCATCTTAGTTGATTCTTGCAGCAAAACATCCACTCATCATCTCCTGGGTAAGAAGTACATTACCTTAGAGCCATTGCATCCTGGTAACCCTGGGAGGCCGTAAGGTCCCGGATAGCCTGGGGTTCCCTGGAAACAGAGCGAGTTTCAAAAAGGGGACATACCAACCGGGCCCTGGGACCAGGAGGAAGCAGTGAGGAAGCCAAGGTGAGGAAGAAGAGGGGCTAACTGAGATACTGATTTAAACATAATTGGTTACTTAAATAATTGAGTGGTAAATGTGCTTATTTCAGAGAACCACTGAAACAAAAATCCTAGCGAATAAAATGGGTTAATTAAAACAAAGAATTGTCAAGTGAAATACAACTAGTTTAAATAAAACAAAAGGCCTTTCTATATAACATGAAATCTCTTAACAGGCTGTTCGAAGCTGGGGGAAAGGAAAAAGAAAAGGGCAATGGGCACAGAGTTAACTATTTTAAAGTTAATTATATGGCGTTAAACAGTTGTTCTATGCTGGTCTTTTATTCTATTCTATTCTTTTCTTTTGCTGTATTATCCTCCCCAATCCCATCCTGTTCTAACTCATCCTACCCTAACCTATTCTGGTTTTTTGGACAATGCAATTTGATTTTTTTTTTGACCCACCAATTTATACTCCAACATACTATGCTGTTCTACCTTGCCATTTTCATCAAGTAGTGAATTTATCAATACCCATTTCCTTGTGATGTTGATTTAATGCCTTTACTAAAATGAGCTTACTTTTTATGTTTTTAGTTACACATTTTTTCCCCATTACTTACTGGAAGTCCAGGAGGACCTGAAAATCCTGGTAATCCAGTTATTCCCTAAAGACAAAGAAAAGGGGTAGGGTGGCGAGAAAAACACTTTTAAAATGTTCTACTTGTAAATAGAAGATCATCTACCATGCCCATAACTCTACCCTGCAGCTATAATTAGGAATGGCCCAACACTATTTGAAACACACACACACACACACACACACACACACACACACGGTTTGACAAACTTTTGTAAATCTTACATTTCTATTAATTTTAAAAAGAGATGAGTAAGATGAGTGGATTTTGAGGGGTGGACTTTAAAGGCATAATTTGATTATAGCCTAGTGCTCTGATCTTCCATGAAAACCGGTGTGTGGGTATGCACCAGACACAGAACATCATTCCACGCGGTTCCTTCATTCTTTCTCATCAACTAATACCAACCCCACCTACTCACAACTGTTTTGACTTCTGCCGCTATAGATTAATTGTACCTGTCCTTAAAACTTCATCCCTAGAAGTGTACCATACACAGTGTGCTCCTTTGTGACATCTGTGTACCTCCTACAGTGCAGAGTTCTCTTTTCAAAATGGAACTCATCCAACAATCAGGGTGGGTGGGTGGACGACTCACCCTGACACCTTTGGGACCAGTGGGGCCTGGAAGTCCTCGAGAGCCCTAGGTCCAAGCGGAAACACAGAAGTCAACACCAACAAATCATTGGGCACCAAAACCAATAAATCAAAGGCCCCAGTTTTATTGGCACGCCAGCGTTGCCCTGGTGATTATTTCGTTGTTAACATGGCTTAGGTACTCACTTGTTTCACTGGAGCTAAAATAGTTATCAGTAAGGATGAAAAAAATTTCATGGGAACCCTTGCTACTCATAGGAAGGGTCTAACATTATTAGTATGGTCCGAGAGCTTGTTAGAAAAGCAGGATCCCAGGTCCCCCACCTCCCTGACTTATTGATTCCAAATCTGCACTTGAACAAGATGCAGCCGTGAGTCAGTTCACTTCGGTGCCTGAAAGTTCGGTCAACCCCCCACGCCAGCCAGACGCTGCCGAGGTCCGATAAGAGAAATACTTGACTAACAAGACATACCTGCCACGCCCAGATAAACAAACAGCAAAGTACCCACGGCCTGAGCCAGAGATAAACTTGCTCTGGGCACATAAAGAACACAGTTGGAGGCCCTGTTTCTTAGGAAATAATAACCTTAAATGGATACAGTTTTAACTAGGCCCCTTGGGTGTGAAAGCTCTCTTGTCCAAAAGCTTTTTTCCTCATTCCTGAGAGGGTCAGTGTGTTTTCATATTTGTGATGATTTGAGAAGAGGATTGTTACAGAGTCTTCTGAGACTGGACTGTGGACACCCAACAGCGTGGGGGGAGGGGAGACTGCCCAGGGGAAGGTGAAAAGGACTCGTCCTTCCGTGAAGAAGAGAAGAAGGGAGAGGCCGATGCAGGTGTAGCAGCCTAATAGTGTGGGGAGGAGGAGAAAGCTGAGTAGGGGACTCGGAGATAATCACGACCATTCTCAGTGATGGTCTTGGAATAGGAAGCAGCTGTGAGGGCCAGCAGGCATCTGCCGTGGCACCCTCCCATGTGCCCAGAGCGGGGATTCTCCCCATGTTCTCAGCAGCGCAGGGGTAGGTGCAAAGGTCAGGTGGACTGTGCATACCTCGGCCTTACAGGCTGACATACCTTGGGTCCCTGCGGTCCGGGCGAGCCTTCGGGGCCTGGGAATCCCTTCTGGCCGGGAGACCCAGGGGGTCCGGGAAAACCTTTCTCCCCCTGTTAAAACCAAAGCAAGACGAGGAACACGCAGAACAGAAACGATTCAACAACAGACACAGCCTTCACCATTGTGCAGCTTTTTAAAAAAATGACTTGATAACGTTTTGCACATCTTTTTCCCATTAGAAGCAAACGAAAGTAGCCCTTGGCAGCGAGTGTATCAGTAACTGAACAGCTGGCTGCTCCCAGCACTTGTCCACAGGCTGGGAAGTGCTGGTCCTCGGTCTGTAAACACGATTCCCTAAGTGGCAGAGCTGTACAGACCAGAGACTGAAGCGGGGAATCGGGAACGGAGGGGAAACCCCTCTGGAAAACTCTAGGTCCGTGGAGCGTGTTTGTGGGAGACGGAGAGAGTGAGGCTGAGGCGCAGGAACGTGTCTGGGAGTGCGCAGACCTGCTCTGTGGATGGGAAAGGACGACAGGAAGCCTGTGGGTTTCGGTCCTCCTCGGTTACTCAGGGATCAGTCATCCCATCGGATACTTATGTAGGAGATGCAGCACAGATATCATGGGGGTCAGAAGCGTCCAGTATGAGCTAAACAGTGTTTTAGAAAGAGCGAGGTGATATTATGGGAAAGCCCCCAGTAACGAGTGAGTGAAAGTAATTTAGGCCCAAAGAGTGACATGGTTCTGCCCACAAAGAATTTTCCCATGCACATGGACCCTTTAACAGTAAAGGCCACCACTTGATTCAGTCAATTTAGTTACACAATTGGCAAGTTAAGTTTTGAGAGAAAGTCAGAGTACACATACTCAATAAAAAAAGAAATAGCCCTGCCTGGTATAGCTCAGTGGATTGAGCGCAGGCCTGCGAACCAAAGGATCGTGGTTTGATTCCCAGTCAGGGCACATGCCTGGGTTGCAGGCCAGTTCCCAGCAGGGGACACATGAGAGGCATCCATACATTGATATTTCTCTCCCTCTCTCCTTTCCCTCTAAAGATAAATAAATTAAATCTTAAAGAAAAGAAATAAATAAAAGAATTTGCTAGACTTCTCTCAATACTCAAGCACCTTCACACATCCTGGAATAGCATCTTGCACACAGTAGGGATTCAATAATGCTTCTTGCAGGCAAGAATGAATCACACAGCTTTCCAACATGAATCTGAATATGCTATATTAATAGCTTCTGGGGAAAAACCCATAAATCAAACTACACATGAATTTTAGAATAATTTAAAATAAATATAATAATAGCTATTATAATTGGCATGTAAATGTATGTAAATTATTTTTTCTAAAGAGCTTAAAATATTTTCTTTTAAAAATATTTTTAAGTAGTCACCTTTCAGTATTGTTAAGCAATTCATCAGTGTACTGAGGAAAAGGTTTTGTAAACAAAGACAGTACTGCAGTTCAGCCTGTGTCTTCATTATCACAAATTGCAAGCTAATGAAGCGAATTAATGAGATTTCTGGGCAGTCCTTTTTTTTTCTTGAATTGTGCAATGGAGCTACTTCCCTCTGCTCAACTTTTACCTCAACTAGAGTGCTGCTACAAGGTGCTGCCACCAGGGGGCGCGCCTGCATCAACGCTGCGGGACAAAATTGGAGGATTTCAAGGTTTATGTCAAAGTGAGTGAATCAAGCTATTTTCAGTTGTTCTCTTGTGTTTAGCAACACTGTAATAGGGTATACATAAACTTTCCTTTTTGCTAACTTGCTTTTTTTTCTTTACAGGCCAAGAGAGTTTAAAATAACTGCGAGTATTTACACAAGCCACCTGAAGCTTCCTGGAAGGCCTTTTTTGGGGGGAGGGGGGGAGGGGGAGGAGGGAGGGGTCAGGTTAATGTTTACATGCAATCACTTTAACATTGGATTTGGAAAATGTAATAACATACTGCTAATCTTTCTGCTGTTAATGAAAGAAGAACATGAATTCCTGGATGAGCTCCACAGAGAAAAGAGGCAGAATGAAGGGAAGAATTAAGGTTCTGTTTTCACCTTCTCTCCTTTGGTCCCCTCGCAGAAGCACAGGCCTTTGTCCTTACAGACGCAGCCCTAGGAGGAGGGAAAGAGGAAGAGTTTTGTGTAAAAACAGCTTAGTAAGTCCCGACCGACCAGGCAGAAGCAAACACAGTTGCCTGTTCTTGGAGCTGCCAACACTGACCATTAGCAGCCACGTGATACCTCGGCAATGTGTCAATAAAAATGGAGCGGGCAAGTAGAAGCTGTTGCGCACAGAAGAACTGTCAGGTGAGTGTACACGATTCATATGGTATTTCGGGATTTTAAGAAATGTATGCACGGAGAAAGGCCAGCTGTGCTTGTTTGTGAACAATTTGTCCTTGGGCCGTGTGAAGCTGCCGTGGCTGTGGGTCAATGTGGGCTGATGGGGGCAAGTGTCGTGAGCTCAGCATAACGTACACCTATGTTTTTGTGCATCTTCTTCTATAGGTGACCCGAAGGTTTTCTTTTCCTGAAATGATTCCAAACTGAGAAGAGACAATCAGTACCCATGGTGTGTCTTCGAAGAGAACAAACTAATTCACTAACGCGAATATCAGAGTGCTCTTTCTTATTAAAAAAAATTGAGCTGTGAGCTTGGCAGCTCTTACCTATCTAACAGGTCACTTGTGAACACACAGCCCCAGCTTACACACCTGTGCACATGCCGGCTGTGAGGAAGGTAAATTTTCAGTATGTTCTCTAGCCCTGGCTGGGTAGCTCTGCTGGTTACAGCATCATCCCCGATACATCAAGGTTACAGGTTAGAGCCCCAGTCAGGACACGTAGAAGAATCAACCAACAAATGCAAAAACAAGTGGAACAACAAATCCATGTCTCTGTCTGTCCCCCCCCCAAAAAGTCTATATAACATTTTTTTTAAATGCAAAAGGTTCTCTGCCAGCAAAGGAACAAAAAGAGAAACAGTTTCATACAGCGGGTTTAAAATTTGTTTTGACACATATTCTATGATTATATATTTATCTTTGTTCTTTGGCTTAATATTAACTGAAAATCAGTTCTCCTCCTCCTTCATCCCCCAAAAAACATCAATCAACAGCAGAGGCTGGGCCAGGCTATACCATGTGCTGGCTGACAGGAGAAATACAAAGAAACCACCTCAGACAGTCCCAAGGTGGGGACTTTTTTTGCGCAATCAAAATGAAAATACACCAACAAAAGCATGTTTCACTGAACCTCTTTCCTGAGCCTATGGCAGTAGACTATGATGTCATTCAAAAAGGGGGGTACCTAGTAATGTCAGACACTCATCATTGATCCTCACCACATTAACATCCATCACGATTTATTCGCACATGCCAACTGTGCATATATGAATGGAGGGCAACTGATTGAAAAGAAAAGTCTATATTTTTAAGGTTTGGGTATTTGGTATTTTTTAGAAAACCAAATATTCCCAATTTTCCTCTCGTGGGAATGCTTGAGGCCATTAAGTCAGATCTGACTTAATTATTTTAATTGTGTCTTTCTAGATTTCTAAACTTTTATGTTCATTTGAACCGAGTATTTAAGTACACTAAATGTCTTCTAAACTAATGTGCTAATCGAGTTTTCTGGTATGCTAATATCTGCTAAAGTGGTTAGTCAGTGGCCCTCGGAGTGTGGATCTACAAACCAGCAGGAGCAGCACCTCCCAGAAACTGGAAAGACATGCAAATTCGTGGCCCCCACCATGATCTGCTTTAACCGGTCCCTGGGTGATTCTGATAGCATTACTCCAACATCCAAAAGCTAGTCTGCAGCATACAGCTAATTCTCTAAAGTTTTCTGAACACTATGTCATCTGAGGTCCTAATTTGTGGGTCTGCTTTTTTTATTGTGATGGCCTTTCTCCTTTCATTCCAACGAGCGAGCCAGGCTTGCCTACTCCTCACTGTAGAGACGGATGCTTTTCTCACTGAGGACAGAGTCTTCCTGCAGCCAAGGCTGTTCCCGGCTTTCGTTTTTGAAGTGTGAGGACTTCAAAAGGTTGTCCCAAAAGTGGAGGGATCAGCTTGCTGCCCCCACACAGAATCTGTAGGAGGGAGCTGGGCCTCAGCAAGGGAAGTCTGAGTCTTGCACCCACTGTGCCCAGACACCAGGCAAGGAAGCTCAGTGTGGGCAAGGACCTGGCGCTCAGGTTCACATAGCGGCAGTGAGCCACCATTTTCAAATGGACAGTGAGCATCCCCGATACCTCTCAACATCTGGATTCTGAGCATCTCTGGACCACAGGTGGGCGGAAGCAAGTTGGCAGTTCTCTAACCCCAGAGGAGGTACAAAGGCCACCTTTATTTTATTTTTTTGCAGTGAAAATCGTGTTCAGTACATACTACTAGAAATCTTTCAAATACATCTTGAGCAAATCGGTGATCGTTGAGCCCCACCAAACTGGATCAGGTCCCCCTTCTTACTCACCCTCCAGGACCACTTGCAGACTTAACATGCTCATTTCTCTGATTTAGGCTGTTTTCCTCAAATGAAAGTGTAAACTTACAAATGTGTTTTAATAATTTGATAATTCAAATAGATCACCTAGCCAAAAGATACAATGGCCACACTTTTATTTTTATTAATTTTGATCCACTTTTTGGACCCATTTTTGGAACCCAGTGAATACATGAATGAAATAGAACCCACTAATTACTATTCAGGTGCTAAATCCATTAAAAACTAGTATGGCCCAATGCCGCAATGAAGAAGGCGTAACTAATGGATATTTCTTAAGTAACATTTTTATGACTTTTCTTCTTCAAACAATAAAGTTACCTGTTACTTCTTACTTCTACCACCATGAAGTAAGAAATCATTTGTCCTGAACAGAAAGCTCTTAATGATGTTTTTATGGTTTTCCTCTGCCTGCTAACCATTAATACATCAGGAAGTGACCCAAGGTTATGTGATGTTTTATTAGCACTTTCTGCATATTAAACACTTAAACTTGTGAAAATCATTCTCTTAACAATCACATTCATTTTTTCCGATGACCTCACCTACAATGCAAAATACACTTTGAGAGGAGAGAATTTTAAAAGGTGCAGAAATCCAGAAACCACCGGTGTTAGGCCAGGCCTACGCAGAATTTATTCCCAGGTTTCCAGCTACTAACTGGAGCTTTGGACAAATGACTGAATCCTCCCAGGTCACCTCATTTGTAAAGAGGGTGTTAAGGTCTGTCCTGCAGTGGTTTTGTGAGGAGGGTTTCAGGCCCTGTCTCTGGGGGGCAATGCAGAGTGAGTGCCCTGAGTTGAGTAAAAGACTCGGTCAAGGGGGCCACCTCTCTCTCTCTCTCTCTCTCTCTCTTTCTCTTTTTTTGGCAACATCCTGTGCCCAAGGACATCCATGCTACCCTCTGACCCTTTCTCCAGTCAGGCCACACTCCCAGGTCTTCCCAGACATTGCTTCCTGAGGTGGGCTGTCTGGTGCCAGAGAACTGGTCCCGAGTCTAAGGTCAATGGTAAGCGAGACCGAGAAGTAGTTTGGCTAAACTACAAATGCATTAGCCACAAATGTTAATAGTACACTTATAGTACATTAAACATAGTAGTCAATTAACCAAATATCTAAGTACATAAGCACACATAATTTATCTGATAAAACGTTGGTTTGAGATCCCCACAGCACGCGATGCTCATCCATAAAAGGTACCAATCGCATCTCACAAAGGCAGCGGGCACTTCCGGGCATGCTGGTCAGTTGTCTCTTCCATGTGTCCCTTTGTCCTGACTGCTGTCGTCCTCGTGGACGGCCCTTCCTGCACGTCACCTTGTGTGCCAGGTCAGTTCAGCAGAGCGGTGAAGGGCAGGCTTTCTGGGCCTAAGTCCAGCTCTGCCAAGTCACCAGGTGACTTTAAACGCTCTCCAGTACCTCAGTTTCCACATCTGTAAAACGAGGTTGGTGGGCTCACACCGGGGAAGTACTTAGACAAGTCCACAGGACGCCCACTGAGGGCTACGGAGGAAGCCAGATTAGGTGACCCCGAAACAGCCTGTATGAGATAAAAATTATTTTGGGCTGGAGGCAATGAAGAAGTGGTAAGTGAAGAAAAGGTACCTCCTTTCCTGCCCAAAGGCAGGAAGCAGATTCTTCTTTTACCGGAGACCAGGGCTTGCCCTGGTGATGGCAGTGGAGAAGTCTGTTGACAAACCTTGTCAGACTCCCCCTTATCGCCCTGGTCACTACCTCTGGCCCCAGCGCTGCCCCCCACCCCGGTATTGTCAGTTCTTCCCAAACTTAGTGTTTCTTTGTGCAAAAGGTCTCAAAGCTCCCTGCACTGGCCACTTCTTCTGGTCTTCATTCTCTTGTGAAGGCTCCCACGCACATACAAACATTTAATAAAATGTTTGTGTGGTTTTTCTCCCGTTCACATGACTTTGTCATTTTAATTTTCGGGCCAGCCAGGCACCCTTAGTGGACAGAGGAAAAACCTTTCCTTCCCCACAGCTGTTGCCGTGGGCCACCAACAACCTGGGCCATCACTAACTTACTCACCTCCTATTGCTATTTAAATGCTCAGGAACCGAGGGATTATTATGTTTACTAGGTGGCAAGGAGGAGGAGCCAGGTCTCACAATTCTTTATAACACGGGCAGGCAGTAAAAAATGATCTATTTATTCTGAAAACTAATGAAAGATCTAACCATGCACGCATGCATGTTACTGTTTATTAATAGGCCAGGAAATAACTTCCGAATAATTTTGTGTATTTCCCCGTTCTAGTCTCCGAGCAGCCTGCTTGCACGCATTCCGCTGCCCTCGGTCCAATCTCCCCTCCCCCACACCCAGCCGTGCCCAGCCCAGCCGGGTTAGCTCAGGAGACGTTGCCAACATTCAGAGCTGGTTAACACTCTACTGAGCAGGTCTGTTGGTTTTGCAATAGAATTATTGACCCTCTGCCTAGCCAATAGCCGGAGGCGAAGGTTTCTGTGTGTGAAAAGAAGAGCTGACCCAGTGTGGGCAGCTGTGCCAGACAGACTCCACGGGCTGTTCTTTGCAAGGCCTTCCACCACGTCCGCCTCAAGCGACTGCCCGGGGGCCCCGGCCACATGCCCTCC